GGAAAAATCAAAGCACTGCTGTGAATGATTTGAATAAATGAGGTAGTGCTCGCAAATAGATTGTGCTAATATATTTTCATAATGCACACTTCATTTGTCTAGCACTCTGGGAGGCAGAGCTGAGTCTTGCCTTCATGCCCCTTAAAATCTTTGAAATAGTGGAAAATAAACACTTTCAATGTAAGGCAAAAGGAATTCTGGCAACAAAGCCAAATTTGCTGTAATACACTACAGCTGTATTCACCCTCTAGTTCTGCAGGGCAGAGTTCAAGGATCCTCACTCTATGGATAAAAACAAAAAATAGGACTGTATTTGATCACAAGGGACCATGCACACCTAAAGCACACAGCAGACTCCTGGTGTGAGAGGAACATCTAAACTTTTCAAAGTTTCAATATATTCTTGCCTTTGTTTCCTGTTGCCTATGCATTCCAACTAGCCAAATGTGCTTCCAGCTGGATTCTTTGAGTCATTGGTAACTCTTTTCTTCTTTCTGAAGAGCTCGTGGTGGCTGGTCCTCTGATGATGCAGCTGATTTGTTATTAAGCTGTTTTTCATTCCCTCCTAGTACAGGCAGACTCCTTTTCTCAGAGTGAATCCAACACTCCAAGTGCTCTGATGCATTTAATATTGTGCTTTTACTTCAGATGCGCTTTGCACAGTTTCTCCTGCTGACTTTTGTTGAAGAAAATACTTGCAGATCAGTGTGGAATTTCTGTTGGCAAGCACAAAGGGAAAGATTGTGTTTCAGAGGCAGCTATAGATCTCAGAATCTTCCATTTAGAAATGGCCTCAATGTAAAAGAATTGCATTACAAATGCAAATTCTTAAGACCAGGGTTTCACTAATAAATGCCAAAACCTGACACAAACTAATGGAATTAGAGGGCATCTAGTTTATCATTTGAGTCTTTCAGCAGGGAAAAAAGGTCTCCTGGATTCCTAATACAAAAAAATATTTTCTCAAAATCAAATAGATTCTTATCACAGTATCATAAGAGTTAAGTTCCTATGATTTCCCTTGTCTATTCAATTATACTTAATGAATATTTATCTGAGTGATGACTAAAAGAGACATACTACTCAGAATGAGAATGCTTTCCTGGTTAATTGATCTAACACTGTGAGATCAGCACAAATGAAATCTATATTGCTAATATGCTCTGGGAGCAGTCCCCATTTACCAAGATAATTTATAAATAATTTATATCTGCCTTGCTCCAGGCTGACCCTCTCTTGATTAGACTGGCAGTGTCTGTGCACTGTGTAGGATTGAGCTCTCCTTGTCCTTGGTTGCTCCACTTCTGCTTGTATGCTTCCAGAAACTGTCATTTATTATTTTACCAGTTAATATTCATCCCTCACTCTCCCTGATTATGGAATGCACACAGCCTATGAACAGGAATGTGGTTTAGTCATATGAAGTGTGGCATCTGTGTTGTTGCTTTAGCAGTTATTTTCCCTGAAAAACACGCGGCTAAGTTAAAAAGAAGGAGATTTGTCTGCTTGCTCTCTGCTGCTCTTTGGGACAGGTTTTAGAAAAGACAGCTCCTGCTTACCTGACCTGATCTGCTCTTATGACAGGGTCACACACTTACTGGATGAGGAAAAGGTTGTGGATATTGTGGATGCCTTCAGCAAGGCCAAATGCTGCACCTGTCTCATGACAACCCAAGCTGCCTGGTCAAAAAGGACCTGGGTGTGCTGGTCACCAGCAGCTGAGCATGAGCCAGAGGGTACCCAGGTGGCACCCAGGAGGCCAAGAGCCCAGTGGAAGCCCATTTATCAGCAAGAGTGTGCCAAGCAGAACCAGGGAAGTGGTCACCCCCCTGCACTTGGCACTCGTGGGCCTGCACTCTAAATCCTATATTAAGTTTTGGGTTCCTCTCTACAAGAAAGATGTTGAGGAGCTGAAGCATGTCCACAGAAGGGCCACAAAGCTGCTGAAGGGACTGGAGCAAAAGTCTTATGAGGAGGCATTGAGGGAGCTGGAGAAAAGGAGGCTTGGGGGGACCTCATGTCTCTCTCTCTCTACAACAGACTGAAAGGAGGGTGTGGGGGCCAGGTGGGGGTCAGCCTCTTCTCCCAGGTAACAAGTGACAGGACAAGGGCAAATGGCCTCTAGTTGTGTCAGGGGAGCTTTAAGTTGGACTCTAGGGAAAATATCTTCACCAAAACATGAAGCACTGGAACAGACTGATGATGTTTGAGGCATGATCCTGGGAGGTATTTGAAAGTTGTGTAGATGTGGCACTTGGGGACATGATTTAGTGGTGGACTTGACAGTGCTGGGTTTATGGTTGAACTTGATGATCTTGATGGTCTTTTCCAACCAAATAATTTTGTCCTTTTTTTTTTTTCTAAAGTCTGCAATACTTTTTGCCATCGCTGTACTTAAAAGTAAATTAGCAGAAAATGACCTACCCTATCAAGACAGGGTGGTGAGGACAAGGATTTATTTTTTAAATTTCAAGTGCATCTCCTTTTCTTCTTTCCTGCCTTATTATCCTTTTTAAAATATATATATATTATTCCTGTTTATTTTCTTCTAGAACTGTCTTTGATTTTAGAAGCTCTCATGGTGGTTTTGATATGCTAGCTGTAAAAAAGAGGTCTAAAGGGTATTATCTCAAAGCTAGTACTGTTTTGGGATCCCATTTGAACTTTCTAATTGCAGAAACCTCACTGAGTTTTAAGGCTTTAACAAAATCAAGACTCTTTGTCACTCTAATTGACTGCTTATGAATAAGCAATGGTATCCATCTAACTGAAGTCAGACCCAGCTGAATATAATCTTGATATAGAATTAAGTCTTCAAATTGATGTAAAGTATAACAGATATACATAGATACAATTGTGGGGGGAAATGATTTAAATTATTGTAAATTTAAAATTAAATAGATGTTCTCTAAATTTTTGTAATAAATTCAGGTCTAAGACTAATTAAGAAATTTATTATGGAAATCAAATTACCATATTTGAATAAAGTTCTGTAAGTCTTCTTTTATCCTTAGACATGAGGATAGAGCAATAGAGATCAGGAGACCATCATTTCAATGATGCTTAATGGGTTTTGAAGAATCCATAATTTAAACAGATCTAGCTCACTGTCAGTCAGAGATAATAATCCTAAACTTTGTTACCAGCTTTTACTAAGTGTCTTTATGAAGCCTGTTTGGGGTATTTGAAGTGTGTTGTGTTTTATTCCTGGTTTGTGCTGTCTGGAGCCCTGTCAATATTCAGAATTGCCCATCCTCAGCAATCTTGTGTACTGAAAATAAATGAGCTTGGATGTCACAGAGATTAGAAGCCACTGACACCCTTTTCCCTGTGAAGGTATTACTCTGCTGAAAATGCCAGAGAACTGAATTTTCTAGAAGCCTTGCAGTCTTCTGGAACCTGGCAGAGTTGCCTTTGGAAAATTGTGACAGTTTCCTGGCTGAATGATTTTTCTTGATCAGTCTTTAGATAAAGGAAGGGAGGCAGATGTTTTCCATCAATTTTACTTGTACGCTTCTTTCTGTAAAGGGAAGAGACATAAAGTGTTGGCTTTTGGCTTTACATTCTGTGTGCAGACAACTGCAGATGCTCAAATCATCTAGTAAAACAAAGTGAGGGTTTTGGTCTCTTGGCAACTCTAGTCGTTAGAATTTCTCTAAAAAAAGCAGGGCATGTTGGGGTGATACCAGAGAATCAGTATGTACTTGTCTAGAGTAAGTTGAATATCAGTCTGCAATCACAATTACTGAGAGAGAGAGAAAGAGAGAAAGAAGAGAAAACGAGAAAGAAAAGAAAGAGAGAGAAAGAAAAAGAAGGGAAGAAGAAAAGAAATAAAAAGTTTAGTATTGCTCTATCCTATTATTCAATGATATATTATTTATCATTTATCTCAATATATCATTTATTCAATGATATATTATTTATCATTTTCTCATAGTTGTTCTTCAGGTTTTAGTTCCCAAAGCAAAATGATTATCTGCAGAATTCTGGGTTTTCCTGATAAGTTCATTTCAATCCTCATGTTTGAACAGATGCCTAAAAATCTGCTGGGGATAAAAAATTATATTTTGAGAATGAGAAGAGAAATAACAACACAAAATGTACTAGTCCGGTGCTGGTGTTGTAAGTTTGGGGGAAAGCCAGCAATTCAACAGTTCTGAAAATATGATAGGCCTAACAGTAGCAAGGGAGTACTAAAATTGTACATACCAAGGAAGGAAAAGGGAAAAGCCAATCCTCCCTTACCCCAGCAAGAGGAAGCCAAAACACCAACTTGTAGCCTAAAAAGTTATTTATTCTGTTGTGAAGTCATTCTCTGTTGCTACAAGTTAAATTTTTACAGATGGATATACAAGATGTTTCTTACTTTATGTGCTGTTCACCTGGAAAGCATAAAAATGAATGTTTAAAAAGAGTTTCTTCGTAGTTTTGAGTAAAGTATTTATGTTAGTTAGGTGTCCTGGTATAATTCCAAATACAAAATTACATTTCCAGCCCAACATAGCGGGAAAAATTTAGAAGATTTATTTGGATCCAATTGCTGTTTATTCTCTAACATAATTTTTGAGTGTGATTAACTGATTAACTTAGTTTTAAAACTTCATATTTTCTACTAATAAGCAAAAAAGAAAACAAAAAACTTGGACATTTCCCTCCTGTGGGTTCTACATATGGCTAATACTACCTTAACTCTTGCATTTAAAGGAAAAAACACTTGCATTTTTTCCACTTACTTCATGCATGGTTTTACTACTGCAATTGTAGATGTTAAAGCAAATGATAATGCTAAACTAGTGGAAAAACAGTCATGTTGGCAACCACTCTTGTACATGACTGTTAGTTCACCTTTATAAATACATTGTGTTTCCAGGAGACATCACCTATAAGAAATTTTTCAGTTGCATGCTATTAGCAAATTAAATTGTTATATTGTCATGTTCCATTACTGAATGATGGCAAGACAATGCATTCTGATTTCCTCTTTTTCACTCTTTCCCCAGTGAAAAGGCAGAGCCTGAAGGTTCAGATCAATGCCACAGATGACACTGTTTGCATGAGGTATCTTCGACCAAGTCAAAGCACCAAACTAGAAGGTTTTGTCCTGGGTTATGGAAGCAACTTCTTTTCTAATCAGTACATCCCTTTACCTTCTGAAGGAAAAAACTATATAACAGAACTTGGTAAGACATATTTGCTTTGTATTGAATTATGGGAAGAGACTGAGGAGAATATGAACCTTTTGTTCACCTGATTTTTTGTTTTATTGGGATGTTGCTCACGGTTTATTTGTTTAAGGTCTGTTTAAGGTTTCCATCAAGAATTTCAGTGGAAAGTGGGATTAGCAGATCCTTCAAGGAGAATAACTAGTTCTTGTTGTCTGGAAATTTTGCTCACTGGTACTTGTTTTGGGGATTTTTGCTTTAGTGAGAGCCTGCACTATACTTGAACAAATCACGCATCAGATGGGATGGTTTGCCCAAAGATGCAGATATAAAGCAGAATACAAAGAAAGTGTACATGCTTTTAACAAACAATAGAAAAAGCAGTGAAAGAGTCTGGAGAATTGTGTGGTTGATTCCTTTTGACAGAAACATTCATATCAACATGATGCCACTTCTTGTAGGGATCTACTCCAGGATTGCATGTTATAGATTAACCTCTAACTTCCATGTCAGAAGGTACCGATGGAATTCCATGAGCTGTTTTATGGAAGAGATTAAACCATGTCATGAATGCTATATCCTGATATCTGGAATAGAGAGAAGGAAGAATGAATTATTAAAACATTGATGTATCAGGATTTGACCTTTTGAGAAATCTGTTAAATCCCTAAGGATTTTCCTATTGATTTCTTTAGGTTTTTCTAGCCTGAAATGAATCAATTTACCCTCATCATTGTAATGCTTGTGATCTTGGTGTGAAGCAAGCTGGAGGAAAGGATGCATGAGCATAGAAGTAATAATTGCCGTGTTTTTGATGTGTTCAGTTAAGGCCACTGTGGGTGTCTGCTCCAGACTGAAAACTGCAGAACAAAAACTGAAAAAATAAGATGTTAGATACAGAATAATTAAGATATTGGAGACTGACAGGATCACCGTGGCAAACCTTAACTTTCCTTTTCGAGAGTTGGTACTCCTGGGATCTCTCTGTAATTCCATCACCCATCTGGCTTACCTGATTCGTCCTATGTGTAACTTTTGAATCAGTTCACTAAGAATGATGTACAGGATTTTCTGTAGTATACTGTGCATTAGGCATAACAATGCCTGCTGCAGGAGTAGTGAGGATTAATTTTTGAGGATTAATTTTTTCGGGTACTCTGAGATCTTAAGGAAGAGCAAAAGCAGGACTGATTGTAACATTGTGTAAGATCATTTTAACTCCCTATGTAATAGAAAATTTTATATCCAATGTTTTGTAAAACTGAAAGTTCAAGGTCACCTGGAATTTCAGGTATATCGATATTTTGTAGCTTTAACCTTAACAGTTAATGACTGGACTCTAAGCACCTTTCTTTAGTTCCACAGTACATCAGAGCACTGACCATGTGCATATCCATTTGCTGTAGGGTGTCTGGAGAGGGAAAAGCACAAATATTGAGGAATGCTCTTCCTTTATGGTTATTTCAAAGGAGAATAATGTCAAAATTTTATCCCCCATCACGCTAATAGAAATTTTCAGTTTCCTTGTGACAATAAATCTATGCTTGTGACTTCTGAACGTCCAGTAACTAAACATGCAAAATGCAACATAATATAGATAGCAAGACAAGCATTTCTAACCTTCAGAAAAATGCCACCTTTCAAAACACAGGAATAAAAGAAGTTATCAGCAATATGTACTTCAAGTGGCAAACATTTATTTGAGGAAATTACCAGTATGTTTATTGGAGCTGTTGCTTTTAGTTGAGAGATTTAGGGTTTGATTGAATGCCTTGGGGACTTGTTTATTGGAAGCAGAGTGCATAATCATTCCATTTCACAAATATTAAACACAACATTAAACTGCAGCTTTGACTGCGCTTTCCAAATATGTATGGAACACGAGCTAAAGCAATAAACATCAGTTGTGCTTTTGGCTCTACTTTAGAGTGACTTGTGTGGCAGAAATGAAGACAGAGATGATTGCTAGCACACTCCCTCCTCCCCATCATATTTAGGGATCAGTTGCTGGCAGGAACTGGAAGAACTGCAGAATGGTTCTCAATTCTAGGAACAATGAGTAAGTTTTATTGTGGCAGCCAGAGACCTCAGCTCTAGCATACACTTTATATTGATTTTAGAAAAAGCAAAGTGTTGGAGAGGGACAATAAAAATACTCTCAAGAAATATGCCAAAGATTTAAACCCTCTAGACTCTATTGCTGAAAAATTTCAGATTTTCTTTGTACTCCTAGTACAATGTGATGAAGTTGGCCTAGTATGTTGTCTTCATATTAAAACAATGTACTTTTAAATTTCACACTCAAGGTTGTCAATCCAATGTTCTAGATATTCTGTGATCCAAGTGCCACTGCACACTCTGAAAATAGTCTTCAGTGTGTTGCACACCTTTTTCCACAGTCAAAACAACTAGGTTTATACAAAAAAAACATTAATTTTTGCCCTGAGGACTCCTTTTTGGTCCTCTCATGCTTTGACTTATCTGAATTTTACAGAAAGCAGGTGAGTTTATAGGCTTCCCTGAACAGTGATTGGTGAGGCTTTTATTGAGCAGACTGTGGAAGAAGTGGTTCCCGAATATGAAAATTTATTGTGGTCTATTTAGACCAAGACTAATACAATTTTATGCTTCCTCCTTTGTCAGTTTTAGTGGTTCATAGAAAGAGAAACCTTTCCCAGTCAATTTAGGGACTGTGATCACAACCTTAAATCAGTGAAAGATAAAGATGAGAAATGGACGTTTAAGGGCATTTGTTACTCTCTGAAAGGTTTGTACATTTTTCTAATGCATTAAGGAGCAATGCTGTGGAATATAATCTCCTGGGAAAGAGATTAGATCCAGGAAAATGGAAGATCCATGAAAGTGCTCTATTATTATTAAAATCGTTTATTCTGTGAAAATTTTTAAGGAAAAATCGTACGGATACGCAATCAGCTGTAGATACTACTAAAAAAAAAGCATTAATGTATGTGTTAGGCTAATGTAAAAAACCACATAAACCTCACATATAAGTCATTATTCCCTTCTTAAAATGCATCAATCCTTTAAAATATAATTTCTCCTTTCTAACAAAGAGTGTAGGTCTACACGTAGAATGAAGTGCCTTGCAGACAGTTCCACATTTCTTTGATTTAGTTCTGCATCCATGGTTTTGTTAATGGAGCAGCATATTTGGTATTTTGTTTGGGATAATTGTCCCCTGTTGGAACTGGAATATGGAAGATGGCAATATACACAACAATATATATTTGTAAGGCCTACAAGTTCCATATTTCCAACACACCCATTGTAAATTAATATGAAATTTATTGTCAGCTTTTCTGCTAGGTCACATACCTTTTATGATCCTGTTAACAGGAAGCTTGAAGTCAGCAAGTATTTTCAGAAAATATATATAATTTTGTACATGTGACATTCACCTACATTTCATGCATCAAAATATTCAGCACCTCATTGTAATTCTTATCTTAAAATATCTGTTTTCCCTTTGTTATGCAAATTATACAGTAATTGAGGCAGTAATTGGGTAACATTATCAAAAAAATTGGGATCTGCCTGCAGAGGGCATGGGCAAAGAGAAAAGGATCCTGTTGGATTTCCTGAACTTGTAATGAGTTGCTGCTGGCAGAAAAGTCTTGAGCAGCTTAATGCTCTAAGAGATAAATCTGAATATATTGAAATGACAATGACAAGGCAGCAGCAAAGTTTGTTCCCAAGAATGCCTCTGTTTCAGGACAGCAGATGTGATTTGTGCTGACTGTACTTTATGTGCTCACATGACAGTAAACAACATTGGTTTTGGTCCTGAAAGATATTCAGTGTCAAAAGATATCAAGATGTTAGTTCCACTAGACTGATAGAAAGGTGAATGGACCCATCCAAAAGCGCTGGGCTTGACTTAAAAATTTATCTTAATTTTCTCAGTCTTCCTGACTTGTAACAAAAGTACTTGCTTAAGAGATTTGTGTTAGTCTTTTCTAACTTGGCTAGGAAGATTGCAAGCACACCTCCTAGAAATTGTTGATACTGTTGGAGAAACCCAAAAAGTTGGGTAGAGACAGGAAATTTTTGCAAGAATGAACAGCAATTACTTAACAGAATGAGCAAAATTATTTTCCCTTTCAGTTTCTAAAACCAGCTCAAAGTTGGGCAATGCTTTTACTTTTCCTTTTCTTGTAGAAGGTTGCACAGTGTAAGAGGAGAATGTATTGGTAACAATGCCAGTAAGTGTTGTGTGAATTTCGTGTTTATGTGTGCATATGAGAGGGATCTAGTACCACCTTGAGCACATTTTAGAAAGTGTAATTCAGGGATCTGTGCTGGGGCAGTGCTTGGCTAAAAGATCTTGCTCTGCAGTTTCTTATCAGTTACCAGAAACTAGCATTTGTGTTAGCTGCATGCTTTTCAAGATGCCAAATAACGTGAATGTTAATTCAGCATTATGTTGCCTCCTGCTAACTTACCAGAAAGCAGGTTCTCATGGATAATGCTAGCAGAGCCTAGTGGAAGGGAGGAGCTGAAGGTGTCCAGCAGATGCCCCTTACTCTAGTGCATTGATCAGCAGCAGGTTCATTCATGGCAGCCTCTTTGTCCCACTTCTCTGTCTTCTCCCACGCTTGTTACTCTACAATACTTTCCATCCTCCCCTTCCTCCAACTTTGCCCTTGACAACATCCCATGGTAAGTTTTTAGCAATCCCTAAATACAGATTAAGGGCTTGCAGCCTGAAGCAAAAAAAGACTTTGTTTTGATTTCTGAATCCAGTGGTCCATGAATTCTAATGATGCATTTGTAACATTATTTTAAGATTTATTCTAAGTTCATCAGTCGGTTCATACTTATATTGTTTACTTGCAAGTGCGTATTGGCTGGGCCCTGAATAGGGTGCTTAGATAGAAGCAGAATTTCCTGGCATTTTGTGGTGCCTGTTAGATGCCTGCTGCCACTGATTTGATAGCCTAGCTCAAGGCATGTGAAAGTTCTCCCCTTAGTTAATCTGATATGTTAGCGGCATGTATTTTTCTTACATTCTGGTTGTCTTCATAAACTGTTAAGGTGGGTAATAGAAGCTTTATTCTTTTAATAATTTTATTTATTAATATAATAGCCTATGTTTGGGGAATTACACCACTAATAATTTGGCATAGATTTATGGAGGAGCACTTCTCTGGTACATGTGGGTGTTTTCCTAGAGTATTTTGTGGTTAAAGGATTGAAGGTGGTCACTCTTTGGACTTTATTTCTGATCTGAAAGGAGTTCTTAGCCAAGATATTTGTTGTTCTCGCCTTAATAAAGGGGGTTAGACAGTAATAGATTCAAACAAGTGGTCTTAGAGTAGCAGCCCTCCAAGAATGTGTTAGGCATCAATGAGCTAATAAGATTTTCATAGCAAATTTGCAAATGTATTTCAAGCTTAACTTGTTAAAGCTTGCATTGGTTTTTAGGGATCCTTCATTTATGAGATTTTGGATCCTCACTGATGAGAGACAGATCTATGTTTTGCATCTTTGTCATATATGTCTCTGTTATGTACTGATTAATGTTGAAATTATTTTGGAGGCAGATGCTGGATTCATGCATTCACTTCTTAAATATATTTTCATGTAAATAGCAATTCTATTCTGTGAGTCATAATTATATGCCATGAAACATCCATATTTTTTTTGACTATCACATTTTCCTACCTACCTCCTATTTCAGCAATTTATCTCTTAAGCATTACATTTATAGTTTTATTTAAGTTCTAATATTCTGCAGAATTTTAATTTTCTTCTGCTGTGTGACTTACCTCTCCCCAAGATTCCTGCTTCTTATACACATGGATCTGCCTATAAGAATCCATGGAATGGATTATGACTATATAGGCATCATAAAAGAACACAGATTATCATTAAATATTTCCTGTAACTTGACATAATTTAATACATGGGTGAGGCAGTGTTTGAACGCCCTGAAAATGAATTGAGTCATAGTAGCATCAGATGATTTCAGCTTTGTGATGATGACTGATAGTCATGTTTCTCAGCAAGGCTGAATCAGTGTAGAAACTCAGTAGTCTTCTGAACTTACAAAAAGAAATGTTGATTTGCAGTGGAAGACTAAGAAAGAACTCCCAGTTCTAATGAGTCAGGGCACATTATGCGATATTGAAAAAGCTCTCTGCATTTGTTAATTTCATTTGTCTTGGATATAGAATGTATATCTGCCCAGAATAAGAGCACTTCAAGGTGTGTGTCCTCCTGTCCGTGCATAATGCTTTGGTACTGTGCATCAAACCAATGAATTTAACTTAAATTACAGTTGCTCTACTCTTAATATCTATATAGTAGCGTGGGCGGTCGTGCTAAGGACTCATGGAATCATATTTCTAAATTAAGATATAGCTTAAACATAGTACAGAAACTTATTGTTGTATCCCATGTATTGAATGGATTTGTTTAATGCGTGAGGGCGTAAGCGGCCCTATGTCCGCCTAGCAGAGAAGGTATGGTGGCCGACGCCCCTACGCATCAGAAGGCCAGCCCCCCTTGGCGTCTTGGCCTCGGGCTGGGCTGGATGTCGGACTTGGATTCGCGCTGGACGAGACGAGAAAGGAGGCGACCACTTGCTGAGGGTGAAACGTCGGTTTATTGAAGTGCCGGTGGCAACCAACAGATGGACATGCCCACAGCAAATGCCAGCCAACAAATGGGAATGGCACCCACAGCAAATGGCCCCGACTAGCGGGAGAGACAAGGTTTTAAAGGGAATGGGAGGAGAAGGGAGGGAAGCCCAGCTATCCAATAGGAAAACATAAAGGGAGGTGTTGAACATAATTGACATACATAACTAACCAGTGAATACAAAGTAAAGGAGGGGCCCCAGGACCACAGCAACCACAACCCCCAGAGAGAAGAAGATTCTGGAAGGCTGGGAGGAGAGGGGGGTGATTGACTGGGCCCAGGGAGGAGAAAACTTTACTTATATGGTGGGATAAGGGAGGAGCAATTATGTAACTTGGGAGATTGGCAACTGAAAAAAGGGCAGGGTAACCATAGCAACTCAACTGTCAGGGCAACAGTGGCGGGAAAACTGGGGAGGGAGGAACCATTTACAGAGAACAAAAGGGGGACATATATAAAATGGGGGAGCAAACTGAGAAACTTAAAAACACACCACAACAGTTTAACAAATTAATTTTCTGATTTCAGTTATAATGATCATAATATTGTCCTAAGTTCAGTGGTTCTAAAGAAGTGGTACTTTTTAAACCTCTCTCTTATTTAACAATTCTCTGTCATCATCTGTCTCAGCCTGTTTTCCTAAATGCTTCCTTTTGCAGGTTGTAATACAGTGAGAAGAGCTATGAATTCTCTGGAAAATGGGAATGTGTTGTATTCTTTATTAAGGCAACATTTGTTAAACTCACCAAAATAAAGCTTAATGAACAGCGTATAACACAAAATATTTCCACAGAGAACACTTTGTTACAGAACAAAAACACCTGCTAGAACTAATGAATCCTGAAAACTGCCAGGTTTTGTAGCTGAGATGTCCATTAACATTAGCAGTCTTTATAACAATGACAGTGTATTGACATATTTTGTTTAACAGTAAGTCTATTTGTATACTGCTGAATAAGTCATTTCAGATTTCAGCCAGAATTAATTTTTCCATTTATGGAGCAGGGAAAAAGTGTTTCAAAGTATTTTAATAATTTTCTTTCAAAATTCTTGGACATTTTACTGATAAACCCATAAATTTTTAGTTTTGAAGACTGGCTTTGTAGTTCTCAAGCTTTCAAGGTCATGCTTTAAAATAATCCTGTTGAATACTCTGTGAGAGTTATAACATCTCACAAGTGGGCAAAATACAGAGCAGAACACTGGATTTATAATACAGGGAAACAAAATTATTTTAAAGTGATACTTATTTCTATTTTTCAGTCTCAATACAAAAAATATCCAAGTGGTTACACAACTCCCATGCTTGTTTACCCCTCTAAATATTAAAAAACATTTTTGTAAGTGAAGATGTATTTGCACTTTTGGGTTCATTTTTTTTAACTAATTCTTTTTCCACGCTGCTTGGAACAGCTATTTTCAGTGCTTATTTTGGTTATTTGGTGCAGATGAAACCCATTTAAAAAGATTAATTAAATAATTAAAGTACATCCACAGTATGGGTTTCGAGTGCTTTAGGTGCACAGAATCAGAGAAGTTAAGTTTTCCCCACACTGGCAGAACCTTTTCAGTAGTACAGCAAGCTTTTGAGTTTTCTGGTACTGCTTTTTTTTTTCTCTCTCTTTGCAGAAATCTGAGTGTAAGAGAAAAATGAATGATTTCTTTGCAGTTCTGTTTAGTTGGTAGAGTTCCAGGTGCCTGTTGCACTGAAATACTCAGGAAATTCAATCTCTTATTTATACCATACATTTAGATAAATGTATCTAAACTAGAATAAAAATTCTATGTACAGTAATCCTGTTTTTTAAAAGCTATAGTAAAAATAATTTTGGTCAGCAGAGAGTGAGCCAAATTCTGTCTGTGGATATCTTTCTGGAATCTCCAAAGACAACTTCTCTCATTTTGCAGTTAAGAGAGAATAGAGATTGGTTTAAAATAATTAAGAAAGCCAGAAATCTCTGACATCTGGCTTTAAGTGTAAGGGAAAATCTTATTTCTGAAGAGGAATTCCCCAAACTAAAATAAATATCTCAACCTTGTTTTAATTGCATCATTTATAATTTTGGACTCAATGAATTTTAAAGAAAATAGCCTGAAGATCATGAAGATTGGACAATGTGTCAAAAATTCACTATATGACTTTTTCTTTAAAATTTCAGATTAATCTCTTTTTCAAATAAATAGCACATCTGTACTAATTCCTTTTTCCTTCATTTGCAGATGCAGAGCCGCGGTATTTGGTTTCAGTAAGACCAGCACGCGTTTCAAATAACAAGAAATCTTGTTCAGGTATTTTAATATTACTGCATCTCTTTCTTAAAATATTTGAAAGAAAACAGACCCTTGTGCTGGGTTTCTCTGAAAAGATGTTTCTACCTGTAGGCATCTCACTGGGATGCACAAATTCCGTACATGGAAAGGTAAAATATAGGACAGTGTTTCCTAGTCAGTAGCCACACACATGGTGCCCAAAACATGAAGATGTACCTAAAGATTTTGCATAAAGTTCTTACAAATGAGAATTTAAATTTAGAATACTAACTTCTGATGTTTAAAGACATTAAAATTATCCTTCCCAAACTACAAGTAAGGATTCCTTCATCCATAGACATGTTAATGTTCTTCATTCCTCATTGGAACATGGTAGTGCAATCTACTACTAAGTTTGCTAATGCAAGAGGTTACAAAAAGTGACATTTCCAGCTGAATCTATACACAGCAGAATAGAAATCTGAACTTTGTTTTCATAGTTTCAAAGTCTTCCTATATGACCATAATCATATGGTTAATATTGTCGATTCTGAATTCCTTACTTTAATGTGGAGACTTCTTGCAGGAAGTATTTTCTTGCAGGCAGAATTTTTTGTAACTGGACGGTTACAAAAAATAAACTCATGACCTATCCCTGGGAGCACTCAAGGTCAGGTTGGACAGATCACGTCTGAGAAACCTGATCCAACTGAAGATGTCCCTGCTCATGACAGAGGACTTGGACTAGAAAGTCCTTAAAAGTCCCTTACAACCCAAATTATTCTATGATCTTTGGATTATTTTTTTTTTTCCTAACTCCTGGTAATGATTGGGATAAACCTTTTCTTGCTCTATGCCAGGTATAACACAATGTCTGGAAAGATTTTGGAAAGTGATTTAACCTTCAGCCTTCAGATGCAGCATATATATGTTGGTTTTTAACATAGGTTTTGTAGCAACATATTCATAATCAACATAAAGTTAAAACCAGCATGGTTAACATTTCTAAATGTACACACATGTATTGGTTGAAAATAGGCTGTCGGGCTGTCACTGGCAATAGGGTTGAAAAGATGTCAGTAGAAAGTTAGTCAAATCTGGTTCACAACAGTGAGAAAAAACCCTTTAGATCAGTGACTTATAAATTTTCAGGAAATGTTGGTCACCTGTATGTTTTGAGGAGGTACAGATCCTTTAGATTTTTGAAGTATGTAATGTGATGTGATGTAAATATACTGATTTCCTATAGTCAATCATCTTTCAAACACCAGAGATTATCCTTGGGCCTATAGTAATTCATAAACTACAGGTTCAAAATAGAGTCTCTACATAATTTGTTCATTTCCATCTGTTAGCTTTTAAACTTTCTTTAAAATAAGTTATTTCTTCCCACAAGAACTGTACTCCTTTATACAGAGCAAAGCTGAAGTTCAGTATATGACCTGATTTCCTTTATACAGAGCAAAGCTGAAGTTCAGTATATGACCTGATTTCAATATAGTCAGTAATTAAAGGAGAAAATTCCTTCAGATAAAGACACTGATTCAGATCTGCCTCAGTTAAAAGCAAAAGAACTTTTATAGGTTTTATTTCACTCTTAAGAATGCCCTAGAAAATATTTATTATGTGTAGAAATATTTGCAGTGTTACTGAGAAACCTGCCAAGCAGTTACTATTTTTATCACGTCCATGGAGACTTTCTTATGTCCTGGACTCTGTCATGTCTTCTGTGATATAGTCCAAGGTAGCCAGAGTTTTTAATTTAATCTACCTATACCAAGTGTACTTAAATTGCCTTTTCAAAAAACTAGTTTTAACTGGAATGTTAGGTTGAAAAAATGTTCACGTGATGTGATACTGCCACTTTTGTTAATCATATGTTAAAAATAATGACCATGAAAATTAGAGAACTGTTGTACTTTTCCCTTCAAGCTTAGAAGAGATCTTCATTTACTTAATTATCCATGTGCAAAAACTTTCCTTTGCATAATGCAGGAGAGAGAAATTAACTTTATATGTTCCTTGTATAGGTCGGAACAAGACACAGAAGCCCCTGCAGCTGGTGGTTGGCACTCTCACCCCAACCTCTGTGTTCCTCTCCTGGGGCATCCTGGTCAATCCTCAGCATGACTGGACAGCAACAAGTAACTGTGCTAGTGACAGGTAACAACAGAAATGGATGGGCTTTATTGCTACCATGAGTTCCCTCAGGACAGCTCCCTGCTGTGATTAATATAAATTTACAGTAAAAATTAAAGCGTGGCAAACAATAATTCTGAATGTGAAGTCAGTTTTTTCATTTGCTCACGCTAGTGCTTTGCAAATCTTTACTTGACAGCAACTTCAGTGAGACATCTACATGCTGAATTACAAATCTTGCTATTTCACACTGGATCCTTTGTTCTTAAATTAATGGCCTTGGATCTACCTTCGCTTGTATCTCAACCAATTGAAACTTTGTTAAATTACAGGAAATATTTTACTTTAGAGTTGACTGAAAAAGTATAAAAGAAGCCTTTTGTTGTGCTGAGCTGGGGGAACGATGCCTTAACACCGTTTGATTTTTGTTTTTTATTTTATCTTATCACTAAAACTGATACAGAACAGCTTTCATTAATTTTCTGTTGCAAGTAAAAAAGGATCTCTTCTATGTTAATATTTTTGGCATGTACTAGGCGACACAGTAGGTGGGAAACTCAGGAAGTCTTGCAAAGTAGCAGTTTCAAGATAAGTCATAGTGCAGAAGAACTTCTCAATTAAATGCACTATTATGGTTTAGTCAACCCTCTGTAGATGAATAAAATTATTTAAATTGCTAATGCAGATGTTTTCCCTCTTGTGTTTCTCTTTATATTCTTCTTTGATGACGGAAGAATATTTTTATTTTCATTTACATTGTATGAAGCTCTATTCTACTCAACAGTGTTTTGTAAAACTAAAAAGAAACATTGTGAACCCATGGGATACGTCTACATGTTTTGCAACTGTTATCTTTTGTGTTTTAAATGTTTTTTGGTTGGGTTTTTTTTTTGGTTCAGAACATTTCTTTTACCTAATATTTTTCGAATTTGTAGCTATCTATTTTAGACTTGACTTTTCTTACTCTGGTGTTCATAAAAAAACTCTAGCTGACATGATTAAGCTGGATGTCAAACATAGACTATGTAGAAAACACATCCCATTTAGCCAAAATTACTTTTTTTCATACCTTTACAAAAGTTTCATACCTTTACAAAAGGACTGATCATTTTCAAGCATCAGAAACTTCTAATGAAAAAATTTTGGATCTTCATCACCAATCAGAATTTCAAACATTATTGAAAACATGTTAATGTTTGTTAGGAAATAGTTATGAAATGTTAGTGAATGTCCACGGATGAAATCTGATCAGATTTTTCTTCAATAGAAATAAAAGTTGGTTAAGGCTCAGATTTTGCTCTTTCAGCAAAGGAAGCAGCAAATATTTTCCTACTGTGTGAAACTGAAGAAATGAGCTGATTTTGGATGAGCCTGTAAAGTGTTCGAACATAGTGATTTTATCTTTGTGATGTGTCAGCAAGGAACTTATCTTTATGTGATGTGTCAGCACCGATATTGCAGCAGCCATTGTGCAGTGAGAATGAAGAATACATCAGGAGAAGCCCATATCCTGTATCCCTATATCCTAATCCACCTGGAAATTCAAGGCAAATGGTATCCACCACCATGCCTTCATCAATTCTGTGTTTTCTCCTCAGTAGCTGAATGTTCTTTTTGGCCATTCATTGACTCAAAGTTGGAACAAAGTTTTTAACATAGTTTTTCAGTTAGGGCAGTGTGCTACTAGTGTCTTGCTACGTTTAGAATATATTGTGAGGTATTCCTCCTCTCAGGAATTAAAGTGTGCATTTTAGTGAAATATTGTCAGACAGGAGTAGCTAGTTTGAAAACATTTATATCTGTTACAAATGATCTTATCAAAGATAGGTATATTCCTATAACCAGATTTCTGTTTTGCAATCAAGCATAACAAGAAAGTTAATGAAGAAAAAAAAAGTCACTTAAGTGGTGCTCTTATTAATTTTACCCTTACTGGACCAAAGTGCTTGTGATTTGTATAAATTATGAGAACAGTTGCCCAAGTGACCATGGTGTGTATATGTAGAATTCTAAAAAAGATTAGATCCACATATAGTTCTAGTCAGTGTGTAGAAGAAAAACTATTAATTTATTATATTGATTTGAATTACTGTTGATAATGTACAATAAGAAAAAAATAGGAAGCAGCCCATTCTTAGCAAGTTAGTGTTGTGATAAAAGTACAAGTCTTAAAAAGCCAGTAACAGATTCACCAAAATTTCAGGGGCAATCTACCTGGCTTGATGCTTTTTCATCTGGCATATTCTCCTTACTGTGATTGTTAATCATTCTTAAGATTTCTGGCTAACTTCTAACCTTTGGCATTGGCAGCACATAGCAGTACTCAGGACCTCTTAACTCAGTTCTGTCAGTCAATGTCCCACCAAGGCTTGAATTTGTAACTCCCCATGACCTGAAATGGAGTCACTGTTCTCAGCCTTAGATTTTACCATCTCCATGTGGATGTTAGGCTTTTGTACAAGTGTTGCATAATAAAAGTTATTTCAATGTGTTACTGAGTCAGAAGATAGAAACCACATGGAATAGCACAGTTCTGCTGGCCAAGGTTTTCTCCAGTGCAAGTTTGACCTCAGTGGGATATTCCTTGGAAGATCTGGATTTGTGAGCAAATGAGTTTGGAGTAAGCGGTGCCATATTCTCAAACAGCCTTGATATCTTTTACTGCTTCAGTGAAATTACTGCTTCCTTCTTCAGGGAACATAGTGGTCTTCTGGATCTATGAGATTTTTAAGAAACTCCGATGAAAAAATTTACTGTGATATTTTTCAACAAGCCATTCTTTTGGCTTAACTCCCTAAAGATTAAGAGCATAAGCCAATAAAGTGCTACATATTTCCCTCAAGATAACCCCAAATGCTAATCCCCTGTAGAAACAAAAGTATTCACTGCCATTTTTGTGGACTGGAAATGGAAGGTGAAATTTTGAAGCATTCTTCAAGTGCCTAATATCTCTCATCAGAGCCCTCAACACTAGAATTTAAACCAAACCAAAAATATCTAAATCAAAAAACTCAAGTACAGTTGGTGGAACCTTTCTCAGTATCCTCTGCTTTCTGACATGAGTGGAAGACAGTTGATGAGGGAAGATGGCAAAATCACAATATGCTGCTGCACAGTCATGTTCAGTTCCTCTTTTTTTTATTTCCAAGAGAGTAAGAGGTTTTTTCCCTCTCTGCCTAGCTGTGTTCAAACAAATATTAGTGGACAGATCTGTCAAAATAAAAGTACTCATTTACTCTCCATCCAGGTCTGAAAAAGAGAGAATACTCTGTAGATTTTTCGTTCTTCGTATTTGCTTTGATTAGGACACCTCTGTAGCTGGGGGTCAAAAAAGGTGGACTTCAACTTTCATTTCTTTAGGAAGAAAAGTCAGGGGATCGAACAAAACCCATTATTTTCTGTGTTAGATTAAAGCGGAGTTTATAGATACAGTAAAATATAATATTCTATTGAGTGGATTGTGTAGAAGAACAAACATTTTCATATACATGCAAAAATAGGAATTTAAAATCTGAAGGTAAGTCTATTTTAAGTTAAATGCTGTGACATTTTCACATTGGCATTGTTTTAATTGCTTTACCTGTAATTTAAATGTCCTAATGTTGTACTTGCAAGTATCAGAAATTTTGTGGTTTATTTTGTTTTTATCTGATGCTTTAAAAAGAAAATGTAAGAAAAACAATAAGGGAAAACCAGGGAAGAGTCCATACTTAGTCTTTGTGTTGCATAGTACATAGAAGTAGGGTTTTTAAAATCTGAAATTCAGAAATAAATGTGCCTATCTCCTCCTGTGCTTATTTACAAACTTCCATCATTATGCAGCTGCCAACTAAGTCATACTTTGTCTTGCAAGTGTCATACAAAATGTATTTTAAACATAGCAGAATTTCTTAAAGGAAAACATACAGCAGCAAATTCACTCCTTGAGTTTCAGATGCGTTTGAGTTGCTGTTGTGGGAGCACATGCTAAAAGCTTGTTTAAATTGGAATGATTTGTTCAGTCTCTCCTTTTTCAGACTCTCACTCTTCATTTCAGTCGTTCTACTGAAAGTTTTAAGTAGAAGAAGTGAATTTTAGCGATCAAGAGTCAAAACTAAATTAGAAAGGGCTTTGCAAACCTAACTGGTAACCATCACTGGTGTCATTCTTTCCATTTTTTATATATGCCAGTGTCTGTTACTTTAAAGAAAACTTAGCAGTAAAAAAGGAAACAATATAATCAACTTCATGGGTCAATTTGGGCAACTCTCAGTGTATGAAAAATCATATTTCAAACCATTTCTTTTATTGCTTTCTAGCATTAAATGGATGCTGCACTTCTAATGAAGTCTAACTTTAAATAAATAAATACCTGTTATGCTGATAGTCTCTTTTAAAAAATTCTGATTACATTCCTTTGAACAAAAAAGAAATGAGCTTTCTAATCTATTGTCTCTGGCAACAAAAAAACACAGAGCTGGAATGTTTTTATATCTCAAAGTCTTAATTGTTTGTTTAGTGTTACGTGTGACTAAAATAGTCATGATTAAGTTGTTTGGAGTTTTGGTTGGGACCTGGTTCCAAATAAATCCATGGTATTTATACAAACTGACCTAGTCTTGAAATCTCACAAAACCATCTGCCTTATAAGATTTCCAGTATCTAATTGTTTGTGTCTGAATATTTGACTGTGGAAGCATGTTCTGGGAACCTGGCTGAAATGAGATTTGGTTTAAAAATGGAAAAATGGCACTGGAATTCTTGGCAAAACAGTATCATTCACACTGATAGATGAAAACTTAGTGTCTTGCCTATCCATCCTAGGATTCTACTTCTTTTAACAGTGGATAAGATTTGCTTCATCTCAAAAGCAAAAACCCTCTGTGCTCTTTCCTTAAAATTGTCATTTTATTTTGGTTTCTAGTACAACAAAAGGCTGTCTCTAAACTGAGAGAGTAGAGTTTGCATTGTAGAGTTTTAAAAAACAAACTTTGTAATCTGAACATAGAAGAGAAACAGCCTTTTGTGTCAGGCTGAGAGTCTTTTACATTGACTCTGCAGCCACAGTAATCCCTGCAGTCATTGGCCTATGAGTAATCTTGTGCTCTTGTGGCTTCCTTTGAATTATGAACTTGGTCTCACTTATTTTATTTCTGCCATCACACTTTGTTTACGTCTTATGTGGAGGCAAGCAAAGTAAAAATATCATCAAAAATACAGAGTTTCAAGAATGTAGACACTATACATTCTATGATTTTACACAAATGTATATGGAGGGAGGCTCTCTTGATGAATGTAGGCTCTTTATTCCTCTGCTGTGCGGATTTTGCTCTTTTTTTTCCTCATTATTACAGAGATTATTTCTGAGTGCAACAAAACTTCTCACCTGCTCATGCCACCTTTTGTTTTAAATTGTTGGAGTTTTAGCTGTCCAGTAAAAAGGAAGGAGGTGAAATTTTTCTACAGTTCCTAGGGTGGCCTCCTTGGTGGTATCTTCAAATGAGTGAAGCATTGCCTGTTAGTGGAGAGAGGGAGGAGCTAACTTTTATGGAGTTTGACAAAAGAGCTCTAATGTTTTATAGAGTGCTAGCTGGCAAACAGAGTAACCCCTGCAATCATTTGATTAATATTTGTTGTAAATATAAATACAAGAGTATTCAATAAACATTTTTCTGGTAAAATGTTCCCCACCAAAACACATAACAAATCAATAAATCGAAATGAATTGTTAAGTTAAATATTGTTAGGTCTTTATGCCTGCTGGGAATCTAGATTGAAATAATTTATCACCAAGCATAGCTGGGTGTGCCATCTCCTTGCTGAAACATCAAACCAGTATTCACAGGTGGGAATAGCATTTCTAGGAGCATTCCACAGTGTATTAGCTGTTAGAACCCTGTGGTGAGCAATCAGTTTTTCCTTTTCTTGCTTCACAGAGATAATGGGAAATATTTTATTTGAGAAACATGTAGTGTAGCTTTCCCTTCTGTGTTAGTATGACAGCGCTCTATTTCAGCCTGCCTTATGTTGTTCTGGAGGGGATCTATGCAGATGTTTTGCTGAATGTTTCCAGTTCAGCCAGCTGCACTCATTTTGTGCCTGTATGTCACTGCCACGAGGGGACTGATAGATGTGAGTGGTGACTGGATCTTGCTGCTTACTCGTGTCTTCAATTATATGTGTTGACTGTTTGATATTGTATTTTTGATGAAAGAAAGGTTCGAAAAAGGGAGAAATTAAAATTACAACAATATTCAATCAGTACAGTGTTCTCAGGCAGACACTGAAATTGCATTTTATTTGGCAGTTTTTTGGTCTGGTTTAACAATGAGTTGTTGTTCTTTGATGACAAAACTTGGCATTTCTGAATTTTCACTCTATAAACAAATGATTGCATTTTCCCAAAAGCACATGTAGATATTTAGATATTTTTAATAGTCAAATGATTGTGACCTGCAAATTCTTACATGGAACTTCATTTTTATTGCTTTTTATTGAAATGGTTGAGGAAATTCTGTCATCACAGTCAGTGTTTTTAGTACTCACTATGGCAAGTTTCCACTGAAATAATTATACCCTGGGTGAAGTTTTTATAGGCTTGGAAATCTTGGAGTTGAGAGCACATTTCTTCTGTGCTGTATGTTTCTCTTTCTTTCTAATGGCATAGTTTGGCACAGTTATGAAAATCTTCTTTTCAGATTTTATAATAGTCTTGAGTTTAAGTGAAAGATGGGGCCTTTTTTTTTTTTTAATTGTGCATGTGTTCTTGGTATTTTAATTTATATTAGAGTGAAGAAATTTCCAGGTGTGGAGACCGCATTAAAAAGTAGAACATTTTGTGTGCTAGAAGCAAGTGGGGACAGCCACTTAAAAGCCTATTCATTATCAACAAGTTTTTAGTGTTTTTTTTTCTCCTTGTTTCTGATGCAGCTGTTCTTTTAGATTTTCCAATAACTGAACTGAAGCACTATACTCTCTTTTTTCCATCACATACAAACACTTTATTTCTATCCCATTGGATTAAAAAGGTAGGAAAAGGTAAGGATGAAGATGAAAGCCAATGAAAATTCTTCTTTCAGGCAAGGGAAGAAGGTGACTATTTCCACTTGAATTCACATCTGATGTCTGTCTATACTTATTCCAAATCTCTCTCCAAAAAACTGTATGGGGTCCAGTAGGAGGCATTTGTTTTGAAGATTAAATTTGTTTATTAAAGTTACATCCTTTGCAAGACAGTGACAGGGAGTTCAAATAAGCTTTTCCTGTTGGTTAATGTCTCTTTGACTACGTACAAATAGATTAGGAGGACAAAGGAGAATAATTTTTCCTTCTTTTAATGTTGCCAATAATGGATTGTTTAAAACGTTCTTTGTCAGTTCAACTGACAATTAGGTCTATTATTTGACATTTGATTAGATCACAGCCCACAGAATTAAGGAGGCAGATTATTACTTGGTAGTCCTGGAACTGAGAGTGGATATTAACTACATGTCTGTCTTTATTTTTCTCCTTGCTGTTTTCTTTCTTTCCTTTTCAAGGTGTAAGTTAGACTGTATCTTGTTTTGAACACAAAGTAGTACAGTTAATGAAGTTATGTGAGCCAACATAAATACTGATCTTGGAACCCGGTGAAGTACCTGAATTGTAGCTCCTGGTTTACAAGGAGAATCTGTATTTTTGGTGCCAGGAAAACAAATTTGACAGTTATGAGATAAAGTATGTAAACAAAGTGAACCATTATGTATGGAAATATTTTCCATGAGTGACACTTGCCTTGTCTTAGGTTGTGTTTTAATAGTGAAGTAGGAATTTCTGTCTACTCAACAGTCACATTTCATGTAAGCTGTACTCTGAAAGTGCTCTTCTGTAACTTCAGCAGAAGCAGCTTTATGAATTGGCTGTATTAGGTTTGGTCCACTAAGTAATTTTAGTCTGGACTTTTGAAAATTTTTCACTTGTTTAAGAATCTTTTTTGGTTGGTTTGAGGTTTTTTAAGGAAGAGATTCCTTTGTCTCTATATAATTGCCAGTATAATGCCTGTAATAAATCTCACAACCTTGATTTGCATGCATTAAGTTTTTCTATTTGAGTGTGGCAAAATTCAATTGGACTGAATTTGTCCCTTTTCAGATGATGTAAATGTGAGATAGATATGGATGATGGATATGAGTTATTTATGTTATGTGTAACAATTTTCAGTAATACCTGGATTAAAAAGTTGCTAAATCTCTCTGAGATTTGATTTTCCAAGAAAAGAAACCTTCACTCCATTCTAGTAGTCATTCAGTAAGTATATTGAAAATGAGATTATGTCAGCCAAGGGAGTTCTAGTGCTGAAGCTCTCACCCTTTCCACTACCTTGATTTTGGTTGGTTAACAGTGCAGTCATGCTTTTTCAGGGTGGTGCTCCTTGACAGAATTGGGCAATTTCTGGAGAAATGTTTCCTAATTTCACAATCTGTTAACATTAATCATGTTATTAAACTGCTGGATGTAATGTCTTAGTTTATTTTTTTTGTTTGAAGTGGGGGCAATACATAATGGGATCTCTGAATGAGGAATGTATTATGCAAACAACAGATATTACTGGTTTTCCCTGGATAATGTTTTTGGACTAATTTTGACAGGAACACCTTTCACTGGATGAATGTAGATGATTTTGAGAAATCAGTGAGGCTTCTTGACTAGCAGACTCATGCTTCAAATGACTGGTTCTGGCATATGTCAGAATTACAGCAACTGCTTGGACAATGAACTTACACTTTGTGGTTAAAACCTTTCATAGGTTTTAACCTTATCCTTGTGAATAAGGAGACTGTTCTTTTGCTCTTTGTACAATATTCCTAATGTCAGGGTCTATATGATGGGGTATATATATGTGGAATTATCCTGGCTTTTCTGATATTTGGTGTCCATTAAAAGCCAGAAAGAACAACACCATCATCATTATTATTTCATTATAATAATTATTGTTATCATTATTATCATTAAAATAAAATTGTATATCAATAAAACAAAAATTGTTGTAGTGAGTCCTTTGCATAGATTTATTTTTTTTCTCCAAGCAGGTTCTATACAGTTCGCTACAGAGAAAAAGGTAAAGACAAGAAATGGGTTTTTCAGCTCTGCCCAGCTACAGAGACAGTGATTGACAATCTGAAGCCAAACACACCTTATGAATTTGGAGTTAAAGACAATGCAGAGGATAGTGTTTGGAGCAAGACTTTGAATCATAAAACAGTTCTCTCTGGTAAGTATTTGACCATAGTTAATCAAATAGCTGCTGATTTTGACAGTATTTTCCCCTCTACTATGGAATTAAAATAAGCTACTGATCGAGTTTTTATTGTTTAAATGTCATGCATTACGCCCCTAAAAATTCTCTTATGAATTGCTGAAACTAGAAATATTTTGGTTTTGAAAAACTGCCACCTAGTCTTCTGAAAGGTGTTCTCTTGTCATTGCAAATAGAGGATCTGCTGCAGGTTATTAGAATTCTAATGGTGTTTGGTACAGATACGCATCAAGTGTTGAGTATGAATATTTAGACTTCTGACTGAATTCTAAGCTTTTTCCTTAGGCCATGAATAATAAGATGATCAAGTAATGAACTAATCCATCACCCATCACCCAACTAATCCACTGATTTTCTTTTCTATCATGAGTGATAGAAATTATTAGTGTTATTTGAATCTTCTTTTACACCTGCATTTGCATTGAAGCTGGTCTTCAAGCTAGACAGGACCTGTCCTGCCTCAATGGGCCCTTTATGACTCCACTCAAAAGATGAATTTGAAGCTAATTTACAATCAAAGTATTATATGGATCATGTCTGAAGCATGCAGTGTCATGTATGCTTTTGTTTTAGTTTTTATGGAGCAGCGTATAACACCTATGGCTGGCTGTCAGTCATATTTCATGGTTCTCCTCTGAAATCCCAAGATAATGCAGGAAAAGTGATGTCAAATTAACCCTTGTAAAAGCATGTATTGCTGAAAGAATCACTCATACCTGTAGAGGAAATAGGCATCAGTAGAGTTTTCCTCCTTGTAATGAGAAGAGAGGACTTGTTATCCCATTTGATTTATTTTCTCAAATATTTGCATAAAAGTATTTTGAAACTTGATGTTGCTCAGTAGATGGTGGAAACTCCTATGCTTAGTATTTTTAGCTTCACTCAAAATATAAAGAATGAGAATTCTCATTAGAGAGCCTTATTCATATGAGATTTCCAGCTGAAATTTAATTTGGACTTCACTTTTGACTTGTAGGTGAGTTACAGAGCTCAATATACTTGAGGATAGGCAGGGGAGCAGCATGGTGGCTTGCAACACTGGGGAAACCTTCATACTCCCTAATAAACAGCTTTGTTTGCCTTAATTATAGAGTACAAAGCTTTGAAGCACATGCCCAGTGTCCTTGGAGCTGTTTTAGCTGTCCAGAATAATGCCATGGATATAGCACACCTTAGAGAGGATATTGGTGGTAGCCTTTATCTATACCTCACAAAAAGCTCTGCTTTGCAGCCTGACAGATATCCTACCAAGTGGTTTTTTTCTGTTTTTTTCTACATTTCAAATGTCTTAAAGTCATCTGTAGAGCAAGTGATGAAATATATTTCAGCTCTTAGAATAAGAGGGAGTGATGAGTGCAAATATTTATTGTTTATTACTTGTTAAAGACTGGTGAAAAAATCACCAAATTTTATCTTTCTATATGACGTATTTCTAAATTCTGTTTCTTACAGACATTTGACATTTTTAATTGGTCAGGAGAATCATTCATGTTAGCTTGTGGAGACCCATTGAGTTTGGTTGAAAGATTATTTCTCCTAAGAGTTCATATTCTATTTACATAAGATTTCTTCTGTCTGCAGTGTAGACTTGTGTATTCAGTGGATGCTTCTGCAGCAGCTAAATCCCAGGAGTTTGTAATTACCCTGCATGTCTATATTCTGATCTTCTGATAAAGAATCTTATAATAGGAAAATTGTCAACACTTTCAAATTCAAGCCTTTCATATTTTTAGTGGTAGATACAGAAAATGTGGGCAGTAAACAGAGTGTGTGTATTTATAATAAATGTACAACCAGATCCCTGTAAAGTTTATCAGTCAACATGAACAGACACTTCTTTTCTGTGCTAATTCCTTGTTCTGTGTCAAGTTCTTCTCATATAGGAGAAGCATCTGAACCAACACCAAACATCCTTCACTGTACATGTTCTTTATCCCTCTGAAGAATATATCAGTTATAGATACTGAAAGTTCTTGTGCATGTTCCTGGATCTGTTGAATCCACAGGCTGAATTTTTGTTATATACTAAACATGTTGGGAGGGGTTGGGAGGAGAATCTGCTTTTAATTCATTATTTGAAAACACATTAAAGGCATGGCAAAAGTTCAACATTTATTTAACTGATTTTTTTCAGAAGAGATGAAAGTAGCTTATTTCAGACTGTCTTGCCATGATTTTCTCATGAAGTCATTGAGAAACTTCTGTCACTTTTCTCTTGAATTTAGGCCAATAGTAAGTCCTGTTATTTAGAAGTACCAAGCACTTTGAAAGACTTGTTTCCAACTCAAGTGTATCTCAATTGATATTTCTTTAGAGTTTAAATTTTTTTCTACTTCTCATTTGTTTAGGATGGAATTTGTAAAAAAATGTGATAACATGCAGCTTGACTCTTGTTTGCACATCCATTGTTGAAAGGGCAGCAGAAAAGTGTAAAGGTTGAAGATGCAGAGAAAGTTTGAAGCAGCAAGCTAGAATTTAGTAGGTGCTGAACAGGACTGTTTCTTGACTTACTCAACAGCTGCATCACAAGAAACTTCTAATACTTAGAAACTAAGAGGAAAACTTAAGAGAAAAAAATTCAGAGTTTAAGCTTGGAGTTTGTTGATACACTGAGATAAACAAAACCATAAACAAAACAAGAAGAATATGTTTCATTTCCTTGCTGTCAAAATGTGAAGAGAGGGACTTGCAGAAATATTAATGGATCTGGAGACACAGGAAAAAACAATTTTTCCATTATGTGTTTTTTATACAGGCTTTTAATTAAGCCTTCTAACTTTCCAAGCTGACAAATAAAAGGTGAATAAACTTGGTTTGCTTTGCTTTGGACACAACAAAAAATTAATTCTGTGAATTTATTTTTCTTTCTGTCAAAACAGGTAAAAAAGTAAATGGACAACTCCAGAATATGTATAAGTTGGTACCCAATTCCCAAACACAGGTATGCAAAACGTCTCTTTTTTAAGCTGATTTGTATTTTATATGATCAAAATTTTTATTCTCTGTTAGTGTTCAGTGAGAAAGAAATTATCAAGGCCACAAACTGCCAATATAGAAAGCAATCTGTTAAATGCACTGTGTGGAAAATGTTTAAAAGGACCAAATAACTGAGAACTGTAACTGAGATGATTACCTACACTTTTTCCAACCTATCTAAGATAAATCTGATAATTTCCAGCTGTAGATTCAAAACCTAGACATTGCTTATTCCTTTGTAGAAATCAGGTTTGTTAAACTGTGATATTTGTTGTGATCAGTTAAGTTAGGGAAAACATGGTGATGTGATTTTATAGAGTTATTTTGTATATACTCAAGTTTTCTAAATTAGTCATCCCACTGAATTCACTGATAGTTCCCATATGTGAGGCAAGTGTTTGCAGAACCAGAGGAAGCTGGAAAGGGCAATTTAATCAAGTTTGCTAGGCTGTCCATTAAATCCTTTTATGTGGCATGGTAAAATTTTTACCATTTAATTTAAAAAAATTGACTTTTATAAATAAAGATTTTTTTCCCCTCACTTGACTTTTTCCATAAACATTCTCAAACAACCACGGATGGATTTCATTTGTTTATGGGTTCATGTACCCAGATTTTTTTTTCTTCCAAGAGTTGAAGCATAAATGAAGGCTCTCTAGATCAAACCAGCTAGTGGGTTTTAATACAGTGAAAAAGAGACATTTAAGTCATTACTTTTGAGCATTACCAGTTCTACTATGAGATTAAATTGGTTTATTTATATTTCCTTTCCTTTTTTTTAATCAGAGTGCAATTTTCAGCATCTAATCTTCTGGAGGATTTTTTTTGTTCTGCTTCTTTTTAGGTTACTATCCCTAAGGCAGACTATGGGCTAACTTCCCAAGAAAAGTTGTAGAAATCCCTCTTTAAAGATTTTAGAGGGTTAACTCATGAGTGTTAATTATTACAAAAGAATAACCCATTCTTCACAATTCTCTTCTGTCTGAGATTTTCCAAATGTTTTCATGGTAGGAAATGGTAATGCATGCTTTCTCATTGTTTGTTTTTCATATTTCAGAATATTACAAATGGTCTGTAATTATCTATAAAGACCTCAAATTCCTTCAAGAATCAAATCATAATTCATTAAATACATTTCCTACTAGGAATAATTAGGTATGCACAGAATCATAGAATCAATGAGGTTAGAAAAGATCTCTAAGTTCCTCAAGTCCAACTGCTAACCCAGCACCACCACCATGTTTACCATTAAACCATGTCCTCAAGTGCTGTATCCAGCCATGATGATTTCCCTACTGTTTCCCTGGGCAGTCATTTCCAATGCTTGACACCCCTTTCTGTGAAAATGAATTTTCCTAATATCTCATCTAAATCTCCCCAGTGCAACTTGAGGCCACGTCCATTCACTTAGGGCAGTAATACTTCAATAATTGCGTTACATGCAGAGTAGGATCAGTGGAATGCTTACATTATTGGAAATATACTTATGTCTTGAGTTCAGGAGAAAAAGTTTTTATTTGTGAGTAATATAAATCAGTTGGTTAGAGATTCAGGAGGGTGCTTGTGGGATCTCAGCACCTCAGGACTGAGGTGCCGAGCCACCGAGACCACCCTTGGGGGGCTCGGGAGTCCTGGAATGTTGCCAGAAGTGTCTGGTGGCTGGACTTTGATCCTACACGGGAGACGACACCTGTGTGAGGATAGGAGGACTTCACCGGGGTGAATGGTGAAGGGATTAGTTAATTAGAGGGTGAGACACAGGGTTTAGGATTTATGTACAGGGGGGTTTAGAGAAGTAAGATGGAGGAATTGGGGCGTGTCCTGTCCTTCTTCTTCTTCTTCTTCTCCTCCATCTTCTGTGATGATGGTGGCACTTTGGGATTGGCCATTACTGAAAGTGCACCGGACAATAAGAATAAAAAAGATTGGAGAAAAATGATAAATATTGTACACGTAACCATGGGTATAAAGATAGGTGACTGTCCGGAGGGCTAGACAGTGTGCTCATGGCTGGCTGCTGAACAGACCTCTGTCGGGCCGAAAGAAAATCTTTTAGATAAACAATTAATAAACATAAAGACCGAAAGAAGAACTGAAGCCTCTTCTCGTCCTTTGATACGCGGGCTGCCCCAAGGCCACTCCGGGCCTTTCCAGGCCCTTCAAACAGCCGAAAACCGGACAGGTGCTCATCTCATTTTGTTGATGAAGTCAACTTTACTGTTCTTCCCCTTGGTCCCACGAGCATCTTTAAAGTTGCACAGCCCGAGATCAGGGAATTCACTCTGGACGATGGAGTGCAAGCTGAGTTCCTTTGCTCCTCTTAGCAAACCCTGTGTGCCAGAACCCTGACTGTTATGCTGCTTCTGTGCATGTAGGGATTCTATTTATGCAGGAGAAGTCCTGAGAAAATGAGCTAAACCAGTTCTCCAAATATTTGCGCAGCTCAAGTATGAAAGGAGGACTAGAGCCAACATCTAGTCTTTTCTGTGATCTTCACAGGGCTCAGCTCCAGAGCAGCACTGCTTTATCACCCTCCACAGAAATATCATTATAACATACCATAGATTATTCTAATTGTTCTCTTATCATTCTTGTTTTAGTGGTGCAAAAAGCCAAAAAGCAGATAGTTTACATTGCTCCTTCAGTTTCCACAGCACTAGGTGGGGTATGGTTCAGTGGTGTGATCAGATCATTGATGCAAAGCCAGAATGAATGTGATTTAGGCCAAGTTTGTTTGCGCTTTATTTTGCTCCAAAGACACAACTGACTCATATCAGCATGGTCCTAACTCTCCTCTGTAAGGACATTTTTAAAGGCTGTTTATTAAAACAACATTACCAGCCCATCTAGTCATTCTGCCCTTTCAAAATCAGTCACATATCATCTTGTGTTTCTTTTGGCAGTTTCATCCTTTAAGTTTGTCTAAGCTCCTAGGGCTGTGTGAGCAGGAACTCAGGAGAGAGTGGAAGAAAAGGAGTGTTCTAGAAATGGTTATTCTTCTTCTTTTCATAAACAATGGGTAGTGGTAGGGCAGAAAAAATGCAGTAGAAATTTATTTCCTCTTCTTTCTGGTTAAGTTCCTCTAGTTTCATGTTTGCCTGGAAGTTGGGATCCTTCCCAATTTTCCAGCCAAAAAGGACTCAGCTTCTACCATTTGTTAAACTATAGAAGGAAATATTCCTGCTCTTCCAAACCTTATTTAGTCCAGACTGACCATGATCCTTCCTTGAGGAGTCTCTTATGTGCATGCCAGTTAGTTTTGGCTTTTTCAAGTATCAGAATACAACACAGAAAGAAAGAACAAGTCTCTTAAAGTATTGTTACCATGTGCTGTTTCACAGAACATTTGAGATTTGCAGTCCTGTAAGAATTTGCTGTATGTATAGGGTAAGAAGTGAGATGCCTGACCTATGGTATAATTTACATTTCTCATTTTCCTCTGAAAATAAGGAACATATTATTTGCCATCTTCTTTCATGATGGCAGCAGCTATTTAAATAACTGATGTTCCTAATACTTATATGCTTTGTATTTCCTGTCTGAAAAATATGGTTGATAGTGCCATTACTACAGATGATGGGCTGACATTTCCAAAATAGTTTGTACAAGTAGTAAATATTATTAGGAATATCTAAATTAGTCACTTTGTGGAAACTGAGAAGAAGACTTTGACAGCATGGGTAGATTTCAAGTGCAGCAGTTACAGATTCATGCAGATGAGCAGTCTAATTATAGCAGCTGGGGAACATGGGTTTCATGACAATTATTCATTCCTGAGTGAAAAACTACATTTTTAATATATTTAAATGCATTTTGAGTTTTTATATTGCTATCGTTGTAGCCATCCATTACTAGTCAACAAAGAAAGAATGTTCTTGTCAATCTAAGAACTGTTTACTAGTAAAAAGGCAGATAGTAATTATGATTAAAAGTTACACAAGCACTCACTCCAACTTCAGAGCTGTTTATTTAATTGTAAGGCTTCTGAGGAGAAATAAAATAAAATGGACACCTTCTTCTAACAAATGCATTCCATTCCCTTCGTTTGTCACATGAATAGGAGGGCTACCTCAAAAGCAGATCATCTGCAACACATTTTTTTCCCTAGAAAACAAAATGGAAATGTAAAAAAGGAAAAATAAAGAAGGAAGATTATTTCTACCCTCATATAATGACAATGATTGAGCCATGTTCTCACCAATGCAAAACTGTTACTAGGTAGCAGACAGTAATCATGGAGTAAATTGCCTCCATCCATTTCCCTATCCCCATCCAAGGAAAGGTTCATCTTACTTGTGGAGATTGGCCTTCTTCCAGCTTCTTAAACTTTGGTATGTGTTTAATGTGTACCCAACCATTGTTTTTAAAGCTTTTCACAAGTATTTAGAACAGAACAAAAATAGCTGTCCTTAGGTAAATAATTAGCATTTTGTCATCAAGTGCTGACTTCTCATGCAACTGTTCTTTCACATGAAGTAGGCCAGATGTCATCAAGAACAAAATTATCTGGTTCTGATTTCAGCGGAATGTATTTAGCATGGAAGGAGTTATTTTCTTTCTTGTAACTCAAATATAAATAAAACAATTCCCTTTTAATGTATGTAGCTTTTTTATGTCATTAGCATTACAGTCTACCTTCTCTCATCAGTTGAGTGTATTATTAAGCTTTCAGAATTTGTTCATAATTCTTATCTTTGTTATCAACTGTTTTCTTTTAATAGCTGTGGGGTCCATTCAGGTATTCCTTTTTTTTTTTTTTAATGGTATCAGTATAATTTCACATTCACATTTAGGTAAGATGTAATCTGGGTCAAAGAGATATGAACAGCATAAGAGTCCAAGTACTTAGCATAAAAATTTAAGAATCATGTGGGTGGCTGGCCACTTGTGTTTTGGAAACAATTCCACTAAATAAGATTTTTCTGAGCTAATCTACTTTGATCAGGCTATGCACCCAAGAGTACTGATGGTTTACAAATGAGTACCTGGTTCTGGAATAGTCTGTGTTCTAAATATAGTGTTCCTGAGAATATATTTGTGTCCTGTGACCAAATTTTAATTGGATATGTTTCACATGTTTTGCTGTAGTTAAATTTCATCTTTTCTTCAGCATTCTGGACTACTCCCCAGTGAGTGCTCCAGAGATCCTTAAGAGAAGAAAGAATTGGGGTTTCCTAAGCTTTAAAATACTGTGGTTTTATTAAACAAAACATCTTGAGCTGATAGAAGGAGATCAAAATGTGATATTACCACATTAGCCTGTGGGAACTGAAGCAGAACCATCAGGGACCAGGGCCAGAGCCATATCCATTGTTAACTTGGGACAGGCGTGGTATTGCATTAGAATCCTCTATTTTTATTACTCAGTTCAATTACTATTATGGCAGTTCTCCCAAGGCACTACTTTTATCCATTTTTTCTCTTTTTTCAGATTATACTGAGTGATAATAAGAAATTGGTCCCTGTCACAATAATCAAACAAAGTAAGTTTGTGCATTGTTTAAAATGTGTTCTTATACTCTGCAAGAGTGACTTGAGACTAAAATGAGTGTCAGGGCAATGGGATGTCCTGCAGCTGTCCCTATAATAACATAAGCACAGGATTTCAGTTTCACCAAAATTAATATGCCAGGGGAAAGAGATGCACAATTAGGAGACGATGTAGAGAAAACAGAGTTTGCAGTCTCTTAAACTGAATGTAAATATAGGAAGGATTACGATGGTGTCCTGATCTGCAAATATTGAGGAAAGGTTTTTAGGATGCTGGGGTTTGTTTCAGGTGTGGTTTTGTTTCTTATTTCAGTTTTGTTGTTGTTGTTTTAATTATCTTTTAATATCCCTGTGTTGTCTCCACAGTTATTCAAAATCGGACACAGTCAAAAGCACCAGATAGTTCCTCTCTCCCAGGAGCAATATTAGGTGACTAGAAGATATTTTTATTAATTCTCTTAACCCCTGATTGAAACTTAGAATTGTGCAAATGCTTTTAATTTTCTTGATCTTCATTGTTTTTCCTTGCATATCAAAGGGTATTTTGCAGCTGGTGCAGACAATATTTGTTGCATTTTATGGCGGTACAGATGGTTCAAGAATGTTGTTACTTAATTGAAGTAGAATCACTTCATTGTTATTGTATTTAAAAGAAGAAACTGTGACTGTTTAAGTCAAGGAGTTCTTTCGTACTTCAAATGAAGTTCTATGGCAAAGATCTTGAGATGAGGGATTGTTCTTACTGGGCTTTTAAGGTAGCACAGTAGCATCACATCTACAGTCACAAACCTGATATATTAAACTACAGAAGTCTTGCAATTAGAAATTGATGTTAGATCTTAGGGCATTACTGTTTCCCTCCAAGCCATTCAGTTTAATGCTTTTTGTTCTTGTTTCACCTTTAAGAATATGCCATATTGGCTTAGAACATGAAACCAAGGGAAAGTCTGTCATACAGTGTGGTGAACCACTGGTCTGCCTGAAATTTCCATGAAAGGCTCACTGCACCATGTACTTTGTGACCAATTTATTCCTGGATTTATTGTTTATCCCTTTATATATTTTCTATGACTGCATAACTTTGGCTGAAGCTTTCTTTGTGTGAGTTTCAGTGTATTGATGTGAGTCAAACACACACATACTAACCCAGTCTGGTATTGAGCACACTTGGCCCACCAGACAGAATCTGCCCCAGTATCTGTGATGCTGCAGTACTCCAGAGTTGTGTGCTCCAGAGTCAAATGCTTTCCAACTCTGATAAATCATGAGATGGTGGTGATAGAAGGAGTGGTATAAAGGGCAAATAGCACCAAATGGGAGAGATAATAACAGGATAGAAAAATTCATTTTCCAGATATTCAGCCTGAGCTCCCAGTGGTTCAGTAGTAGTTACTCATCTCAGAGAGCAACTGTGTGCTTTCATGTCTTCTGGAATTAATGGCATACATCTTTCTCTGTAGTGCACCTAATTGTTCCAGGTCTCAATGAAAGTCAGCAGAAACTTCCTCCTCTCCTGACAATAGATGACATACCTCAAGCATCCAGGAAAAAACTGGGTAAGCAGAAATGCTAAACAAATGAAAACCATTTTGCACTGTGAAAATAATGATTCATAAGTCATTAAATGCTTGCTGTACATTTTTATTTTTAAAATATCTTATAATGAACAAAACAAAACCAAAACCACATGTGTTTAACATAGCTTGCAGTGATTGTGCAGTGGAAATTCATTGGGTCCTAAAGGTACTGAGCTGTCCACATTAATCCATGTTGGCTTACTTAGTCAAACTAAAGTGAGACAGAAATAAATCAGTGGTAAAAGAGAGCAGATACATCTTAGTAATTACTCTCTAATGCCTGTTCTTTTAGCTAAGAATGAAACTGGAGTATGGCCTGCTGAATCCAAAACACCAGAAGTTCAAGAAATCTCTGCACAGTCCCTTCCAGGTAATGAAAATTCTGTTTTTAGAAACTCTGTGGAATGTCTTTGCCAAATACATAAACTAAAATGAAACCCATCTTTGTGCTCTACAGTTAAAATAGTAGTTGGAAAACAGGAGGATAGTGGCTGAATTAGCAAGGAGTGGTAATGTGGATAAAAAATCTGAATCCAATTCTGGACAAAAGTTTCAAGTGAAGTAATTATTAGGTTTCTAAAACTAATTGGAATTAGAATTATACTTTGTGGCATGATGGATGCCTTGAAATTTGAAAAATGGCAAAGTGAGTTTTTTTGTGAGACACGGACTACTTCATGAATTTGTATGACAAGTGTCATATGTTTGAACATTTTCAGTCTGGGGGCAAGGGATGAAAGGATTGGAAAGAGCTGAATTATTCCGAGTCAAATGATGAACATCACTTATCACTCACTTTACTGACCCACATTTCAGAATTGCTTAAGAAGGCATATGCCTATCTTCATTTTCTATAGTCTGGCCCTAATCCTGTAACTGAGTCAGAAGTCTTGGTTCTGCTGTCACAAGAGACAAGAGCTGCCTTCTGCCAACTGCTTTGCTGAAAGGAACAAGGGATGCTTGAGCAGTGGCTAGAATTTAAAACTAAAAACGAATTTGAGGAAACAATGACCAAAGGTTTGCTTTGGTTTGGTTTAGACATATTATGCGACCTTGCTGGAGTTATTCTCTTCTGTCTGTCAAGTCTTTCCTGGCTGGATGGAGTAGTGTAGCCTGTGGTTTCTTTGACATCACACAACTCAGACAGATACTGCCCTTAAATATGATTGTGTTTATTTTATTCCTTAAGTATATAAGGAATATATATACTTAAATATACATAAAAATACTATGCTTAACTTCATCATAGCACCTTAGTCTTAAAAAAAAACAAAGCAGAATTAAAAACCCTTAAAAAAATAAATAGGGAATTTAAAAAGGTGTAAAGAAATGCAGCAATATCCTGTGATCATTGATAACAATCTTTCAGACTAACTGCTCCATCTTTTTTTCTTCTGTGAAAATTTTAGAACCTAACTTTCTACTCAATAGATAAACACATTTTCCAAATTCTGCTTTAAATTATTCCTTCCTGTCTGCAAAACTTTCACAGAGATATCTCTTTTCTGTTCATCCTAAATATTAAGAGGGGAAAAAACGATGCCTCTTCACAAGAATTTATTATCAAAGGATGCATTGAAAATGTGTGGATCCTTTTCAGAAAGCCATAAGGAGTTTTTACCTTGTTTGATTGGTTTGTTTTCTCTTACAGTTCAGGGTCTCTTGTGAAATTTTTTTTTTTTTACTACGTTACTAGATTATTTACCTTGTTTAAGTAACGGCTGTTTAAGAACTGGCAATCTGGAAGTGTATTTGCCATTTTTTGTGAAAGTGAGAACTAAATACATTTGTATGGTAGGTTCTCCATCAGAATCCATGTCCTCAAATCTCAGCCCTCAAGCTTGCATTCCTCTAATCAAAATGTGTCATTTTTTGTTGATGAATGTATTAGTCAGTCGGCTAAAGAGTGTGAAATGTGACAGATGAGGAGGAGGGTGTTCTGTAATTATATTTATGTACCAACATGTAGAATTTCTAACCATAAACAATGCCATGTCTAGACATGGCACAGAATTGTATGTTTATGAAGTTGGAGAAATTTTCATTACTCTGGTAATAATTGGCAAGTACTCTCTTTTCTTGTGACAATTTAGTAACAATTTGTTACAACTAAACACATTCTTATTGCTCTGACACCAATAGTTACTTCTGGAAATATTTAGAATTTTCATCTTCCATTTCAAGCTTCCTTTGTGGTTTTACTTCCATGCCTCACTCCATTGTGGTTACAGTATTTCAGTTAAAGAGAGAAAAAAAAAAAAAAAGAAGTCAGGAAACAGGGAAGTGCAAATTAATCCTTTAAAAAAAAAAGTTCTTCAAGTCTTGCCATGGAACATGGAAAAAGAACTTGTCTGGCTAAAATGCTGAAGTATTCTTTTATGAGTAGCTTAGGTGAGAGATCTGAGTGCCAACCCTCCAACCCTTTTCAAGGGTTGCCTTTAAATAGTTTATTATATAGACATAATTAATTGAGTTTAGTATATAGACATAATTATTTGAGTTTAGCAATAGGATCTACTTCATTATATTTAATTCAGACATTGCTATTTGAAAAATTGTACTGGATTCTTTGAGTAAGGCATAATAATTATTTGCTGTGGAAGGTTTAAGGACTGGTGCCAGACTGGCAAGAGCACAGTGCTTTAGCAGGAGCTCTGTGCTGCAGCAGCTGTTGTGTCATCAGCCATGCTAGAGGGGAAGGGAGCTCCAAGTATTTGAGCAAGCAGTCCATCTGAAAGGCTCTGTGTGCTGGGCTGCACTTGTCTTCCACTGGCTCTTCATCAAAGGGTGTGTTCTGTGATGTGACACAGTTTAGTAACTTTTTTTCATGTATTTGTCTACCAGGAATCCCATCATTTTCTTAATTTCAATCCTCCCCTCCCTTGGCGTGCGTTTCCATGGAAAGACTTGCTAGTAAGCTCTTTCATTCTTTGTCAGGCTTGTTACAATATTTTCCACTCAGAACTCATTTATTCTTAACACAACAGCTCAAATCTCTTGTGTTTTCCTCAATGTTTGAATTGTTGTCTAATATACCTCAAACTGCTGCTACAACTTTTTTTTCCTCTGCTAAATGTGTCTTTCTATTAACTTCACAGGGAAATTGGAGCTCACCAACCCTTAGAAATACGAGCACATTAGTCTGGGAGATGAAAGAACTAGTTTCTCTTTTTTTTTTTTTTTCTTTTTTTTTAAACAAAACAAAAAAAGCCCACAAAATAACAGCTAGTTATTTATGTGAGGCATTATGCTACAAATTTAGTGAATTAGGTTTGTGAAATATGGAATAGGCTTGAAATGAGAAGTGCCACCTGTGAATCCATCAACCAGGATTAATGTTCAGTTTAAATAACTCCTTTGTTTCCATGTCTCCCAAGTTCTGTTCCTCCTGTCCTCATTCTGCCCCCTGAAGAGTTTCCCTTGTGCTCAGGGTATATCAGGAGTGAGATTAATGTTTTCATCATAATGTCTTTCATCATCATGAAGATGAAAAGAGAATCAAGAGAAATCAGAGGAAAGAGCTTAAGAAGCATTGTCTAGGTGCATTCTTGCTGTATTCCATGCTGTGATGATCAAGTAACTTGGCTCTTATGATGCTTTACTTCGCAGAACCACTACAATAGGCCTAACTTGTCTGCTGCCCTGGAATAATCAGAGGAATTTCTTTTCTCTAATTTTGCTTTCGGAGCCTAAACTTTCTTCTTCTGTATCTTCTTTTTAACAAAAATATTCGTCTTATTTTCATGTCATCCCTGCAATGTTTTGTGCAAAACTAAGAGCTTGGTTTCTTTTGTTCTAATTCTAAGCATATTTTATCTTGTTCAGCTTGCTCAGCAAAGATACATTTCATTTTAGTGTAAACTCTCTGACCTCAAAAAAAGAAAAAAATAAGAACATCATGAGTTCTGTATTTGCTTGTGTTTTGAGAGTTTTTTCATTATTGCACCTCACCAACAAGAAATTTTAGATTTTGAACTGCTCCTGAGGTACAGGTAGTTAGTTATTCCTTCAGTATTTCTTATGAGTGAATTCTTTCCCACAAGTTTCATAGAGAGAAATTTCTCTGCCTTCTCTGGACAATGAATTCCTCCTTGCACTGATGGCAGTGACAGCACTGTGGCTGATTTAGAAGATGAATTGAGCCATAACAAAGCAGCATCTGTAAAGGCTCCAGACTGTGTGACACATTCTCCAAACTAGAAAACAGTGTAATTGTTGTAACTGTGATAGCATCTGAATCCCACTATTTAGAATGTGGGAAACTGCACTTTTTTTTCACTAAATGAAGTAAGAAGCTTATAAACCTCCATGATCAGCTCTTGCTTGAAGTGTGTTAAATAGATTGTGGAAAAATCAAAATGTCTTCTAATGTGTCTCAAAAAGAAAGAGATCTTTTATTAAATTAATTCTGAAACTTAGTGCTATATTAATGCCAACCATCAATATTAAAGATCTCTTCCAAGTAGCTACTTTCACTAAATGCTGTGCAATTTGCTCTGTGGAGGGCATTAATGTGCTTGTGGCATTCAAGGCTGAGACCTTACCATTCTGTGCTCCATACTCATGTCATTTTACAGTCTTAGATGACCAATTCTGGGTACTGCATAACTCATTAAACACCTCTGGGATCTCCAGCAAGATGCAGAGGAAAAAAGTGACCTTGACTGACTTACTGTTGGCATTAATTGTTATATGAAACAGCTTGCAGAGTATAGTTGTGCAGTAGTATATTAAAATATGGCCAGCAATTCAGTTTAGGTATATTTAATTGCTGTTTAATAAACTGCCTGTGTATTACTCTAAAAATGTACAACTAGAAGAATGAATGGAAATCAAAACATATTCTATAAGAAAATTCTATAATTACTAGAGAATTGAAAAATCTGAGATATTACAGGTGAGTATTTATTACATTCCTGAAAATTTTTATATTAGAAGGATTAAAAACCATTCTGAATAACAGGCAAAATATTTGTAAATATTTTGTGTAAATTGCTTTATGATGTGATGGATCTTGTTTACAATCTATTGTAATTAATTTAAGAGGCTGTAACAAAAGTACAATGTGAGTTTCTGACCTTAACTTTGCTGTTCGTGACTTTTATTTTCTTTTCTTAAAGTAAAACTGCAGCAAAATAAATCCAAAGCATCATATAGATTTCACATCTGGAAACAAAAGTAAACATTAATCATGATAGAGTTGACCTGCTGTAGAAATCATTCTAATCATGTAACATGAAATGGTGATAAGAAAAGCATCAGGCTTTGGGTAGTAAATCAAGAGAAGTTCAAGGGGATTTTAAATTACATTAAAGTTCTTTCTTCTAGCTCAGCCTGAGAAAACACATGGACCTGAAGACTTTAGATCGACGCCTAAACCCAAATTGGTGCAAACTCAAAAGATCCCGGGTAACTAATTTTTCTGCTTTTTACATTCTTTCTGCATTAAACACTTTTTTACTTTCAGCAGAATTTTTCTACTACTTGCTACATCCTCTTTGTTTTGGCTCCAAAGGAAGTCCTGATTAAAATATTCTCTTTTCTTTTGTGGTTTCAGTGACTAATAGTGGAATTAATTGTAAAGGAGGATGCACCTAGCTGTGGCTGAACTGTGGTTTTCACGGATTTCAATGCGTAATTCAATTTGATTTTTGAAATTAATGCCTTCTGTCTATGTGATCTGCATGTTTGACATAACATAAAATGTCCATCTGTAAAATTGACCTCAATGATAGAATTTAAATAATTACCTCCTTGATTTTCTTCTGGTTACAGATTCTTTTAGGTAACACCAACAGCAATGAGTAAGAAGAATTTTATATAGCATGTGATGGGATATAATTGTATTTGCCTTGAAGGAAAGAGAAGTTCTACTGATTGTTAAATTTTTTTTTATCTCAATGTTGTATGGTTAGTTTTGTGATTTGGTATAACACTTATTTAGTTCTGGTTTTCAGAATTCTAAATTCTCTAATGTTGATTTTATTGCATGTACTTTCTTCCCTGAGCTGTGCAAAATTACAAGGACAAATCTAAACTTCAGGTTGTATTTAATTCTATTTTTTTAAAAACTTCACTTGGATTTTTCTAAACCACAGCTAGCCTGCATTCAGGAGGATGTATGATAAAGGAAATGACCAGGAATGCTTTTAGGACTGAAATGCAAATCTTCCCATGAGGATGACTGCTAATGCTTCTCAATAAATGCATTTTACGCAATCCTATGGATTCACGTTAATGTCTTACTTGCACTTTTTTCTTTTTTCATTTAAATTTGACAGCAAATTTCCAGAATTTACTGAAGCGAAGCCAGCAATCTAATTTCATTTTCATTTCTAATTGCCTTTTTTTAACTATACTCAACTTTCCTTGGTTATGCTATGTTTCAAAGATTAAAATATGAAAACTAATCAAGATGGATCATTGACTAATTTTAAACTAGGTGCTTGTAGTTACTGACAGATGTTCATTGTCAAATTCCCATGACTGATAGATATTTGTTTAATAAGTAGGGAAAAAAGGGCTTCCTTCATATTCCACATACCTTTTTAAGTGACACTTTATGTGTTTTTTTCTCTAGGTTGGAACTACTTTTTCTTTTTTTTATTAATTATCATTTTTTTCAGGAGTGAGTGGTCCAGAAGACAAATATAAATCCATGCTGTGCCTTGTATTATTCTTAATCAAGAGACCTTTTGGTTATTTTTCTTATCGTAGCTTCTAATGAAATACAGCTACCTCCTTCTGGATCCAGAATCCCTGATGCTCCAAAAAGTCCATTGACAGAACTTGGTAATTACTTTCTTTGTAAATATGAGTAAACGTTTCTGAAAAATTATCTTCACAAAGCTTGCTCCCATAAGAGGAGTAATATAATTAAAACAGTAATGCACAAGCGACTTATATTTTGCCCTTTTTGGAGGGCTATGTTCACCCCTTCATTACATAATTGGACCTTAAACTCGGTGCTTTGATGCTTGTGTTGGTGATGAGTGGGGATATTTCAGCAAGTTCTGAATGTCTTGAGTCCTGTGCTGGGAAGAACATGATGTTTGTGTGGGTGCTTTGTTCCTCTTGCCTTCTTCCCTTCTTTCTTCTGCTGGGAGACCTCTCAGATGTGAGCTCACCGCATAGGGGACCATTTGTGTATGGTAGATATTATTTCTTGTCCTTGTTGTTACCCTAAACTAATTTTTGTCCAGTTCCAAGTGAGCAGTTTTTATAACTGATGTTGTTGAGCTGTTTGTGGCAGGGGGTGTCCAGTGTCAGCCTCAGTCCCACCTCTCACCATCTCATGCCTCTGTTCCTCCGCGTTGTACCCTGTGTCTCCCTTGCTCAAGACCTCTGATTTCATAACAGGCCCATATTTTCTCCGTGTTTGTGTTAAATTAGCTCGTTCTACCAAAACTATTTCTTGTTGCTGCTTTCAGTATTAACAGCTATTATTACACTTGTTACCTGGAGGGCCCTTGAATCAGATTCATTTCTATGTCATTAAGCATTAGTCAAGAAGTTATTATAGAATAGTACTGGCTTATTAGGGTGGCATAATCTAGTCTGCAAAATTTTAAAATCATTTCCAGGAATGAATGCCTCTTAGTTCTTGAAATGCGTATTTGAAGTAGATTCTCAAGAACATGAAAATAATCTTCATCATAATCTGTTCTTAATTGGTTAGATTCTTTTGACAGCTCTTTTCCAGATATATTTGAGGGGATGGGGAAAGACATTTGGTTAAATCCAATTAGAAGCAGCACTGGAAAAAGAGAAGCACAGTGATTTAAGAACCTATTTGCTATAAATGTAGTTGGAAAACTGAAAATTATTAAGGATGTAAAATATTTTTTCTTTCTATAAAAAAAAAGAACAATCTAATCCTATGTTTGTCTCAGTGGTAAAGGTGGAATAATAGCAACATTTGAGGAAAAAAGAAGTGTTTCATTCAAGTATTTATTATGATTTTGTTCTCATGTCCTCCATTCCCTTTGAATAGTTCCACTTGGCAAAAGTGGGATTTCATTATGAGAGGCTGGGCCAAGCCAGTGGGTCAAAGAGAACATCTGTGCTCTCCATGAAATTACTGCTGAAGTCAAAGATATTCTGTGAGAGTCAGGGCATGGTTATAAAGAGGAGATTTCTCTGCACTGTGCCTCTGCATGCTTTGATCACCTGCTGTCATAAAACCAGCAAAGTAAGCAAAATTTAGTTTATGAAGTTCAACTGTGTGTGACCTGTATTCTGCCCTAGCTCCCCTGAAGAATTTTTTGTTTATTTTTCTATCTGGATTGTGCTAGAGGGAGATCTCTCCTTTGTTTTGTAAACTTCCTGTGTGGTCAGTATCTTTTTGGATTCAAATGTTTCTGAAAAGATAGCTTTGTGAACATGCCTTCAATGTTCTGATGCCTTTGGGAGATCTCTTATAGCTCTTCCTGGGTGTTCATGGATCAATGGAAGCTTTTGCCAAAAGCTGTGAATCGTATGGCTTTTGTTGGCACTGTTTTCTTCTCTAGACATGTAGCATAGAATGGTTTCATTTGAAAGGGACCTGCAGTGATCATCCAGTTGAACTGCTGAGTTCAGCTATATCAGGATAGTAACCCAGGATCCAAATTGTTAATGTGATAAGGTAGATTGAAAGTAAATGGGAAAGCAGATCCAATGTGTGAAAAAAAAGCTGTTCACTTTTTGGCATGGATATTCATATTTCCTGTACTGGAAATGAACAGTGCACCTAATTATTTGAATGGGGGTTTTAACAGAAAGAAAAATACTTACTGACTGGTTCACACAGTTAAGTAGGATCAGTAGCAGCATAGCAGTGCAAAACCTGCACATGGTGGAAGCTTGTTTAGGATGGCTTTAGAGTAAGAGTGCCCAATTCCATCTTGACTCCATTTTCATTAAAGCACACTTCAGGTTATCCACACTTCAAAGTGAAGAAACCAGATCTTTGTAATAATCCTCATCACAGATAACAGCTAGTAGGTGTTGTTACTAACAATTATTTCACTGATTTCATTGTACTACTCTTCTCATATCTTTTGCCATTACAACTTCTTTTAAAATAGTTATACATATTGCAGTAGTGACTAGAGACCTGCAAGTGGTGTGAATATCAAATGTTGTGTTGTAGCTGCCTTGCTGTGAGTCAAATCCTCTTAAGAAATAAGGATTCAGCTTGATTAGGTAGGGTATGTTAAATATGAATGGGGTAGAAATTAATGGAGCAAAGAGACATTCAAACAGAAAAACCCTTGTTAGTTACAGTTGAAATTAGATTTTGTATCACTTGCCAGAAGAGTCTGTCTTGGAATGATAAAATTTTGTTTCATGTTTGCTCTTAGCTACTCAGAGTCCAGTGTTGAAATCCGTATCTCTACCTTCTGCAGGAAAAAAAGAGATGGAAATGGGTAATTAGCCAATTAGTTCCGTGATTTTTTTTCCATTATCTTGGCATCATAAAGATCTGCAAATTTTCATCTTGGCTACCAACATTCACAGAGAGCTGCTTATTTTCACCATTCTTGTGTCTGTGTAATCACCTGAAGGATGTATCTGTTGTCGGCTTAAAAACTGCCCAAACACGGTGTTGTCGTATCTCGTCATCATCTTTCTTCTTTCGGTTTAGCTGCAGCTCTTACCCAGAAAATTTAATAAGAGAGAATTCCTTGCTGGTAAGAGTTCTTTCAAGCATGTGGCACTTGCATTCCAAGGCCAGAAGCCTGTATTTTCCAGCCATCCCCTCCCCTTGTCGCAGCCATTGTCTCACATCTCACTTGAGGCCATCTGCCGTCTTGCTCAGCTTAGCATTGGCACCATCTGGAAATGCACAACCTTTGCTCAGTGTTTGATGCTAATCCATCAAAGCACAACTCTCTCAGCATTTTAAGCTTAGATTCTTTTTTCAGCTTTTGAGGAAAAGCAGACTGTTTCTTCGGGATCCAAACCATCCAGTACCATGGAAGTGCAACCAACCCGACCCGGTAATGGTTCTCATGAGGTTAATCCTCCTGACAGTTGGGAATTTTTGGAGGAGACGGTGCCCCTCATGGAATAGTTTGTTCAGTTTAACATAAATGAAGAATAACTGTGGGTATGAAAGCACTGCATCAAGTATTAGGTCTCTTTATGACATTCTATGTGAAATACTAAGCTAGTAGTTCGGGGGCTTTTCCATGTTTGGCAACAGCGTGCAATTCTTAGTTTTAAATGTAAATTGGACTTACTGTAAATGTAAAATTTAAATAGGACTGTCCACACCTGAGTTTCATAAATAGAATATCCTGATTTGCTGAAGGATTCTGAGTTCTAAGAGATTATTGAGAACTGAAGAAGTTCCAACATATTTTGAAACGATCACTCTTCTCTTAGCCTTTCTGTATAAACAGAGATATAATTCTGCCCAGATTTCTGAAGTGGCACTATAAAAACATATCACTGAAGATTCAGATGCTTTCTAGATGGCCCTTATGAAATTTCTGTTATGTGTTTCTATTATTTTATAGATGTTATTTGCCTGGGGCAACTGACAGTTTTCCAAAATAATGAAAAAGAATAATAAGATGAGAGCCAGTTGGAAAGATTTCATTTCATTAGCATGCCAATAGTCTAATGCCTGATGCATATGTTTTTGGAAGAAATTAACATTGAAGAAAATCCCTTACTGAAGGGGAGATTGGTTACAATAGTTAGCTGTTCAAATGTCTGACAAAAGGCAGTTTCCATGTTTCTTTTGGTCCAGCTCCTGTTTTGTCATCCTTTTTCCTTCTCCAATTTCAGCACCAGGATATTGTTCTTCCTGATCCTAGAAAAAAATTCCATGCAGTCACAGTTTGCTACTTTTTATTAATAATATGTTCTCCTATTTTGAATAGCCTTGTATTTTCACTTTTTAAGTCTGTATGTCACCTTTTTATGTGAGTCTGATAAAAATTTGGTCAAAAAATGCATTATGCATTAATGCGTGTTTTTGGAAATTATTTCCAAGTCAATAACTTAATCAGTTATTGTACATTTCAGACTCTGTCTTTCTGTGCAACATAGTATGTTAAGTATTACCCAGAAGTTTTGTCAGCTTATGAAGGAATATGATGTTGCAGAAGGTTTTTTATCACTTCAAAACAATGCAGCATTATTTTTGCTTTTATTTTCCAGCTTCACATGACTTTCTTCATATTATTTCTACTCCCCAGACTTTTACATCTTCAGAAATACCAGACACTGGTAAATTATAACAATATTCTTTCAAAAGCCTTTTTTACCCTTTTGATTGGTTGGTGATGAAAAGTTCTTTGCTGCTTCCATGTTGGTGATTTCAGACAGCCATTGCATACCCCTTGCTGTGGGTGTAGCCCTACATCTTATTTTTTCCACTCCTGTGTCACCACTCTCATTCCTGTGATGAGGCAGAGCACAAGTTTAAAGCAAGTCTGCAAGTAGCTTGCAGAATAATACAGTATTGATCAAAGAACTGTGTCAGGAAAAGATTTAAATTTTGCTAGAATTAAGCCTGTTCCAGTCAAGTACAATACCGTGCTTTTTAGTGATATTTTTATTTCTTTTATCCTGTCAATTTTTTGCAAACAGTTTGCTGTGATTTTTTTCCTATGTATTGTCTTAAAATAAGTAAATCAACATAACTAAGGCCAGACCTTTCCAACTAAGCTATACTTTGAGTTATAGCTTTGGGAGTAGATTATTTTTCCTGTAGCCTTAGGGAGGTGAGGATGCCCAAGTTAACATCTTCAGCTAAGTAGTTAGTGATGGTATTTGAAATGGAAAAGGAGGTTAATTTTTAAATAAATAAGCGAAAAAATAATAAATGCTTTGCAGAGTAGTGGAAAGTAAAGTTTCTCTCCACCAGATGTTCCTTTTTAATTTACTTACATGAAATTATTTCTCAGGTTGTTTTGTTGTTTTTTGGTGTTTTTTAACAGCAGCTGGCGATATTACTGATTTGGAAATATCCATGCCTGTAATTACTACAGAGCTTCAGCTGTTAGAATGTCATGGGGCAAAATTCAAAAGTTGACTTCAATATAGTTTCAAAATTTCATTTTCTTTTTTTTTTCTATTCTTGCTGCTATTTTTGGAAGTTTTGCATTGCTTTAGTTGTCACCATCACAGTAATTCATACATTTATTGCTGTTGTAACTAGATTCTCATCTGTACTTATTATTCATCTTTGTAGATGCAGGATCAGAGGCAAAGATGAGAGTTCCCTTTAGTTGGTTGTGTTTGATTTTCTCATTGTTAAGATTCCCAGCTGTGGACCTGCCTTTCTTAGTTTTGGAGTTTTTTCCCTGTGCAGAGAGAACTTAGTTTTGAGTGGGAGTAAAAAGCTTACACATATTTCTGTGTACTGTTTCTATTAAAAGGCAAGCTCCCTAACTGCTTTCTGGATCCAAAGGTGTTTTCTTACTGTCTCCCATGCATTATATGCTATGATTATTAGGTAATAAGAATTCTCATTAGTATGAACAAAATGGTTTCCACATTGACTTCCATACCAGCCTAAACAGTCCATGAGACAGAGGACTTGCCAGCAATCTTCCCTGTGCTTCCATTTTAACAAAGCAACACCTGTTCACCAGGTCCTGAGTTATTCAGGTAGCTCTGAGGCAATTAAACCTTTTAACACAAGATTATCTTTCCAGATGTAGGTGAAAGGGAACCTCTTTCTTCCGGAGTCACAACATCTGGCATGCCAGAAATGCCACCGATCTCAGCTGGTAATGATACCTGTCTTCTCTGTAGTTCTCCTCACATCTAGGCAGCCTCTCAAAAAACACAGCAATGCTTTGCTAAATGGAAGGTTTATCCTAACTTGCTCTGTATAAAGCAGTAAGACAGAAACTATTTGCATCTGCTGCAAGGTTTGCGACATTTGGAATGAAATATTGCAATGATAAGAAGAATTTTTTTTTTAATGTTGGTAAACAATTAGCCTGTCCAGATTTTCTTGTGAAGGATTGTTTGTATAGATAGATATATTTATATATGAGTGGAGATCCCATCATTGTTAGGAATGATTAAATAAATATTAACATGTCCAGTTTGCTCCTTTTGCACATTGGAAAAGCTCCTCCACAGGCAGAAAAAAGATTCATCTTCAATTCTTAAGCAGGTGCAAACACTTTTGTTAGTGAGTCATTTTGTTTTGCTGGGAAAGGATTGAGAACTGAACAGAAGGATTTCCATTTCCAAAGACTGGGAATATCAACATATCCCAGAGGAATCATTCAGACTATTTCCTTATTGCTGCCAGCTGCATCCAAGGGCATGTTTGTAAACTGTCACAAGTCTTGCCTGCCTTAAACCTGAAACCAAGCCCAAAGCAATGGGCAAATATGCACAGTAGTAGGGAGTACACATAGTCCAGATTTGGCACTAGTTTATGTGTTAGGTAGTGCATTCTCCCTGTGCAAAATTAGGATAACAGGGTATGAAGAGATGACTTGAGTAGAGGGACTTCTTCAGTGCACAAAGAGATGTTTAGTTGTAGAAGTGTAACTTGTAAGACATGCTGGAATTCTGTGGAAAATACTCATTTTTTCACTTGCTTGCGAGCATTTATATAATAAAAAAGAGATAAATTCTCTACACTGTGTTTTATTAGTGTCAGGGACAATAATTTCTGACCCAGAAGCATTTATATATACAGAGATAAATTCTTTACACTGTGTTTTATTAGTGCTGGGACCCATAGAATGAAGGATTTCATTGATTGTAGGGAAACCTGAAATCAGATCTTGAACTCTAAATACATAGGTGTGATTCTTGCCATGTTACCTCTGCAAGAACTGTTAGAATCTGTAGAGGAAATGTCAAGAGTGGTTTGGTGAATTGGGTATTTGGCATTTTTCTGCTGATGTAGAACCATTTAGCCGCTGAGGTTGTGTTGGTTGTAACCACAGCAAGACACTTGATTGTGGGTTTGAGTCACAGGGTACTGTCAGGAAAGGGTACATGTGGTCCTAAATACAGACATTTAGGGTGTTGTGCTGCTGGTGCTGCTTGTACTGCTGGCACAAGGCTGAGTGCACATCTCAAGATCATTTCTGTGTCTGACCATAGCAACCAAGAGACCAGACCTGGAATGGACCCCGTCTGCTCCACGGGAAACCACAAGGAAGGGTAAATAGCCAGCAATTCCCTCCTGCACTGCTTCCTTTGGCCATGCTCTTCTCTGCAGTGATGAGCCTGTGCAGATGTGCTGCTGGCCCAAAGAGTGGGACAGTGATGTGGCTGGACCTTTATGGCTCCTTACTAAAAATCATTCTGCCTGCAGATGTTCTGGGGAGCCATTTCTAGGTTTGCTGTCATGCCTTGGCTGCCAGTGCCAGGGAAGGGCAGCATTGTGCCACCACCATGGGCAGTGAAGCTGTGACATGGCAGCCTGGCCCAAGCAGGGCCACATCCCCTTCTTTGTAGCTCTGTCTTGATGTGACCTGTGTGACAGCAGCCTGTGAGAGAAGCTGAAGGCAGTTTCTGTGTTTGATCATAGCTGCTCGAAGACCGAGGCCGAAGTCCACCACTCCTTCCTCTCTGACAACTCAACCAACTGTGATGGGTAACTAGCAACAGCCTCCTTTCCCATTGTCTGCCATCTCTTTCACTGCCCATCACACCTCCCACCCCAAACCACCTGGCATCCTTTGTCATCTTCCATGGACAGGATGGAGTCTTGGTGCAGCTTGGCTTGCCGAAGCACTGGCCACAGCGTTTCTGCAATTCTCTTGTTTGATCCCACGCTTTTTCCATGGCCCACGAGCATTTTCTGCAGGAAGCATGTGACATTCTGCAGAGAGACCACATTGCTGCCACTGGCCCTCAGCTCCATCCCCTGCTTCTTTGTGTTTGGGTGGTGGGTCTGGCTTTCCCTGATGCATTCAAACACAATGCACAAGAACACAGCACAGCAGCTCAGCCACCCTGCAGGCCTTCCTTGGGCAAGGCTGTGCCTCTTGGTTCCCTCACCACTGACATTCAAGTCTGCTGGTTTTTTTCTGCCCATGCCTTTCTGTTGCCATCACCTGGAACTGGGAATGCTTTGCTCTGCTGCTGCTTTTGAGGCTGTGTTATTTTTTTTTTTTACTTGATACCTCATTTCAGCTTTTGGTGAATATTCTTATGTTTCTCCATGGTTTAAGACACTGGCAGCCTCTGGTACTAACAATATTTCTTCCAGATCTGACAACTATTCAAGGCAGCAGTGTCCCAAGAGATATTGTTGTGCTTTTAGCCAACCTGTGGCTTCTCTTGGGCCTACATTGGGATAAACCTTCAGTGTAGATGTAAATGGGGCCATACATGCAAACCCTATTTAGTTCAGGCATTGCCTGTGGCACTTATCAGCAGTGGGGGAGATGGTTGTGGCAGCAGCTCCTTTCACATTGCAGGTGTGCAAGACCAGTCCTGGGTCCTTGCAGTATTTTTGGTCCATGGGGTAACAAAGAATTACATGAGCAGCCTGGTGTGCCTAAAATCTGAAACTGAGTGCAAGTTAAAAATGTAATGAACAGTAAAAAGTGACTTGGCACTTTTTTCTGGAGCAGTCTTGCTTTCATATCAACTGGATATTTCATGCACTTCAGGATCTTTTCCAGGGAATTTACATTCCCTACTTTGCATTACTTGAAGTTATTTTCTGAGCTGTCTTGGTTTTTACAGTGGAGAAATCAGATACTTGTAATTATAACAAGGCATATGAATTTGGCTGGGCTAAGGATATTCATTTCTCTTTCCCTGCCTGGTGATGTTGTCTGAATCACTTTTTATGTTCTCTTATTTTTGCCAAAATTTTAAATTGGATTTTTTCCAGTATCTTCATCTCATAAATTCACTTTCTCCTTGACTCCTCTTGGCCGGCGTTCTTGTACTTATTCAGTCTTGCATTCCTTCTGACCACATGGGAATTTTTTCCGTATTCCTTGTGTCATTCTGTTTAATTTTTTGCATTATATTTTTTGTGGGTTTACACATCTTTGCATATTAACATATTTCTTTTTAAAATTCTGCTAGTTTTGCAAAATAGATCTCTTTTCTGTTCTTTATTGTTTGAACTCTAAGCCATTGAGTCCATGGTTGCAGGTGATGCCATGGTGTGATGGTTCATGTATTTTTTAAATAATAAGCCACCATTTTTTCCAGGCTCACATGACTTTCTTCATGTTACTTCTACTCCCCAAACTTCTACATCTGGAAAAATGTCAGAGCGAGAGACTGGTAAATGGCATTTATTTTATACCCTATCCTTGATTTTTCTTGATATTCGAGTGGTACGATTTTGATGTCTCCTATATATCCTCTATTTTTAATGTTATCTCCAGTGATCTTTCCTTTGTTCATTATGGCTTCATGTTATTTGTAGTAATCACCAGTGTATAATTAGTAGTTCTAGCCTCAAGAAAGTGATCTTGATGCCACCTGCCACTTTCAGACTAGTATTGTATTTCTGAAGGGTTCTGATGTGGTCAGTGGGGCAGAATTTAGCACTTAAGAGGAAACTCTCAGGCTTTGATGAATTTTGGGATATCAGCATAACAGTTATCCTTTGTAGTGGGAAAGTTTTTCTTTACCTGCTAGACACATTTAAAGAGATTCATTGGTTGGTCTTTGGTTTCCTGTTCACAACTTTTTGAAGTAGTCTCTGATATTTAAAAGGCTGCTCCAGTACACAATTTTGGTCTTAAAAGCTATTTCTACAGGTACTTCTGCTAATAATTTATTATTTCCCTCAATTTATTCATGAAGAATAAAGATTTTTAGTCACAATTTATGTATTTGTATTTGAGCATGAGATTTTCTCAGCATATAGTAATAAAAAATAGTAGAATGTTGCTGGGAGGTTCTCATCCTTGCTCCTGTTCCTTCTAGCATGATTTAACAAGTGACATTTATTGCATCAGTGTATCAAACATCACTCTCTTTCTGGGGACCAATCAAATGGAATTGGGTAATTGAGCATTGACGTAGTTCATCGTCTGAAGATTAGCTAATCACAAAATGCATACACTATTGTGTTTTTTCTGGTCTTATTTGGCTACAGTTTGATCAGTGTTCTTTTAGCTTCCCTTCACAGATAAATTTAGAAAAGCTTTTATGTGTTGCAGAATTCACACTGAACACAAACATGATGCAGCTGTACTAATACTCAGTGGGTGGTGCTGACAGTTATCTTGCCTCTGCATGAACACAAGACCTTTGTTTTCTTTTGAAGCTGAGAACTCTATCTATCCAAGGTCATTTCTATCTTCAGTAGACAGAAAACTTTTAGCAGTTTATGAGGCATGACTTTGCTGTTGCCTTCAGTATTGTTCTCACCAAGTTACCACCACCTTCTCTCTTGATTCAAAGAACTGGGCTGCTTACTTGTTACTTGGTCTTACACTCTAGTAAATCATGAGTGTTCTTAACGTTAAGAGTACCCACTCTTTATTTTTTCATATAATACCACTCATAGAAATGTTTTTTTCATGCTCTAGGCTCCATAATTTCTCTAATGGAAATGGTCTTAGGGGCTGATAGAATCTGGGTTTGTTGGGGTTTTTTGGGTTTTTTTGGTGTTTTTATTAGTTAGTTTGTTTTGTTGTTATTTTGTTTGTTTTGTTTGGTGGTTGTTGTTGGGTTTTAGTTTTTGTTCTTTTTTTATTTTTGGGTTTTTATTAATACATTGTCAGAAAAGCCTAAAAATATTTTTAAGCTATTATCTGGTGAAAATGGCCTGTCTCAAAAATCCTGCTTCTATCAAAGCAGGATTTGTAGCTTTGTGGCAGTTGCAGGGAAAATCTGATTCTTGGCCAAAATATGAATTTGGGAGAAAATGTCTTGATACCACCTGTGTCAAAATTTTGTGCATGCTGTATCAAAGTCACATTGGGAATTTGCAACTCCTTAGTTAAAAGATTTTTCTGGCTCATCCAAACTAAAGTGTAGAGGAGAAGGGGTTTACTGTCAGCTGTTGCTATTGGATAGAATTTTAAAATCAGATGCAGACAGTTGGCCTCATAGCTAATGCCTAAAATTAGATATTATGTATCCAAAAAAGAAATTACCCCATGAGACAAAAATGTAGTAGGCTACCACAAATATCAATTAGAAGTGTGCACACAAGAATCATAAAATAAATATATGTCCCTTGGACCTGCTAAGGGCTGAAGATCACCTTATCTAAAGGCTGACTTCACTTACTGTTTCAAGATTATTTTCATATTTGATCTTAGCTATGCAGGAATCAGGCCTGAAGATCACTTCTCATCCCTCCATGGAAACCAGAGGGAGTGTGATGGGTAAATAGCTTATAATTCCATTAGCTTTTCCATTGCTTGCCATCCCTTCCAGCAGCTGTGGAGAGTGCCAAGCTTCATTCAGACACGTTGCTCCAAAGACTGCTTGATGCTGGGCTTTCTCCCCACACCCCACCCCTGCTCCACTCAGCCATTTCTGTGCAGTCTAAGCTGGAAAATAATTCCCCACAGTGACTGAGCAGCAATCCACAAATAGACCTCTGCTAGCTTATGTTGCCTCTAGGTTTCTTCTGGCAGCTGCAGCTTTCTTTCAAAGAATAAGTGCTTTAAAAAAGAGGCCAGTGAGAAGAAGATTGCCTCACATGAGCTACTGGAATTGACTCTCCTTCATTTCACACCAGCTTCAGTGTTCATGTAACACCTCATTTCTCAGTTGATCTTTACAGCTGCTGTCACCTTGCTTGATCTCACATCAATGTTGTCTTGAGCTGCCCAACAGCTGATGGCCAAATACTGTGGATCTGAAGCCAGTTCTAATTTTAACTCCAGATTTTCTTTCAGCTTTTGATGACAATCAGAACATTTCTTCAAGACCTGAAATGTCAGGCATCCAAGAAATACCATCAGCTATACCTGGTAATACTTGAAAAATGTGATTTTAAATAGAAATTGCCCCAGAGATTTTAATAAAAAAATTTGTATATTGTTATTTAAGTTTAATATTACTCAAAATAGCTTCGTAACTGTTGTAATTAGGTTGCTCTCTCAAATACCAGACTAATTTAGGAAATTTTGCATGTAATAGTAAATATTTTTGTCTGATTTTGGCTTATATTCCTGGTATATTTACAAGTCTGTATTGCTGTGTTTGGTGTAATAGGCATGTCTTATTACATAGAGTTTTCTTTCTAAGTTGCAATGCTGCAGAGGAGTACAGTGAAAGGTAATATAAGTTTTGTATAAATCCCTGAACGAAACCATTCTAAGTTGGAACTGTTGAGTAAGCCCTTAGAAATGGCAGGAACAATAGCAATGAACATAGAAAGTTCAAAATGGTGGAGAATAGACTCTAAAATGCTTTAACTTGAATATATTTATATCAGTGACTAAGTTAGACATTTGGCTGCGAGAAAGGGAGACTGCATAGACACAAGACTAACAGAAATAAAAATCTGCAATTTCAAGTGTATTGCTATATTGCTTGAGTACAACTTTGCAAATAAAAGGCACAACACTGTCATTAAATAAAACATTGGCAACAAATTGCTCTTGACCAGACACTTCCATAGTAGATCTGATGCTTCCAAACACCCTTGAAACCTGTTATACCAGATCCCAGTGAAATTGAACTGGTGGATTAATAGTATTTTATTGACATTTAAACTAATTACACCTAATAGTATGTAATAATCTATATAGTTTTCCTGTTCTTCCTTATCAGCATTTATTCTTCAGGCTCCTTCTACTTCCTCAATTCATAAAATAAGCTAATTTATCAATACCTTACAAAATGGAGCACTGAACAAATGCAGTTTTATCAGTGCTCAAGATTCTGTTTTGTTAAAGAAGAAATATTTAATTTCCATTCAATAATGACAGTTTCCTCCAAAGTCTATTTCAAGTTGTTTCCTAAGCCCCCTTGCAGCAAAAAGTAGTTAGGTTTAATTTTCATCTCATTGCCACTTTCTGCCTTTTTTCTGCTGTGAACACATTTTCTTCTAAGTCCAAATGACCAGCCTGTTAAAGGACAGTTTTGTATCTTCACTTCTTGATCAGCAGCTAGAAAGCATTTTTGGTACAAGGTGCAAAAAAACTGATCTTTTTCACCCATTTGTATGAATTTCTTCCTTGTGTTGGTGTAATTTAAACTCCAGAAAGTGTTGAAGAGGTTTCCTAGGAGTTCTGTCTAGCATCAGATACTGGATCTTCTTGTCGCCATATTGGGACACGTCTTTCTCCTAATTCACATAACACAGAAAGGACTTTCAAGTGTCCAGTATCTTGCTTGTGCTTGCAGTGACATCATCCTGAGCAACACAGCTTGTGTGTTTGCTATCCCAGCAACAGTCAGATTCCTCAGCACTTTAAATCCAGATTTTCTGTGCAGCTCTTAATGAAACACAGACAGTTTCTCAATTCCCATCTAAAGCATCTGGAGTCACAGAAATACCATCAGCTCAGTCTGGTATTGACATTTCTTGCAAACTGAGTGCTCTTGAATTATCAGAAGGGTTCCCAGGGTGCTTTTGGAGAAATGTTGATTTACTTTCCTTTAGGGATTAGAACAACTGCAAGATAAAAATTCTGGATTGCCTATTTTTGTTTAAGGCAATATCTATGATGTTTAAAATACTGGATTATGGTCTTCTTCCCAAATTCTGAGTTCACTTTTATAGTACTAATTGGTAGTGTTAGCCATGATTGACACTGGCCAGTTATGTATTATTGAATGACATAAAACTTTACCATGTGATACTATAGGGCTTGTAACCAAATTTTAATTTCTCTACTGTATACAGTGTATCTTGATACAGATAGCTATGGTATTGCTTCAAGTCATACTCTTTTTTATTTTCTAATTACTTTGTCATTACCAAAGTCTATTTCCATGATTATTGGTATTTAAGACATTGTCCTGATCAATTACAATGCTGGGGGCAGAGAGTGACATGTGCAGGAAATTTTTTTTGTGGAGGTATCTTCTGTAAATACTGTTCATGTTCAGTTGTGGTTCTAAAACAACTTAATGGTTGTTCAAGTTGTAAATCCTGAAGTTACACAGAATATTCAACTATATTTCTCATTAAGGAGGACTCTCCAGCTACAACAAAAATCGTTTTAGAGAGATTAAAGGTAGTACAGTGAGCATTGCAAACCCAAGTTCAGGGTTAGGGGCTTTTTTAAACAGCTTGAGACTTGATAGTCTAGCTACATCTATGGGGAGAAAAACCCCTTTATTTGGGGAGATAAAGATTTGTCAGCTTTCCGCATGTGTCCTAAATGATCCAGTCAATTTCTTTCATATTTTCTTCCTCTATAGGACAAATTTAATGCTGAACACAGGAACTCTCCTTTTTTCTCCTGGTATACTCTGAACCTTGTCTTCTACTGCAGATCTCTATAGATATTTGTAAATGTTCTATAGTATCTCCCTGTACGTTCTATAGTATCCCCCTGTAGTACCTACTAACAAGTAGGTACTTCCTTTTATATTTGCCATCATAACAGTTATGCTAAACACTTCTTTAAACCAGTGGTAGACAAGGAGAAGATATTCAGAAAATGTACTTGTGAAGCTCTTATTATTTCCATTTTTCAGCAACAAAATTAAGATGGAGGACAGTAAGTAACCCTGTGCCACAGAGATGTAGTCAGATGAAAAGGGACAAATTTCTGAAACTTTCAATCCACTCCCCGGTCAATTTACCCTACAAACTTTTGATGCATTTTTGAAAGATTTTATTTGCTGAGACTGGAGGAGTCTAACAGAATTTTCAGAACTAGAGCTCCTTGTTTGAAGTGTTCTCTTTGTTGGTCCATCAGATTTGTGCTCTTCTACTTTTTCTGTACTGTGTTCTTGCAAGTGTTGTGACAGTGTCCAAACTTTGATTCCATTTTCTGAGATAAACTGTTTGATTATCATCTGTTTGTGTTAGAAATTTGTTGTTTGCTTGTATGAGAAACATTTTTCCCTTTCAATAATACATTCTTAAACAAGAGAAAGGATTTTTTATTGTGATCTTTGCTTTCACTGTTGTCATTTCCATATCTGTTCACTAATTACTGTGTGGTAAATGTGACTCTTCTTGTAACTTATCCTTGTCTTCCAGTGTCTATATGAAATTCTGTCTGTTTAAAGTACTTCATAGTACTTCATACCTGTTCGGAATGAAAACTTGTAAATTAATCAAGCTGTTCTACTAGAGATTCTTATGGATTTTGGTTAAGAAAGCACAAGTTGGTTTTCTTCTACGAGGGCGCCCAACTCATGATGGAAATCCTTATTAAGTTTACCCTTATGCATTTTTCAGTGGAGAACCTATTGTTTCTCTTTTTTTTTTTTTTTTTTTTTTTTTTAAGGCATATATTAGTTTATGCCAAAGTTCATTTTTAAGTGTGGTGAAGTATATAATAATCAGAGCTAGTTAATAGTTTTTCAGATTAAATTTAAGGTGGGCAGTATTTTTGATGCAAACAAAAGTACTGGCTATATATTCATTGACTAGTTTGCAATTTATAGTTGGAAAATATTTGATGCCTGAAAAAGAATTTTGGAATGTGTCATTTACTGCAGTTAAAAGCAGCTCTGGAGCATCATGACTGCCACTATTGTGCAATAGGAGCGGTGTTTAGCTAGTGTTGGGGATTTGTGGTAATATCAAGGGACTATGAACTGATGTAGGATTTATTGGTAGAAAGAGCACACGTGAGAAACCACAACTTAAATATTGACTTATTTGGATGTGATTGAAGTAATGCTTTCATATGCACTGAGAGACTGCCATAACATCTCAAGACAGTTTCCATCTCTAACCTTAGCTCTCCCGAGACCAGTTCTGGAGCCCACATCTTTTCCTTTCCTGAAAACCACGAGGACAGTGATGGGTAAACAGTGATTCCATCCTAATTTCTATCATTTCACAATACTTAAATAAGAAAAGCTGTACTTTAAAATTTAGTCCAAACATTTCAGTTCTTTTGCTGATAGTGGCAATGCCAAACATTTCAGCAAGGTCATCAATCATTTATGTAAATGATGAGATACTTCATTATTAAGCTTCTCAACTGCTCTTCCTCATTTTCATCTCTATAGGCATAGTTCGCTAAAAGAGTAACTGTCTGTATACAACACTAACTCAACTAAGCCCTCCAGATTTTGAAGTGGAATAACCTTTTAATGAATGCAAATAGTTATGTAAAAAAGCTGAATGTAATATGGACTTTAATCACACAGTCCTATACTGACTCATATTTAAAAAAAGAAATTAGTCACTATTTCTAAAAGTTTTCTGATTTAATCTTAGTTACTAAGAGACCAAAGCTGAAATCTTCTTCTCCTTACCTTGCAAGCCAAGCAACAGTGGAGGGTAAAAATATATTTTAATTTTTTCTTTTTTCTTGATGTCATTTCACATAATTTTCACTTGCTTTGAGCAATATCTGTGGTTTGTTAATGCACTTTAGAACACTTGCCATACTAATGACATGGTTATGATGTTTGAACATTTTTTTTTCCATCAGTTGAAAAGTCAGTTTTGAATGGACCAGTGACAAAAAGAATTTGTCACAGAATTCCTGTGTGACTTTATATGCAGAGTTATTTTGAAAATTCTTTTTAGAATGAAATATTCCAATATGGCAGAAACATAATTTTGTGTCTTCTTACTAATGTGGATTTGTTAGCATACAGAACATTTTTTATCTTTTTGAATGAGGACTAAAGTTCAAGCTTGATGAATAGGCATGTTAATCGATGGCTTATAGACTAACTGTAAGGAAAAAGGAATTATATTTCACAGGGAATTGCAACACCTTTCATGGAAAGGATGAGAGCTTATATATTCTGTGTAAAAACCAATAGTGAAAACAGTAAGAAAAGACTTGCATAAATTATTGAACTTTTAAGAAAGGTTGGATTTATGACTGAATATTGATAGCACAATGTGCAGTTTATTTCTTCATGCTAGAAAAATTAGTAATTAGCATTTGCAGCTGCTTGCATTGGAGAGATACTCAGCACTTGTCATCCTGAATTTTGAATTCTAAGATGAGTCTTGGCTCATGCTCTGTCTGTATTTCCTGCTGGTTTTGAATCTTCCAAGGATGTGTAAGGAGTGGGTTGGTGAATTGGATATTTGGCATTTTTCTGCTGATGTAGAACCATTTAGCCGCTGAGGCTCAGTATTTTGTTACTTGCAACCACAGCAAGACATTTGATTGTGGGTTTGAGTCACAGGGTGCTACCAGGAAAGGGTACACGTGGCCCTAAATACAGACATTTAGGGTGTTGTGCTGCTGGCACAAGGCTGAGTGCACATCTCAAGATCATTTCTGTGTCTGACCATAGCAACCAAGAGACCAGACCTGGAATGGACCCCGTCTGCTCCACGGGAAACCACAAGGAAGGGTAAATAGCCAGCAATTCCCTCCTGCACTGCTTCCTTTGGCCATGCTCTTCTCTGCAGTGATGAGCCTGTGCAGATGTGCTGCTGGCCCAAAGAGTGGGACAGTGACGTGGCTGGACCTTTATGGCTCCTTACTAAAAATCATTCTACCTGTAAATGTTCTGGGGAGTCATTTCTAGGTTTGCTGTCATGCCTTGGCTGCCAGTGCCAGGGAAGGGCAGCATTGTGCCACCACCATGGGCAGTGAAGCTGTGACATGGCAGCCTGGCCCAAGCAGGGCCACATCCCCTTCTTTGTAGCTCTGTCTTGATGTGACCTGTGTGACAGCAGCCTGTGAGAGAAGCTGAAGGCAGTTTCTGTGTTTGATCATAGCTGCTCGAAGACCGAGGCCGAAGTCCACCACTCCTTCCTCTCTGACAACTCAACCAACTGTGATGGGTAACTAGCAACAGCCTCCTTTCCCATTGTCTGCCATCTCTTTCACTGCCCATCACACCTCCCACCCCAAACCACCTGGCATCCTTTGTCATCTTCCATGGACAGGATGGAGTCTTGGTGCAGCTTGGCTTGCCGAAGCACTGGCCACAGCGTTTCTGCAATTCTCTTGTTTGATCCCACGCTTTTTCCATGGCCCACGAGCATTTTCTGCAGGAAGCATGTGACATTCTGCAGAGAGACCACATTGCTGCCACTGGCCCTCAGCTCCATCCCCTGCTTCTTTGTGTTTGGGTGGTAGGTCTGGCTTTCCCTGATGCATTCAAACACTACAGCGTTCCTAAGAGGCAAACCCAGCTGGGCTGGCACAAGAGGACCCACCTTTCCATTGCCATCACCTGGAACTGGGAATGCTTTGCTCTGCTGCTGCTTTTGAGGCCATGTTAGGGTTTTAAGACCAAAACCTCATTTCAGCATTTAGTGAATCATAGGATGTTTCTTCATGGTTAGAGACACCAGCTGTCTGTGGCAGAAATATTTATTGCAGCTCTGGTAGCGATGCGAGAAGAGAATTATCCCAAGAGATTTTGTTGTGTTTTTAGCCAACTTGCTCCTTCTCTTGGGCCTAGATTTTGGTAAAGCTTAGTATGCAGATAAAAGTGGCCATATGTGCAAAACCACATTTAATTCCGGCTTTGGCTATGGCAATTCCACTTCTCTTGTAATGTGATCTCTTCATATATCTTCTAGCAGCTTCTTCATCATTTTCATCATCAGTGCATTTTCACACATTTACATTAGGAAATTCATGGCATGTTCATTTGAGATGTTTTCCTTTCCCGAATCCCTAGTTTGTTAGTCATGTCTTGAAACCTGTTCAGTGTAAATGTTTAGATGATGCCAAAAATTTTTTTGTTTTGGTTTTCTTTTTCCAGCTTCACTGGACTCTAATCATATTAGTTTCCTGTCCCAAACTTCTGCATCTGCAGAAATACCAAAAACAGAGACTGGTAAATTGTATTTATGGTACTTTCATTGCTTAGTGTTTGGTTTTGCATCAAGGATATTACAGTTACAGCTGTTTGCTCTGATTGCTTGGTGTCTGAAACAGAATTTTGGTTGCAGTGTCTGATAGGCTGTATAATTACATGATGATATTTTGTGGTGTATCAGAATCAGATACAAATGAAACCACAGGAATTAATATTTTTTGTATGGTTTTAAGCTGTTGAATAGATTAGGACCAATAGGACCAATAGCTAGATGGATTCATTATCAGTTATAAAGATATGATCTTGACTGGGGCATTTCACCATGGGGGATTTTCTGTTAGCCATATCATACACATTATTTTGCAGTTTTCTCTATTCATTGGACTTTTTTTCAGGCTATGTTTCTATTGCACCTTGAAACTTTTATTGCTGGGGTCATAGGTATTCAAGAACATATTTGTATTCATTACAAAGCTGGAATGTGCAAGAGATAAGCAGGAAAATTATCCTAAACCTGGCAGTCAATATTTCAACAGTTTTCTGTTAGATTTTCTGCTTCAGCCTGTCTCTTCTATCTGTCACAGAAGTTTTGTTAATTTGTATTATGTCAATTAGGTAAAATACCACAAATGACAAATTACACGATGTGTAGTATGTTAATATCCATTAGTCAAAATACTGGCTTTTGTTATATTGAAACATGTTAAATTTTGACAATAGAAATGCCTGGTTCTACAAGTTCATATTTGCATGCATTTAAAGTACTTAAGTCTCTTTCCATGGGTACAGGTGAAGTCAAAAGTACAGGTTTTTCATGTTACGTGGGTACAGATCAATTGACTCCTGTTATTAAATCTGCTTTTAGGGGGACAGCAGTTCCTGTCAGGATATGTCTATTAGGTGCATGTGACATCTTCAAAACTTTGAAGTTTTGTTACTTTCTTTTGAAGTTGGAAATATATGAAACTCTGTTATAGTGGTGTATCATCTTACAAAGCAATGTAAAGCAATCTTTCTTTTTTCTGATTTTTGCCCCCCTTGCTGTGTCTGCATCAATATGCACCTGTCTCAGGGATATTTACATTTTTCCACAGTTACAAGTTCAGCTGACTTGGAAAAACCTATGCCTCCATTTTCCAGAACACCTCATGTGCTAACAACAACTGCGGGTAATAGTAATGCATTAGCTTTTCAGTTAAACCCCTTTTGGTGTTTGGACAGCCATTTCTGAAATGTTATTGATCCTAGGTATTTTCATCGTCTTCCATTCTGTCTTCCGTGTGAGTCATGATCACTGAAAACATCCTTTTTTCATGACAGCTTGCATTTTCTGCTGAGAAACTCACCTGGTGTGTTTCTGATCTCACATCCATTTCTCCAAAAGCTTCTAGGGCTATTTGTGAGATATCCTTACATGAAGTAAACCTGGTTTAATACTACTAAACTAGGTTTAATACTGCTACTGACTAAATCTTAATAAGAATTCTTAAATTACTTGTTGTTTTCTTACAAGCCTAATTGTTATATGCTCAGTTAGAACACGTTTTTATACTAAATATTGTCTTGCCAGCATAGGAAGCTCCTTTCTTACTATGTTTTTGCTTTTTAACAATTTTTTTAACTTCATCTCGTTTTTCATGTGTGTATGACAGATTATATGACATTAAAATTCACTAAAAATATTGACACAAAACAAAGTGCTGAAGAGAACTAAGGCAGGTGCTTTTCTTCCTGGAAATAAACTTGCAGTGTTTTTCAGTTGTTATAGTTTTTGGGGTGGGGAGGATTGAGTACTTTATGATGGTGGTATTAGAAGTTTTTATCTTTGTATTTTCTGGTTCACTTTAAACTGTGTGGACCATGTGATGCAAAGCAATGTTAGCTTTGGTTGGCTGACAATTTAGTTTTAATTCTCACTTTAAGCACTTCCTTCAGCTCACACTCTTATCCAATACTGCTCAATTCCTGAGGTAAGGTGTGCTTATGGTGAAGTGCAAATTAGATGTGCCGTAACATATCACAGTTTTTGGTTGTTTTTCTATGATCAAAAAAAGCTGTGTTTAGAATTAATAATCACAGCTAACATGACGTGGTTTTTTTTATAGTTTTCAGTGGTATTCAGCCTCTTCTTTCAAGTCCTGTGGCACCTAGTAAGCCTGAAATAGCAGAAGCTGGACCAGGTACAATAATCTCTACCTAGTTCTTAATCCAGCAGCTCAAACCATGCTCTAAAACTCGAGTGAAATTAATACACTGCTGTTATTTTCAGTGGACATTTGGATTAGCCCCTAAGAGCTGATTTCAAATTTGTGTTGCTGCTAATGGTTGAACTTGGTGTTTTCTCACAGTAATAATGCATATGGGAACTCACAGTCACATGATTCAGTATGTTAAAAAATGTGCCACATAGAAAATTGAGAAAACAATTTGTAGACCAGTTCTGATGAAAACATTGTGATGTGAACTGTGGGTTGCATTTTATTGTTGTAGCATCAGTAAAAACATTAACATTAGTGCATCCTTAACAGCGTGAAATTGGTTAACAGTTACAGACATTCAGTGGTTTTGGACTGAAACCACAGCTGGATCTGTTGTTAGGTTTCTATTCCAAATTTTATATGTTTTAATGTGTGACTAATTGATTGTTCAACATGTCCTCTTCATTAGATATCTACATTGTACACTGTACCAGCTCCCTTAAGTATTGGACCAAAACTTAAAATGTTCAAGAGCTCTACTTAAAATCTTACTTGGCAGTGGTTGAGATCCAGACCAGTTGCAGTGAAAGGAAATAAATATCCAGAAATTTTGTGCATCACAGATGTGCTGATTTATAGTCACTGAAGCTCTGTGCAGTTCTGAATTTCTCCCTAATGCATACTAAAGTGATAAATGTCCAAACATTAGTGAAATATTTGTTGTTCTTGTTAAAAAAAAATTATTTTTGTTCATGAAGGAAGAGTTTCTTCCATTAGCTCTTTGCTCTCCTATGACTGTCATCATTTCTTCCAGCAGCTACAAGTGAATCCATTCTGGAATCTTTCACACCTAAAACTTCCCGTCCTTTTCAATGGCCAAGGGTAACATTAGGTAATGTTGTTTTCTCCCAGTGAAAAACTCTGTGTTTGTTTTGAGCACTCCATCCCATATGAATGCATTCCTTCCACGTATCGTTTCACATGCATAACCATTCTTCTTCCTAGTTAGAGAATCTTGCTCTTCCATCATTGTTATATTGATTTCTCTTGATATACCTGTGTATGAGAACAAGCTTTTGGGTGGATTTACTGTCTCAGAGAAATGAAACTCGTCTCTTGCATGATAAAACACCATCATCATTTTATTAGTGTTCTGTCTCTTTTACTCCCAATGCACACGAATGTGCTGATTGTCTCTGATATGTAAAACTTTCAAAATGGAAAATTTATCTCTTTTGGGCTCACAGAATCTTATTTCTGATTAACGTACAGCATTTCAGTATCATCTCCATTCCACACTTCAAAATCTGATTTCATCAGCTGGCTTTGACATTCCATACTAAGTTGTCTTCAATATAAACATGTGACATGTGCTGTTTGTTGTGGGAAATGCTTGTTAAACAATTTTTCATTGTAAACTGAGCTCTTTCTTTCAGCTCCAAAAGAAATACCACTTATTCCTTCTAAACCGAAACCATCTGCTACCCCAGAAGTACAACATGTGAAACCGGGTAATTGTGCACATCATTTTCATAAGTTGGTTTGCAGAGAGATATATTCTCTAAAAATATCTTAAGGAAAACTTCCTAAAAAGGACAGGAGCTATGCAATACATGGACATCCTGACTAACTCATCCATCTCAACTTGGTTATGATTGGTTTGATTACACTTGAATTTTTTTTTTCTAGCCCCTAAACCACCACTTTTGGACCCTAAAACTTCTGAGCCTGTTAAACGACCAAAAGCTACCCTAGGTAATAAATGTTTCTGTAGCTGCTAGTCACTCTTTGCAGTCCAAGCCACTTTGTACTCTGTTACTTTAGCTCATAGCTTTCACTGTATTTAATCCATTTCTCTGAAAGAAGAAAGTTAGGAGATAAGCATTTAGAAATGTTTTTCTAAACTTAGGAGAAAAAGAAACCATTTTTTTCACGCAGTTTTCTAGTTCCATGGTACAGTAAAAATTTTTGTCTTCCATTTTGCTGAGAGCTTTTCTAAGCCAACACTCTTTATTCAGAAAACTCATTGGAAATACAATTGAACTGCCAAGTGTAAAGGTAGTGTTGTGGATGTTAATCCCAGAACTCTCAGTGAAGGATTCCTATGGTACCAAGTTAACTTGTTATTTCCACTGCTTTATGAATCCTTCTGAATGTCATTTTGGCTTGAAAAACCTCTCAGTCACTTCATGGCTCACTCCTCTCTGCTCTTTTTGTAGACATCGAACATTTTTCAGTGCATCAATTGCTATGAAACATTTTATTGGAAAGCAATCTCATAGCACTGCTTTTTAAAATGTACAAAGTTACTTACCTCTGCCTGAAACTGAGTTTACACCTTGTCTGGAATCAGACTAAGTGGCAGATGAACTAATTACAGTTTCAACCCATGCATGTTTGGTGGGAAAAGGGTTTCTAGGACTCATTCTTCTTAATTTTTACCATTTACATGATACTGCTGTTCTACTTATATTACTTAACTTATATTAGCTACTTCTATTCCGTTAGCAGAATTCAATGGCTGCAGCTATGAAGTAGTTCAATTTTTTTGATTCCATGTTCTTTCAGCTGTTTGCCAGTAATTTATTTACCGTGCCAAAAAATGAGGACATTTCTGTATATTTTTTTATATATGTCTTCTTATGGCTTCAAATTGACCTGGAATTCAAAATTATAAAAAACATTATTATTTTATCTCTTAGGTGTCTTGCAAAATTAATTTGCTAACTTAATAAGAGGAGCACTCAGATGTGATTGCAAGCTTCAACTGCATATTTAAATGCAATTACTCACTTTTACAATGAAAGACAAACAGGAATCTTGCTCGACTAGTGAATTCTCAGGAAGATTTTTTGAGAAGCCTTCTTGGCATATCTGATTCTACCACTTGCTTTTTTTCCCAGTAGCCATTCATTGCCTCATTTAGTTTTTTTGTAATACGCTGGAAAGCATAAAATTATAATCCAGTATATTTCTTTCAGCTCCTAAAGAAGCAAAGCTCACTACTTCTGCGTCTAAACCTAGACCATCTGCCAGACCCAAAAAGCCACGAACTAAACCTGGTAACTAATTTCCATAGCAAACATTTGTTATAGTGTATCACTTAAGTCATGCATTTTAGCTTTAATTTCTTCTGTGTGAATGTGAAGTTCAGCACTTAATCATCAGAAAGGTGAGGAATTCCTCTTTGAGGAATAATATTTTTGTATTGAATCCCCCAAAAACAGAAGCCAAGCAAAAAACCTTTTAACTTTTATATCCCAAGTCACCAACTCACGCAGCCAGATATCAAAGCAAATTGTTTCCCTGCTTTTCATTTTGGAATGACAAATTTTCCAACTTAGTTCAGCATAGGATCCAGAAAACACAAATTCTACTGTTTTGCTGATGGTTATAAGATCTTGCATAGAACCATATGATTTGATTGATTCCGTGATCATTAGAGCATATGTAGACTTACATGAAACTGTGAAAGTAAGAATGGAATTTTATTCTGGAATTCAGTAAAGACATATTTTATGATCCCAAATGAAATAACACCTTCACACTAGTGTTAAATTTCATTTATAATGTATGGCAGAGAGTAAAATACACCTGGCATTTTCTGGACATGAAGAATAAGTAAATAGAGTTGTAAAAATATTTCTAGTGTTACATGGTTTATAATGAAATTATAAAGCATGAAATTGCATAATTGTTTATTGTAAGAATATATTACTCAATGCTGGAAGAGATCAGATGATTTTATTAAATTCTTTCCAGATTCCCTGCAAATTATTTTTTGCCCATAAAAAGAAATTAACTCTCTTCAGGCCAAATTCTTCACTATGAAGCTTATTCAAGGAATGGCACCTATGACTTGGAATTGTCTCAGAATACTGAGCATAATTAGTTTTTTATGCTGATTATAGCTCCTGCATAATTTTAAGTGTAGGAAATCCAGTATTGTATTACAAGAATCATTACTTTTGTCTCTGCTGTAGATGTCTACGTCTGAACATAAATCTGAGTCCTGCCTATTGTTTTTTTAACAAGTTGCAGGACTCAGATTTATATTCAGCAACTCATGCACAATTCATGCATGAGTTGCTTTTTTTCCTCTGGCTGAGAACAAAAAGCAACTCATTTGGAAGCTGTTGCATAGATTTGTTTTACACCCTGGGACTGCCAAAATCAAGATTTTATCCTGGTGTTTCCACACTGAGTGTCTCTATAGCAAGTTTCTATATGCCTAAGAAGAAAAGTGATATTTTTAAATATTTGTACACATGCCTCTGGTTTTTTCTTTCCCAGCAGTGGTCTCACAAATCAATCAGGTAGAATGCTGAAACACTTTTTAATCTTGATGAAGCTTTTCATGATTCTCTTGTAAGGAGGTAGTGAAACTGGGACGTGTTCTAATGTGACAAATGATATTCTTGGTCAGAAAATATTATTTGAGCCATAAAATATGTAGTGCATGGGGCTAAGCTGGCTTTTGGGTAGGTGGCAAAATGGTGACAGAGCAGGAGCCCGTCTGTGTTCCAGCATCACCCAGAAGTTCAGCTTAAATTAGAAACTTGTGTCATGATAGTGATTGTCACCTTTCCCTAAGAGTAAATCAAAATAATGAACAATATATGCCAAATTCATATTTAATCAATTACTTACTGCCCTTACTGCCAAATAACTGCCTTTGGGTGAAGCAATTAATTTTGGCTCTCATTATTAATATTATTTTTGTGCTGTTTCTGGTAAAGTATTTGTCTTTTTTGGCAGTGGAGAAAAAAGTCTTCATTTAAAAAACCCCAAACATTTAAATGATTTTCAGATTCTCCAGCTAACAAACTGTACATTCTAGTGAAAGTTCACAGTTTCATTCTCTTTCTTGGCATTTGGGTAACTGAATCTGTTGCCCACATGAAAAAAATAAGTTTTCTTGCTGATGTGATCATGTGCAGCCATTACCCTCACTTTTCCTGTTGTTAGCATGAATACCTCTCTCCATTTTTCAGGAAAGGAAATTATAATGAATTTTCTATTGTGTACACAGATACATTGCCACACTTTCTTTACAGAAAAGTTTTAAAATATCTCCAGGGATCGAGACTCCACAACTTCTCTGGATATTTACTTAAATGCACTAATTATTTGTCCTGAAGACATTTTGGAGTATTTTGCCGTCTTAAAATAGTGGCAGTATTATAAAATATAATAGATGTCTAATATATAAAAAATGCCAATAAAGAAAAGAGGGAAAATTTAGAAATCTGAAACAAATCAGTCTTTTAAATTTAAACACCCCCCACTCTGGTAAACCACCATAAACCTTCATGTGGGGAAATAGAGACTTTTAAATTAAGAATGTGATTTTCTATCTAAAGAATTTTGGAACTGTTAGGTCTCAGATATTACTGTATTTCAAAATTTTAAGGTAACTTCCTTTAAATAAGTTTTCTTGTGAGACTTAAAATGCTTGTGAATTACAACATGACAAACTGTTAGTATGTCCAAAAATATAGTCTGAGGCCCATCGTACAGTATTTATCAATCACTTTTTCTTTCCTAATTAAAATCTCTTGGGAGGGACAGAGCCTGAGAGTCAAAACAGAGTAAACAAAGCAAAATTTAAAGGGTAACCACAAAGATTACTCAATGATTGTAGATGTGTTTAGGAATGAAAATGGATTCTGTTTGTGAAGTCACGCTACTATTCAAACAGTTCTACCAGTTTTGACTTCAAAGTTCTTTATATTTTTCAGGGTGTTTGGGGTTTGTTCCTTTCAAACCCAATTAAGTACTCTAGATAGAGATGGGAAGCTTGTTAACTTGATGATCTAATGTGCAGCAGCACTAGATAATCTGCTGGGATCTTCAGCCTTGCTTTCTGGCACTTTAGTGTTATTTACACCTGAAGCCTTCATAGCTATCCTTTGTATCACTATGGGAGAAACACTGGAAAATTAATAGAAAGATTTACCAAAGAAAATTGAGTTCTCTGGAGCTGTTTCTTTCCAGTGGTCTACAGCCATAAAGACATAAAAGAAATTCAGTAAAACAGGAAGGTGAAGCTTTGGAGAGCTCCTCTCCCGGTGTGATCCTGTAGCATAAATGCACTTTTTATTTTCCATGAGCAGCAAAAGCCACATTGGGTAATTTCAGTAAATTTATCATTCACCCAGTGTTTCCATTTGAAGAGTTTCGAAGAGGTGGATTTGAGTTGGGAAGCAAGAGCAGCTGAGCTGTACCAGCAGTTAAAAAACAGATACAGATGCACCTGTATTTCTCTTAAGAAAATTCTCTTTATTCCAACAGCAACCATTCCAGTGTCAGGCACTTCTAGGAGTCCCTACACATATGAACGTCCAAAGACTGCAGAGGGTAATGATTATGAGTCATCCTTAGTCATTCTGCTTTTCACTGGTCTCATATTATGTGCAGTTGAAAACAGCATTTCCTGGAGGCTTCTTGCTTATTCATGTGTGGTCCAAACCCAGTAAATGGAAGTATGATCTTGGTGCTTTATTATTTCTCCATGTTTCTAACATGTCTTCTAAAAGACAGGATATCACTTCAACGGTATTTACATGAAATTTTCACTTATATCAGAAGAATAAAGAATAAGAATTATTGCAACAATAAAGATTTTATGGAAGATAGAAATAACATAATCTAAAATTACATTTAAAACTACAAACAAGTAAAGAATTCCTGCAGAAGGAGTTTCGTGGCATATTGCTTGATATTTTCTTAAATGTGTGGAAAATACTGCATTTTTTTAATTAATACATCCAAACTCGTGCTCAGTTTAAAGGGGAAAAAAACCAAGTGATTTTATTTTTAATGAGGAGCACAGTTTAGATAAAATAATACATGGCCTTTTTTAGTATGGGAATATATGTTAAGTGATGTGTTTAATATATACTTTTTTTTATGCAGACAAAGAACAAGGGTCTCTCCTTTGCAGTGAGCCCTGAAATGCTTTATCTAATTTAAAGGAAAATTTGAATCCCTGTCTGCATTTGCTGTGCAAGTTGTATTCTGGGAAGGACTTCAAGGTGTTTTCAGCAGTCTAGCTTTGGTTGTTAAAACCTGGATGAAGCTGAGTACATGTATGTACTTCACAGGACAAGGACATCTTGAAGCCTTACTTAAATTATTTGATAAAATAGAATCAGTTTGGTTTGGTCAATTAGCAGCAACTCACTTAAACTCATAGTTTTCAACTGCAACAAGTTCTACACCATGAAATTCTCTCAAAACTCCTCTAATGACATTGACTTCTCAAGGTCAATGTTGCATAACAGCCTTTTCTTAGCAGTGCTTGTTAAGTCTTTTCGTTGGCTTTTGACTAAACTATGAGTAGTTAATTTTGCTGCTCAAGAACATCCAGCTCTTTGATTATCCATCAAATGGATAATCATTGCTTTGTTTGTTCATATCCAACAATATTTCATGCATTAAACACATAGTACAGTTCCTTTTTCTGTGGTTATTCATTGATAGGGGCAGAGGCTCATTTCATTTCTTTGTTGTTGAACCTGAATGTGATTTACTATGGGACCATTTACTTTCAGCTTAAATGCACGTTTTCACAAAACAAACATTTCCCAGTATCCAAAATACACATTCCTCACATTTGAAGCCCAAATGATCTGCTAAGATCAAAACACCTCAAGCTAAGTCTGATGAGGCACTTCTTTTAAAATTTGAGACTTTCTATTAGTGCAGAAAGTAAAGAAGAGAACAACTTTTTTTTTTTTTTTTTTCCTCTAGGTGGGGAGAAGAGAGATTCAATTTTTTTTGGATAATACTTGTACAAAAGGAAACCATATTGCTCCAGAAAACAGTTTGCAGACCAAACAAATAATATAAATATCTTTCTATTATTGAAAGCTGGTTTTCTCTTTGTAAGAAATGATTGACTTTTTCAAAAGCAACCTGAAAATAGAAGTTAGTGTTTTGTAGGAAAAGATTTTCAATTTTAATTCCAAAGGTAACTGATGAGCTTGAATAATGGCAAAGTCTTTGCAAACCAGGCATATGTAGTGAGAACATTTGAAAAATTAGTGGGTGGTCTGACATTTCTATGGAGTATCTGGCCACTGTCAGTAGAAGTTAATACTGGTTATTTTGCTTTTTTTTTCTTCATTTGCAGCAATATTAATACTACAGAATGTTGTACTGTGCATGTTAATAGGCATGTAATAAGTACTTTAGTATTAGCCCCCTCAATTGCAATCAAAGTTTTAAAGTGTTATTGACTGTGGAGCCCATTTTCAAACTGGGTAGATGCATAAGAGAGTTTGGGAGATAAGTGAATGTGGGTTATAGAACAGGTTCTATCTTTAGGTGAGGATAAGGTTCTATCTTTAGGTGAGGATATCTGTGTGTTATATTCTACTTGACTTGTTACTGCCTTGAGATGAAAGAATTAGTGCATTAAAATTCTTTTAATAGGCTTTATTTATTGCAAAGAAATTTTCATAGATTCTGCCATCTCATAAGTTTTTGTCTCAGTTGGTACAGTTTGTCACCAGGAAAAAGGCATGATATATTGGTTTTGTGATTCAAATTTTAAGTGGATATGAGAAAAAATTAACAGGCTTTATCAAACTAATTTTTTTCAGATGACTGATAAATACGGCTCTACCAATAGCAGCCTTTTAGTCCTCTGCTTAATTACTCACTTTAGAGGACAAATTCAACTATTTTTTCACAGTCAGCATACTACTTTGAAATAACAGACTTCAGTTTGACATTCTGTACATCAAGAGTCTCTTGCTGTCTCTAAGTTAAACTCTGCAATCTCTTCTCTTGCTTGTTCTTGGATTTACTGATTTATATCCACATTTACTGATTAATATCCACATATTTTTGCTTCTATTGCCGTCAAGTTTGTCCAATTATTTATTTCTTATTTTACCTGTATTATTAAGAATTGTAATTGCCCATGATTTAAAAGTCAGCTTGAAGATCCATAGTACTGTAGTGTTGTGTTAGTGCCTGCTTTTCTACTTACCACTGGAGTATTTAAATTTTTTGAGTGTGTTCCTTACTCACTTTGTCACACTGTTTCTGTTTCAGTCTTGGAACCTATTACACTTAGAACTGAACCACCAAGGTCACCCATAGGTAATAATATTTCCTTGGCAAGCTGTTGTGTTTGCTTTATTTACATCACAGCAAGCATCACTGAAGTTAGTCACCTTCTACCTCAGGATTGTTTCATTTAACCTTATTTTTCTTCTAGGTAATTATCTTGCTTGGCATTCAGAACAGTTTGGTGCCTTGCTTTCTTCACAGCTAGAATGTCTCCTTTAGGAAAAAAGAAATTATGCTGGCAGCTCTCAATCACCTTTCTCATAATTATGCCTATTTGCGCTTGTTCCAGTTTTTATTTTAAAAACACAAACAAAAACTGAGCTTCAAAAATGACTAAAATTCCACTTTCTTGCTTAGATTGTTGCAAACACATGGAGAGTATTACCAGATTTGCCTATTTCTTCTCAGTTGCAGGTGTGAGGTTTCTGTGCTTGTGTGTTCAGCTGGTTATCACATGTAATTGCTGTGCAATTTAACCAACTCACTCCCACATTTTCTCTTCCAGCTTCAAGGGTGACTCCACGTGTTCCTTCTAAACCTAAAACTTCACCCAAGCCTCACGTTCCACAAGCCAAAGATGGTAAACTACTTTGTGATTGTTTCTAGTACAGTTTGTTTTGGATTGAAATGTGTTTATAAGCAGCTGTTTAGTTACCTGAGCCAGTTATAACAGAAAAAAGTTCTGTTCTGTACTATTCAGCAACTTAATTGCAGCTTTCATGAGTACTGACATTTGCTAGGTATTTTTCACTGAGCAAAAGAATAAACCTCTGCTACTTCAAGGCAGCAGGATGAGAATAGTGTTGTTACACTCAGAATAACCCTGCTAACTAAAGCAAATACAAAGCAAATAAAGTGTGTACTGAGCCTGCTTGGGAGGTATAATTCTTTCCAACGTTGCTTTGCATTGGTAAAATGAATCTGTTTCCCTTCTAAGCCACACTCAATTAATTTCGTGTCATTATTATTTTCTGCATGAGGAACTAAATTGCCCAGTTATACATGCATACTTAGTATTTGCTGGTAAACATTTATTGGCATTAATGATCCTTTCCATTGTATTCCAAAATACTGGATTTTTATGTCATTAAATGTGAGAGCAGTGGAATTCAGTGGTAGGCAGAAAAAATTACTTTCTGTCCCATGCTTTCCAGTTGGTAATAGCAACAGAAAATTGCAAGGGTCTCACATATCAATATCTGTTATCCTTTGGTAAATGTGAAAAATCTGAGCATAAACACTTTATTGAAGACTTTTAAATTGTAGACATAGACCAATATCTTTGAAATCTGATGTTATCTATTAGATGTGATTTCCTCATGTAGCAAACAGTCAAAATCTTTTGTCTTCTCATGAATTTTTAACTGTGGCATCTAAATATAAAACATTGTTTCCAAGTTACACCTTAAGATGCAACTTCTCATACACTCAGTTTTTACCTTTGTGGCCATTTTTCATTGTTATGGTAGCCTGGCTTTCTCAGAAATAGTTTATGGTTTTGTCACACAAATATTATGAGCTTGTATTGATCTGTGTTTAAAACAAGCAAACAAAAACAAAAGCCTCTACAGCTTACTGTTTCTTCAAGAATCTGTAATATACAGAACATTTTCTACAGCATCATCCACTTATCTTAAATTGTCTTAAAATATCCCAAGATATTTCTTCTTTTTTTAAAATTGTAATCCATACAGAAGAATTGACACATTAATTTCACATCCTTATGACTCTAAACCAATGGTCTCTAGATCCACTCCAGTCTAGAACTGAATTATGTGACTGTGCAATGCAATACACCATGTAATGCTCTTTAATGACAGTGTTCAGTACACAAGTACTGTCTGATTCCAGTTGTGTATATAAAATGCATTTGAAGCACATCACCAAGGAAAGAGATTTGTGTCCCTAAAGAGCCATTTTCTGAATAACAGAATGATAATATTTGGATATTTCATTGAAGTCTATGGGAGAACAAAGCTCTCACTATGTTGAAGATTTCACTGCTTTCTCAGATATTTAATACGACTATTTCTGAATGAGGCAGTAAACAAAGTACATGATTCAAAAAGTATGCTAATTGTAAATTTTCAACTTTCAAAACATAATTTCCATTTTGTTTCTGATACAGTCCTGGAATCTATAACACTTAGAACTGATCAACTAAAACCAACAATAGGTAACAGTTTTACCTACAGGGTAAATCACCTGGGGACCATCACATTTACCTTTTTTCTCATTGACCATCACAAGCACTGCTTCATTGCACTCCACTCATAATTTTTTACCATTAAAGTTCATCCTGTAACATGGGGTTTGGTGATTTTTTACTAACAATTCATAAGCATCTTTTTCTCTTTTTTTCCTCACACAAATGTGTTCTGCCAAGGGGATGGAAGCACCACAACCTACCTTTGACTGCTTGTCTCTATGCTCCATTTCTATCATGTGCTGCTTCACCTTTCATACTGTGCAACAATATTGGCCTTGTTTTATATTATCCTGTTACAGAGGTTTTCCATTAGCACGGGGGTTTTGTTATGTACCAAGTGTTCGCATTTCTCCATTACTCAAGCTTTTGTGGTTCCAAAGGGTCCCCAAGGCATGTGTTCTTCTTTAATGTTATTCTTTCTGTCAGTATCAGTTCCCAAAAAATTCTAATATTTTCTATTTTTTTAGTTCCTAGAGGACCACAGTATTTTCCTTCCAAACCTAGAACATCACCAAGCCCAGAGGTGCCACGAACAAGACCTGGTAAGTTCATTGTTTTTTTACATTTTCACACTGACACATGTCTTATGGATTCTACTGTGATCCCTGGAGCTTCAGATTTGTATGTATTCCTCGGGCATATATTTTAGCATATTCCTTGAGGGGTAAAATCCAGTGTCATATAGAATTTATAAGCAACCTGGTAAATTGAAAATATCTTCAGTTATTTATGACATTGTAAGTCAGTGCAGAAATGGATGTTTTCTGTACAATTCTCAGTGAAAATAAGTCTTTGCTGTATAACTTGTGTTCTGGTAAAGTGAAGATGAAAACAAGGGGTGTCATTGCAAAGAGGAAGGATTCTGCTCTGTATTCCTTAAATTGTGTCTGTTTCTTCTTTTCCAGGCACAAGCTGTCATTCATACTTGTTGATTCACTTTTCCAGAGCCCTTGTGTTGTTCAGAGATTGAAGAATGTAAAATACTTCCTATAATTGTGTTTGCAGGGGTTGTTATACCCATATACAACCTTAGGAGAATTAAGGAGGGAGGAAGTAAATTATGCAACTCACACTTGAATGTGTGAGGTACCATAATGGGTTGACCCTGACCAGAAGCTAAGCACACACTAACCTCCTGCTCATTCTACCCCACAGTGGTCTGGGGGAGAGAATCAGATAAGAAGTGAAAAAAAAAGAGGGGAAAAAATCATAGTTCAAGATAAAGGCAGTTTAATAAGGGAGGATAAAAAGAGGTGGAAGAAAGCAAGTGCACAAAGCAGCCACACACCACATCCCACAGGCAGAGCAGAGCCAGTCTAGGAACAAAGGGTGCTTTGGAAAGTTTTGCTGCTAAGATGACTTTATGTGAGGTGGAATATCCCTTTGGCCAGGGTGGTCCTGCTGTCCTGTGTCCTCTCTGAGCATCCTGCCCAGCCCTAGCCCAGCTCTCTTGCCTGGGGGCAGAGTGAAAAACAAAGAATTCCTGGATGCTGCGACAAGGCGTATTCAGCAACAACTAAAACATTGGTATTTTATCAACACTTCTTTGCTCATGAATCCAAAACATAGTACAGAAGGGCTGCTATGAAGAAAATAACTCCCATTCCAGCCAGACCCAGTATGGGTATCCAAGGTACATGCAGTATTAGATGGTGCAGGTGAAGAGATGGGCAGAGAGACAACAACTCAGGTTCCTTTTCTCCCCAGTAAGTCTGCACCTATTGTTTGAAAAAAACCCCTTGAAATTAGTGAGGAAAGTGTACAAAGCTGAACGTAGAAAAAGACCACCCACAGTCTCTTTGTGGCTCTTACAAAAACTTCAGATATTTGGGATCTGTTCTGTATTAGAGCTGTTACCTTGAACTGGAGGAAACTCTGTGGAACATAATACTTGGATGTTGAGTTTCAGAGAGGAGTGACTATCTGTCATCAGCCCTAGCAGGGATGGTATGAGTATTGTGGAGACAGTGAGTGTTCTTGGTAATACTTTGGGTTTTTTGTTTTATTATGCTAATGCAGTTCTGGAAACAATTAGGTTTAGAACTGAGAAACCAAAGGCAACAATAGGTAATGATGCTTTCTTGTTTGAATGGTCACATTGTCTTTCTTCTTCAGCACAAACTGTTAAAAGCAGACCTGAAAATAATTGTCACCTTTCTTTGCATGTTCCTTAATAATTTAACTGTCAAGGTTCTCGGTGTCTTCTTATTTTCTATGAAACAAATGAGGAGAATCCTCGTTTCTTTCAAGTTGTTATGCACATAAGATAGGAAGATTTCCTTGAACATTTAATGGTAAGAAGCAGAGGGCAGATCAGAACAGGACCCTAATTATATGTTTTTAGTCATCCTGTGGAGGATAGCACCATTGGCAGTGCAGAGCACCATGGGTGGGCAGAGCTGCATCCTGAAAGCTTTCTTTCCCTTCCTCTTTCTTTTTCTTCTCTTCCCCTCCAGTTTTATGAAATGAAATTCAATCCTTCATAGCAGACTGGAAAATAATTCTGTTCTGCTCAAACCTCAATTTCACTGTCAGAGCACAATCACTTCATTAATCCTGGGTCATATGATTGCTTGAGGCAGATCCATTTGACTAAGGCATTTTTGTCACTTGAATTTGATATTGTGAATCATTCCAGGACTACACCCATTACAGAGCAGTTTATTTGTGTTTGAAGCTACTTATTACTTTAATAATGCTTAACCCAGTTTCTTTCTTTCTTTCAGCTTCTAAAGATATATATCACAGGCCTTCCAAACCTAAAACATCACCCAGTCCACGTGTTCCTCCAACCAGAGCAAGTAAGCTTATCAATATTTTGCCCTTGAAAGTTTTGTCATCTTGATAATGTTCAAAATTGATGAGTTCTGTGAAGATACAGAGATACTTATTGTCCAGGCCGTGCTTCGCTGTCATAATCAAATTTTGCTATACAGCTGTTATTGAACATAATCAACTGGATATTTATACATGTCAGTGACACACAATGGAGATGTGTGGGTTAACACCCGTCCTTAACCCTTGCACACAGGAAAATCTGCATTTTGATTTCCCTAACATCTGTATTTTTGAGTTGCTTCTTTAAAAGTGTAAAATTACAGTACTTTGCTGTTCCCTAAACTTTGGATATAGCTCTGTCAATTTGATAATTAAAAGTAATTTTCCATGTTTCTTCTGCTTTGATGGCTTTGCTGAGGATTTTTTTTTTTTTTTTTTAATGCCGAGTTGATTTAAATGAGCAGCAGGTTTTGGGAATACGAAATACTTGTGAAGCACAACTAGGAAGTGTTGGAACTACAGCAGTTTACTCTGTAGAAAGCTGTGTTTGTTACTGCGGTTAGGAGTGGAGAGTTGATCTGACCCTGCACTGTAAAAGTCACTTTGTCTTTAGTCTCTGCACTGGCATTGTATTGATTGCACTAACAGGAGATTTCTTTGGGATTATTTTTAAATTACAGAAATAATCCCTAAAAAATTTCTTAGCAGAAAACGAATCTTCTAATTCAGCAGAAAATTGCAAAGACATATGTTGAATCATCATCCTCAACAATGTGTTCCAAACTTTGCACATCTTCATAAGTCAAAGAATCATCATCCTCAATAATAAAGTCAAAACTTTGCTCATTTCCACAGGTCCCAAAGAAAGTTGGCGTGTCCCTTCCAGGCCCAGGGCATCACCAAGTCCAGATGTCCCATACACAAAACCTGGTACACATTGTTGTTTTGTTCTGCTTGAATATCCCGGGCTCTTTTGGGTTGTCTTTTCTCAGTGAATCAAGTTTTGATTAACATTTCTTCATATTACAAATACATTCTCTGATGATTATTAAATATGTGTTTCCAGGAAAACAGAGGTGATTTCTATTTTTAATGACTGAGTTTTAGTAGTAGCCTCTGCTTCTCAGCCACATAACATATATCACAGCTGAATAATCTGTATCGCAGGGTAGACAACACAGAAACATCATGAGAAGTTGGAAGAAGTTGCATCTCTTTTGTGCCTGTCAAAAGGTGCTTGGAGAAAAACCTACTTGAGGGTCTTCATGTATGACTCCAAATATCTCTAACTGAAACCACTCATAGGTTTGTGTGACCTGGTAATGGAATGTCACCCTCAAAAATAAGCTTAATAGGGATTTACATACTAATGAACAGCCAAACCTCTGTAACTTCTAACAGTTCTGAGAGTATCCATTCAACATTATTTTAAGTGAGTATATATTCACTAATTTTACAAAGAAAAGGAAAAAAAACGGAATGTGTTCCAAATTGAAAACAAACCAGTCATGTCAAAGGGAGTATTTTTACCACTGACTTACACTCACCACTAACTTTGTGCATCTTGTTGTTTTTATGGAGTTTTGGCAGTTAGTACATTTACAGTTGAACAACAAAAGACAGCAGCAGGTAAATTTGTTACCTTGAGCTGGTCATTATTATTTTTTCAGTACTCCTTTTGCCAATGTTTATATATCACTAGTCTGTTTTTCACATAATCTGTTTGTGATTTTGAATTGTTTTCTTTTCTATTAATTGAACTACATTCTACTCTGTTGCAGGTATTGAAAGATTCCTAGCTGGTTTTTTGTCTTTACATAAAATTTCTTTCCCAGTCACACACGTTGTAATTCCTTTGAATTCCTCCTTGTAGGAGACAAGCACACCATAGGTATTGCAGGTTCTGAAATACAGACAGAAATATATTCCCTGTAGTTGTCTATGCTCTTTCTGGCTTTGTTGCTTGACTCCAGATTTTGCTTACCTGGTTAATTTCCCGCTCATGTTTTCATTCAGGATTTTGTTTTCTCTTGAATTCCTGACATGTATCTGACCTGTTCTTGATGTGTGTCTGACACTCAGTTTTTCAGGCTGTCGTGCAGGGATTGTTTTTCTTTGCAAGCATGAGACATGCAGTGCCTGTGCAACAAACAAAATTTTGTCAAAGTATAAACCCTTAAAACAGATCTTTTCTTTCAGCTGTTAAAGAACCACATCATATTCCTTTTAAACCTAGAGCAACTCCCATCCCGGATGCTCCATACAGGAGGCCTGGTAAATTATCTGGTCTTTTTGAAGCTTCACTGGATAATTGAACAATTGCTTTTGGGGTGGCAATGGGGGGAATAATCATCAGCGCATCAGCTGTCACCTGGTTACTATTCTAGGCTAAGAAATCTTTGCAGGGATGCAATTAAATATGACAGAAACTTCAACAGTTCAAGAGTTTTTGTGTTTTATGCAGATATTAACAGAAGAAATAGTATCAACCTATATGTTTTAATCAAGGATAAGAAGTTATTTGCAGCTTCTGTCTGAGCAACACAATTTAATAGTGTGCACCATGTTTTTGGAGCTTTTATGAGGGAAACCTCCTAAGGCTGTTGCAATGCTTTTTCTTTATACATGCATTTTTACCCAGATTAGAGTGAGGATTCCCTTCAATTACATTTTGCTGAGGTGACTCCCCATCATAAATCCAACTGATCTATGTAATATAATCAGTGATTTCACGGAAGGTTTGTTGCTGTTGTTTCCTAACCATAAATTTCTGAGGGTAAATGCTATAACATCCCTTTCCTGTTGTATACAGTATAGTGCTGAAAGGATTTTTGAGAAAAGGAGGAAAGGGAGATTCCTTTCATTATTCAGATAATTTATTGACATTTTTTCCAACAGAGATTCTTCCAACTTTTGATGAACGAGATACTACTATGATTCCTCGTATTCCTGAAAGAACAAAGGCAATATTTGGTAACTGTTATTTCATAAATAATTATTCTATTTTACACCTTTTTTAGAGAATATCATCTTAGAGAGAGCTTATTATATTTTATTAAAAGCTAATAATAAAATTTTGCTCTTCTTGTCGATACTTACTTGATCTTTGGTCTTGATAAGGGTAATAATGCATGAGCTCATTTACTTTCAAAGGTTCTTTTCCTCCTCTTCTAGCCTTTCCAGTCAGGATGATGCAATTCCTCCAGATGTTATCTGTTTTCCAGTAAAAGGGGACTTTATTTAAAGAGCAGATAGTGATGCTTCACAGAGTCACAGTATATTCTGGGCTGGAAGGGACCCACAAGGATCATCGAGTCCAACTCTGAAGTAAACTGGCCCATCACAACCCTTGCATTATCACCATGCTCTAACCAACTGAGTTAATCCCCTGTTCTTCATGTGAATTGTGGATAATTTCATTCTAAAGTACTCTTCTTCTTCACCCCTCATGGTTTAATTCTACAGAAAAATATTCTAATATATCAACAACAGCATAGACTCCAGACCCGATATGTGACCGTCTAAATCCCTCTGTACTTCTTGAAACCATCCTCTCTGCTTTCTTTAGTTATCCATGTTGGGAAGACTTGCTTAAATATATGAAACCTTAGCTGACTGTTCTTCCTTCTTAAATTAATTGTCACTTGTGGACCAACTAAGGGTCACTGAACCAAGCACTATCTCCTCCTGGGAGCAGGAGCATTGCTTGAGCAATTGTTGTTCAACTAGTTTTCTGTCCCCAGCTTCAGAGACAGACCTTGACCATGATTTTCTGAGAATGAAATGGTATATATTTTCTGAGAATGAAATATTAATAGGCATTTTATAATCTTCAAACTATGTTTCTTTTCTTTTTGAGGAAGAGGAAATTAAAACTGCTTTTAAACATGTTTCTATTTCAGTTTATATTCCCTGTATGCAATGATACTTAGTATTCCTTCAGTATCTGTTTATTTAGCTTTATGAAGTAGGTGCCCTGTTGTGAACACCTGAGCTACCTGAGCAATAGTCACATGCAGAAAATGGTTCCTCAGAGCAAGGGCGATGGTAACTGCACAGGCTAAGGCAGATCATTTTGGACCTTTCAAATTGGTGTAGACCACAGACTAAAAGTGCTGAGATAACCTTTTCCAGAAAATGATTCCTACTTTTACTTACAAGATTTTTTTTACTGTATAGTGTGAAGATAACAATATTAAATCATTCCCACATAAGAACCAAAGAATTTAATTTAAAAATCAAGTTTGACACAAATGTTCCTGTGAAAAAGAAATCCTGTCCTCATCTACTCATGTGTGGCAGATGAGGAAGACAAAGGTTACCACTGTCTATTTTTGTCCTATTACAGAATTATGATGTCAATCACCATGTTCTAGACTGCTTGATGCAAAGCTACAAATTTGTATATATTTATAGAAGTCTTCTGCCATAAGTGGCCATTCAACTTGTTTTCCTTTCTTTGCAGGAATTCCAGCTTTCAGCTTATTCTTTCATAATTTGCCTTATTCTAGATCAGATCATACTTATGTTCCCCGTGTGCTGTGAAAAGCAGTTTGTTTTTTCATTTTAGTTTTGGGTGCTTTTTGTTTTTATTCCAGCTCCAACTGAAAAACCATTCATTCATACCAAACGAAAAACAACTGAAAGACCAAGAGTGCCATACACCAGACCTGGTAATGGAGGCATTATTTTAATTTTGTGTTCAATCATTCTTTCCCCAAGTATCATGTTTTGTGGTTCTCAATGGGATTATTCCTAGCCAGTTTTGTGGTGAAACAAATGCATTACACTTCAGATGATCAATCTAAAATAAGCCAAAACTGCACTACAAATAACAGTAAGATATGTATAATATATATAATGGTATTCCTCTGTCTATTACACATAGCAAATGATGACTAAAATATAGTAATGGATATTGACAAATTTCTGTGGCTAGGCAGACTGAATTCTCTGTGATTACTGGCAGTCTTGGGTGCTCCTCTGTGAATATTTTTTTTTATCTTTTCTTGAAATGCAACAGAACTTCTTTCAATGTGCTTGTGCAGTTAGCTACAGGCATTGTCTGCTGTACTGAAATGAAAATAGCTTTAAAAATAGTTCTGGAGGGCTGTGTGGTTTCCCATTTTTGATATAAATATATAGCAGAAGTTAATAGAGAGATAATTATGTCTGTCAGCAGCTGGTTTTCAAGATATTCTGCTCCTCCTTAGTTTGGGACATTTTACAGGTTTTACTAAATGTTGCTTTGTTTGGATTACAGATAAATATTCTAAGATTTTTCACATTTTCTCCTTAACAGCAATATATCCGACAACTCCACAACCAATTTTTACAAAATCTTCTACCACCACTGGTCGATCAAGGGCAACGATGGGTAAATAAGTTTCCTTAACACTAAGATGCAGGTATTTCTAATTTTTCAGTGGAGAAATTTCTAGAGAACATGCTCCAATGTGGTATTTATATAACACCATTCCACTATCTGTCATTCTGCTGCCACGTGCATGTATCTTAGGATACATAGGATTCTCATTTCTATTTGCCAAGTAAAGGAAAAGTAGCCTACAACTTATGTCTGATCAGAAGTCTATATTTGTCAGATCTCCAACCAAAGTCAGTAGCCTCGTTTTTCTTTTAGAGCAAGAACTTTAGCCCCTAACTCAACTTATCCTACAGCACACTGCTGGGACGTTTCTGTGTTTTGGCTAGTCATTTTGTTTCAGGTTCCAGAAAGCCATGGAATTGTTATTGTCTTTTTTTCAGGCATTTGAGGCATGCATTTTCTGTGGGCTAAGTATGGCATTGGATCATAACTCCTGAAGAATACAATAATAATCTTTTTCCTTTTCTTTCAGCTCCAAAAGAAACACTGCTCATTCCTTCCAAATCCAAAACATCTGTTGGGCCAGAAGTACCACAAACTAAACCTGGTAATTTACAGTTTGTAACTTTAGAAGTGTTACTGTGGCACTGCCTTAGTTATATTTCTGCTGTCAATGATTTTTGTGATCATGGGGCATGCATAATAAGGAGACAGAATTTTGTGTCATTGTTCAGCTGAGAACTTGTTCATAAATTCTATCAAAGTGAATGGCCAAGAATTGGATCAATTTCCATGGAAAGCAGTTGGATGGGTTTAGTAGCCATCAAAAAATGTGAGAAATTTAATTAATTTTAATAAAAATGTATTTCTGTGCTTACATTCAAAAAGTCTTTTGTTTTGGGGAATTTTGTTAATCTAAATACATTTGATTCCATTTCTCAAGTACTTTTGAAAATCAGGTTACAGAGTTTCAGTCCAAGATATTTTACATGCTTAGAAGTGCCTTCAATACCAGTGGTTTTTGCAGTAACCATGGTAGATTCAGGGATGCACATCTATAGTGAAGGGTGGTGATATCTGAGCTCTACCATGAGATGATCAATTTCAATAGAAATTGGTAAGGAGGAAGGAAACAGGAGAAAAATCAGGTTAGGTGAGACTACATGTCTATAAGAGCAGCTCCTCATCTTTTCTTCTCTCTGATCTAACCTCTGAATTGATAAAATTTTATTCTTAGACAAATTACCTTAATTAATAATTTAGTAATTTCCCCCCTGCTTCTTTCTCCTTGCCCATTTTTATGGCCAAAGAGATTTCAAGCAGAGACCCCATTCATTCAAGAACTATATTCTATCTATACATACACCATATGTATATATATATTACTGTAAACATCAAACTGAGCAGTCCAGGAGAAAGATTTCTTTCCTAAATACCTTGTTTTGAAAGGCTATTCAATAACCAAGTTAGATTCTAAGTCTCAGTTGAACAAGAGCTATTTGCAATCATGTCATAGTAAACAGGTGCCATCTTTTGGTACTACCACAAATTTCGTTTTAGGGAAAGAATTTTAGAGAACAGATTTACAGGCTTATTTTTTGCCTTTTAAAAATCATTATAAAATGTATATATAAAGTCTAAATCATTATAAAGGTGCATTTGCAAAACAAGCTACTGGTAGGAAAAACTGTAAATAAATGTTTACTGTGAAGTATAAATGGCACCTTTCAGCAACTGAGTAAGTAGGTTATTTTCCTGTTTCCACATTTTTACCTCATTTCTTATTTTTTTACCTTATTTTACCTTATATTCTTATTTATTGAAAGACAAAGAGTCATGTAGTGTGTGCCACTGCCTGCCAGTCTGTCCTTTTCATCCAGCAACTTAGAGACCTTTCAATTAATTCATTCAAACTTGAGTGAGGTCTGAAAAATAAATACATTACTCATAGCTTCTAGAAATTTTTGAGAAATATAAATTAATCAACAAGTATGAGAAAGGCCAAAGACTGTCAGAACTCCAGGTTTAGGGCAAGTGTTCTGAAGTTAGTGGGGGCCCAGCAGAATGCTTGCACTGTCTGCTTGTCAGCATGAAAATACATCCAGACTAATCAGAATGTGCCTGTCTCATGTCTGTTCAAATTGTCCTAGCAGATGTGCAGATAGGATTTTAGGAAACAATGGAGAGACAGATCCTTCATGAAATCCAGCTTCTTTAATTTGCCTTCTCACAGAACAATGGTTTATTTTTTATAGCTCCAAGGGCAACACACCTGGGATCAATTAACCTTGTAACAGTTCATGTTGTTGATGGGTCCAAAATAACTTGGGGTAATGAGAATATTGCATCAGTTTATTTTTCATCAATCTTTACTTTCTCTGCTTTTGCTATATGGCTAAACCTACACTTTAATCAACAGAAATACTTTCATATATCTTTGTCATGTTCATTTGTTAGTTACAGTCCAGTGCATGTACAAAATGTTGCTGGTTTTAATTTTCCAGCCATTTTTCTTATTCATGTGATTCTTTATAGAAATAAGTGCTACATATACAAGGCTGAGGAGTCACATAAAAAGGCATTGCCTTATTATCTTTTCTGGTTTTGTCTGACTTACTAATGATATATATCTTACCAAACTTGAAAAGTCTTTTACATGTATAAAAGCATGATTTTCAGCCAGATTTCTAGCCCTGACTCTTTTGTTTATGATTTGGACAGACAGTTTGAATTTCCTTTCCATCTGTGATATCTTATGTTTAAAAGGAAACCATTTACATTTGCTAAGCAGCAATATGTCCATTTTCAGTTCCCAATGAAACATACCACATTTCACCCAGGCCCAAAATTGGACAAGCAACTGAAATTCCTTGGTTTGATACAGGTAATTTTTTTAAGATTTTCTTAAGTTGTGGTATTGAGAGTCTGTAGATCTTAAGTAAAATTAGTACAGTTTAATGTTTAATGATCTGTTTATTATTAACTTTAAAACTGTTTCAAATACATAATATGAAAATTTATTCTTCTCCTTATCAAATATTTTAGTTTTGTTGCTCTGAAAATGGGATTTGCACAGTATTGCCTCAAATACTGAAGATTATGTGAAGTTTTTAAACACTATTAGAGCTGTGTATTGGATGCTCATATGTACATAGTGTTGCAAACATCGATGTAACTGAGTTCCAACTTTTTCTTACAAAATCAAAATCTGTAAAACTTCCCCAATCTAAATGTTAAAAATGAGCAATGTGTTCTGGCCTGTATTTTCTCTGATGCTTTGGAGAGGCTGGATTAAGGGTTATGGGTCGAACATTTATTTGTCTTGACTATCAAATAACCAGCTCTACTTTAAAAAACCTGATTTACCGACGTTGCTAATTGGGCACAAGATAACAGTGACTATTGCTTGTGCTTTCAGCTTCCACAGATCCCATAACATCTAGAGTATCAAAATTATTTTACAAGTGAAAGGCAACAATAAAAAAGGTTGAGGGCTTCTGATTTCAGCCTTGCTGATGACACTGTTCTGCAGCTGCCCTGCACAGTGTCTGCATTGAATGCTCCCAGTTGTTTTCTCAGCAATATTTTAATGTTTCATAGTTTTATCTAAGTCTTTGGTTTGGGAGGGTTCAGTTCGGTGTTTTATTTTGAGGTTTTTTGTTTGTTTGTTTTTTACAGAACCTAATTAAATGTCTTAAGGCCATGGATACCTTGCAGAGCTAACTCTGTATCCATATACAGTTGGGTAACTGGCTGTAAATATTTTACATCTTTTTCCTAAACCTACATATGAATGTAACTGGTCAGACTGCATGATGGAGCCATCTGGCCACTAAAGAAACTAGCATTTTCCACATGCATTTTGGATTAGAACTCATAGAACTCTCATGTGTCCATTTTGCTGTATCACATTGGTGCATGGACCTTTTTGTCTGGCAAATTGCACTGCACTGTCCCTGTTCTGTTACGCACAGCATTGAAACAGGACCTTATTTCTTTTAGCACCTCATAAAACTCGTCTCACTTCTGCAAGACCGCAGCCTACGGATAAACCACAGACCAGACCTGGTAATAATTGTTTATTCAGTCTGGGATGGGGAGGAGATTAAATAGTTAATTAATTTTATCTATTCTTAGTGGAATTTTAAGTATTGCTGGGAGGGAAAAAGGGGGATATCTTTCAATCAATTAATAATTCTAGTGGTAAAGCATTTCCAAATCAGAAAAAAAAAAGAAAAAAGAAATGAAACCAAAACTATGTGTGTCATCACAGCAGATGTTACTTCTTCTCTAGTGTGGAATTCTTGGCATCACATAGAAATCTGTTGGGTACCCCTCTCATGGAAATTCTTTCTTTTTTCCTTCTTTTTCCTTTTCTTCTTTTTAAACTCTCTCACAGCTTTTAGTAGAACCACACTACCGCCACTCCGAACAAGAGCACCTGGACTGCCAAAGTGGATTATGCCAACAGCAGGTAGAGTTCTGGGTTTTGGGGTGGGTTTTTTTAATTTATCAATAAAAGACTGGAATGTGATTTGCCCAACTCTTGAGCCCTGCAAAATATCTCACTGTGTTTTATTCTAGAATAAATTTAATTCTTCAGAGTGCCATGTGTTTCTACTGATCTTGTCATACAATTCCTGAGGGTGACTATGAAATTATATTGGCACTCAGTCTGTGTAAATTTACAGGTTTATTACTGTGTGGCTACTCTTTACTAATGTTTTCTAGATGTCAGATCCGCAATAAATACAAATGGGTGATCTTTTCCAATGAAGCATTTTCCAGTTTGAGTCCAAGTCAGGAGGCTTGGTAGGGAAGCCTTAAAGCCAAGTATCTCTCTAGTTACTGCCTGTGCCCATGGTGTGTTCACATCAGACCTGCTCACACTCAGACCATGCAGTGTTTGGACTGTGCAGTATTCATGCCTGGATACTTCAGCACCACAAAATTCCATGTTGGTGGATGGCAGACGACAGTGAGAGCTTCAATTTACACATCCTTAACCAACAGATAGCAAATGTCCCTAACCACAAAGATTTATTAGAAATTTATGTATGCTTGGGGGAAAAATAATTTATCTTTTTTTCAGCTGGACTTGATTTTTCCATCCAATCAACATAATATTTTCGGTGTTAATTCATAATGAATCCGTATTTTTTTTATGTCATAGAGCATTGATTTATTACATCGATACAAATAGCATTGGGAATTTATTTTTTATACAACCATTGGTTAATGGTTGTATAAAAATAAATAAATAAAAAATAAATAAATAAATAATGTACATATTCAAGGCAAATGTTTGGCTGACCACCCACTAAAAGTTCTATTGTCCCATACCATTGCTGGCTCCTGTTACTATCTCGATGCTAGCTAGATTAGGATAGCCTGAGGGATATTCCATCTATTCTAAACATTTTTGCCTGTGTAATGCTTCTTTCTGCAATATTTGGCAATTTAATACCTGTTGCTGATCATAGAATCCTTGAGCAACTCATTCCTGTACATTTTCACAAGCCCACCATGTTGTTAGAAATGGTAACATTTCTAACATTCTAAAAATGCAGCAGAGATGGTTGTATATTTAAATTGAATTAAATTTAACCTGTTTAGAGTATGGCATACATTTCTGTATTACATATGGAGTGAATGCCTTCACTAGAGGTACAAGTTCTTTGACCTTTCATAGTCCTTCTGGTAAATTAAATAAGGCCATCAAATTCCAGGACATCAGAGCCAGTGAAAGCATTAATTGCCTGATTTCAGTAGTTGTGGGTTAAAAAGGTTTTGTTGCTAACTTGCACTGGAAATTACCTTATAGAAGTGAGCTTTCTTATGTTTGATTACTGGAATAGGAGAGTGCACTCAGGTCTCCAGGAATGATCACATTATGAAATTATGCACAAACACACAATTATATTACACAGCACATTGAGCTTTTATCTTCTCCCCTGTAGTCATAACCTCAGCAGAGGTATTGGTAGGTTATTAAAAACACCAGCAAAAATTAATACATGCTAAGTAAATCAGTAGTATAAACATAATAGTAGTAAACTGCTACATGGAGTTTTATGTGTTAATGCTGGTTTAAGTTGCTAAAGTATTGTTTTAAGCAATCACATTGTGAGTGGCCTTCTTAGTGTGCCCATCATTTGTTATTATTTCCAAGTCTTTATGGTAGTGCCTGTTGCCAGGAAGAACTAGAGTTTCATTGTGGTACATGGTGTCAGAACTCACCACAAAACTACTAATTACTGGGCATGCTATGTGTACTCACTGGTAAATAAGTACCTTCTTTTAGAATTCTCCTGAAAAATGATACTTCCAGTAGTGGTTTCCACTGCCAAGTTAAATAAGTACATTTTTTCTCTAAGTTAAAGAAACATTCTGTAGATATCTCTTAGCTAAATTTTGGTGCTGCCAATTAAGCCCTTTAAGTCAAAGTATCCGAAATACCAAAGGCTTTTGTTATCTCCTGCCCACTTCTTTGTACCTCCAACCCCACTGCCACAACAGCTCATTGACACATTTTCATTCTTTTCTATGGTTGGCTTATCAAAATCCTGAACTTTTGACCTAAGATGATCAGAATTTTTAAGTGGGCTGTTAGGAATATCCTCTCTATATGTAACAATATGTTTTCAGACTTACCTTTAGACATTACATCACTTATTCTTGGATATTCCGTTATTTGGACACCAGTTTGGATCTTTTAATTCCTTGCTGGACTGGCACTGCTGTTGATTGTACTCCATTTCTTGCTCCTGACTGGGCTTGTTAGCCTCAGTGCAAAGATGTTTCACCCCATGCAGGGAGGGTTGGCAGCTGCAGGTGATAAGCAGTGGAATTTGTTTTTTCCAGCACCAGCACATGGGGTTGTGGCTGGTTTCCTGGCAGGCTTCTCAGGCTCGGGGCCAGCTGCAGTGCCAGGTGGTAAACTGCACTGTGGAAAAGAGCCAGGGATTGCTTCCTCATGGCTGGCATTCCTTTTAGGTTTTTGTCATGTTTTAGCCATTTTCTCTAGAATGCCATTTCATTCAGATGGCTTTTCATGTTGGTGTATGTAACTTACCTTACTGGGTTGCTTTTTAATTTAATCCTAACCATGTAAATACTGCTCCTGATCTACTGAACTTTCTGACAAATGTCAGCAAACAAACTTTGAGCAACATTTCTATTTCCCTTGTGAAAGGGAGGCATACATGGTTTTCATTAAAATGACCATTAACTTTTTGTTCTGTTTTCTTTTTATTTTTTAAACTGTGTGTGTATGGCCAAGTTCCAGAGGAACTCAAGTATAAAGGTATTTCAGTTTATTTTATCAAGGGGGCTTTTTTCATTATTTCCCTTTAAATGATCCACCCTCCTAATAGTATTCCTACAATTAAAGACATCAGAACTAGGAGAGGTTGCTTTAAGGTGTTCCAGACCCCGTGAGTCTTTCCAGGAAAAAATATGGAATTAAAAGAAGACACAAAGACATATGCAAGTAATAGGTCTATTCTAAATTCTGGCTAAAAGTTTGGGTGAGTGTGATAAGTGCTTTTAATAAGCAAGTTACATTAGGTAGATTTAGGCAAATGCTACAACAAATACAGCAAACTTTGGTTATGCAGGTACCTCTGTGAAAACACAAACTTTTATGTAACTCGAAATACTCAAAATAGGAGATTTTGTCGGCTTGAAGGTATTGTGGTTTGAAACTTTTACTTATTTTTCATTACTGCTTTACCGATGTCAGAACAGCAGTGCATTTTTCTGAAAAGAAAACAAAATTACTTCATCCAACTAGAACATGTGCAATATTTTGGTTGTTCTCAGCTGACATAACTCAGAAAAGATTATTAATCTAAATTAGATTCTAAGAAGCAGAATAGAGATTGGTTTTCTGTAGAGACTGTAGCATGCACAAATAATTTAGACTTGTAATACACACTTGGGTGATTTACTGTGAAAAAGTCAATGTGCAACCACATTTTGTTGATATGTTCACTTAAAGGTGAGCTGAGGAACTAAACTTGCTCTAACTACACCTCATGATGTACAAGATTATTTTTATTCTTTTTAAGGCTGGTGCTGGTCTTCTCATGCCTTTTCTTCCTTGAACAGCATTCACATGAAACATTGATTATCACTCTGGTGCTTTGTATAGCTGAAGATTTAATTAATCTTTTTAATTACCTGAAGAAAAATTGCAACTATATAAAACCATATGATGTGTTCAAATATTTTAGACACAGGGACCAGGTCACCTGTGTCCATTTCCCAGCTTCCTGCAAGTCTTACTCCCAGCTTACTTTAATCTTCAGTAAATTATTTATCATGTATGGACTATGGATTTGTAATGAATATGCAACAAAATGGTCAAATAGTAAAGTAATTGAAAAATTTTCTGCTTCATACCACTAAAATACTAGTGAAATATCAAAATAAATTGAGGTCCAGATTATAAATCTATGAAATCTTTAGCTGAAATGATTAGATCATGTTGGAACAGGGTTGGAATTTGATAATTAAAGTAATATTGGGATTTATTTTTTTTTAAATATTACAAAATTTAGGGTTTTTTTGTCTTACATTCTTAGCAAGGGTGCAGGAGGGTTTTCCCACAAACATGATGACGTTGCAATGCATCTTCTTGCTTTACTGTATTTACAGTCTTATAAAGCAAATATACTTACTTTATGTAGAGACAGGATATTAGTTTACTATTCTGGCTGTCCTGTAAATACCAGCATGTGACACAGTTGTTCTGCACCAGGAGTTGTGTTGATCTTTTAATGCCACTTACTTTTTTAAAAATGGGTTTATATAACTTTTAAGTAGGACTTTCTCTTATATGCAGACTGGATATTGTGTATACTTTGTCTCCTGTACTCCAAACATGGTGAATAATTTGGTCCAGAATTGCTCTAACCATTTAATATGAAGGATGACCAGAGATCATATAATGGGGAGAAGGAGAACTTTGCCCTTTGTAAGAATCAATGGACATTTTACTCCTTACACTGAAAAACTGGAATGTTCTCTCAACTCATTTTTCCACAAAAAAATCTTGGTTTAGCTCATCTGTTACCTATTCATCTTATTAATTTTCTCTTTCCAAATATATTTTATTTGAGGAATGTTTAAAATTAAACTGAAGACTTTGTAGAACCAGATCACTTTCCACTTACCTGAATAAGAAGATAATGGATATCACCAAGTTATCAGTAAAAACACAGATGAGACTCATGTTGGTTTTGCATGTGATATCACCTGAGTTTGAACATATTCAATATACAAATATACAAATATACCATTACTTGGTGCCACACTGTAGATTCTTATTTCTTTTTTTTTTTATTTTCACAGATGACTTTTATACACCTGAGGCTACTGCCAGACCAATTGACATAGATGTCAAAAGACCTCCAGAATATGTTGACACCTGGCAAAGGCCAATTCCTGGTAAGGTTAATAAAAGTAAACAATAGAGCCATTTTTAACAGTTGTTATTAACAATAAAAACACTGCCTTTTCTGCACACAAAGCACCTCCACTGAGAAGAAAAAATAATTCATAATCATCCTCATCAATACACATTCTTGTGGCTTCAGGATTCTACTAAAAGAGATAAAAATAATAATAATTTATAGCCACAGCATAGTCATTTACATATGCTTAGTCACTACATATGGTAGAACTTCACCACCAGAGCTGTATCCTTATGATCTAACAGCTACAATACTGTAAGCGCTGATTTTTTTTAATGCTAATATTTTCCACATAGCAAAGGAGAATCAGATAAAAGCAGAACCAACTTGTACTCCCATGTATGAGGAAGTTTCATTGAATATTGGGATTGTTGGGAAAATTAGAACGTTAGGCTTGAAGGAAAATTAAAATGTAGAGTAAATCAAGTTACAGGGTTTTTTACATATATAATACAAGACTTGTAAGGTTTACTCTTCTGGCAAGTCTTGCAATTGTGTTTTCAAAACAATCAAAATATTTTAACTGAAACATACATACAACAGGTAAGTAACCTGATGTGTAAAGAATTTCTCTGTTTCATAAGCATAATCAAGCACAAAATTTGCTTTAGCTGTGGTTTTTTCTGACATAGAAACTAACTGAAAATGAAATATTTTGTTTTACTCTTGGATTTACTATTCAGCTGCAGATATTCTTTTTAGGTCTTCTTCTTTGAGAACAGGTTACTGGATTTTAAAACACCATTTTATAAACTGCTGCGTGTTCCTAATCTCCGTTGCATTTCCTTTGCACCTAATTTACCTCTACAAATATAAGAGCCTATCTTGATGGCCAGGTTCTGATGTTTTATCATTTTTTAGTTTATTCAGTCTGACCACTGTACTTTGCAAAGATTAAATCTAGTCTGATGTACTATTAGTAGCAGCTGAAGGCAAAGTGTAAACTCAAAACAAGGTTGATACTCTGCACTTTTTGTTACTGAATGTCAGGCAGTGGTGTTTCCTTAAGTAAATCCAACTTGTGATTTGCAGAGACTTGAAGGTTTTTTATGCACATAGATTTGAGGAGACATTAAGACCAACTTTTACTTGTTTGATGACATCTGATGTCTAAAGTTAAGCTTTTAGAGCTTTGAGATCAGTCAGTACCTTGAACTGTAGTCATAAAAGGCAGTTTGGTATGGTTGTGAAATTAGCTACTACTGTTTCATAATTTTCTTGTATAACTGGAGTCTCATCTCTCTTCATGTGGCCTTAACATGTATATCAAAATTCATGGAATTGTAAAATGGTTTGGGTAAGAAGGAACGCTTAAAGATCAAAGAGTTCCACCCCACCTGCCTTGGGAGGGACACCTCCCACCAAACCAGGCTGCTCCAAGCGCCATCCAACCTGGCCTTGAACAATGCCAGGGATGGGGCAGCCACAATTTCTCTGGGCAACCTATTCCAGTGCCTCACCACCCTCACAGTAAAGAATTTCTTCCTAAAATCTAATCTAAACCAACTCTTCCAGTATATATTAATATCTAATATAAATCTACCCTTTAAACAGTTTAAACCTGTCTCTCCTTGTCTCCTACCACTGTTAGAAACCATTTCTCTCACAAGCCCTCTTGAAGTACTGCAGGTTGCACTAAGGTCTCTGTGGTGCCTTCTCTTCTCCTCACTAAACAACCCCAACTCTCTGGGTTTCTTCATAGCAGAAGAGCTCCAGCTCTCTGATGGATTTTGTGGCCCTTCCATAGACTTGTTCTAACAGGTCTGTGTTGTTGTTTTACTGGAGACCCCAGAGCTGGATGCAGCACTGCAGCAGAGGGGTAGAATCACCTCCCCTGCCCTGCTGGCCGCACTCCTTCTGGTGCAGCCCAGGATACAGATGGCTTTCTGGGCTGGAAGCCCACATTGCTGGTTTGTCTCTAGTTTTTCATGTATAATACAAGGCTTGTAAGGTTTACTCTTATTCACCCGTATCCTCAAGTCCATACCTGCAGGGCACGGCTGTTTGTAATCTCTCATCTAGCCAGCACTGAGACTGGTGATTGCACCCAATCCAGGAGCTGGATTTTGTGCTTGGCCATGATGGACTTCAGGAGGTTTGCATTGGCCACTGCTCAACCTGCCAGGGTCATCTGGATGGGATCCTTCCCTCCAATGTCCACTGCACAACCAGCTTGGTATCATCCACAGAACTGCTGAGGGTGCACCCATTCCCATTGTCTATGCCACCAATAAAGATATCTGCCCTAAGAGGCTGTTCATCCTTCTCTTTCATCAACAGAGTCTTAGTTAAGGACTCCCAGTCCATAAAGAAGCCTAGAGATTATTTAAATAAGGACATTTCACCATGTTGTTGTCATTACAAGAATCTACACTCGCGAAATGCCTAAATTCTGTTGTGCATCCTAGTTTACAAGTTCAGTCTCCACACACTGATAATTAAATTTTGTAACATCATGGACCAGCACCCAATCATTGTTGGAAGTAGCAGAAGGGAAAAGTAGGAACTCTTGTTTTTCCAGAGTATCTACACTACAGTAGATTCAATTGTGACCCAGTACTCTGAATGTGATGTTTTAGTTTGCCTGCAACTGTTGTAGTTGTGCTGCTCAGAAAATATGATAGAAACCATTGGCAAGTCAATACTTGCACATTTTTACTTCATAAATACCTTGGACAATCCCTTCTCTAATTATGAGCAGGGGGAAAAGTAATGATGGATACTACCATATAGTAATATTTAGGATATGATGACATATATACAAAAAATTATTCTGTTTTTTCTGGCCTTAAGCATATTTTTTTCATCTCCATCTGGAAATTAAGAATTACTATGAAACCTACAAATGCTATTTTCAAAACCACTACATCCTCCTAAATTAGATAGAGCATTATTTTCTGTCTTGATCTGAGCGATTTAAGAAAAAATAAATCCAGTTTTATAAGTGACTACAAGAGTCCGAAAAGGAAAAGAGAAGAGAGAGAGATGGAGATATTCCTGGTTGCATATTGTAATTATTTCCAAAAAAGCTCTCCTAAATGAGCCTTTGGATCTGCTCCCCTCTCGCCCACAGTCTCTCTGTTTATAGGGTGAGCCAAGGTCTGATACACAGGACCTGAGGTACCTTATGGAGCCAGTAATTCAGTATCAGGCAACTTGCAGAGTTGTTGACATTGGCAGCCTTATGAGAATTATACTACTCTTGAGGATTTTCTCCTTTTAGGTACAAAAAGGCTTTTGTTACATAAATGTGTTGCACATATCTCCTGGATTTTCTTAAGGAAAGAAGGGCAAAGGTGAATAGTGGAACAAAAATCTTTGCCTTTCCTTTGCATAATAAAATCCTTTATAATTTTCTGGAAAGTACAGTAAAGGGATTTGTAAGTATGAACTAAGGGGCTTAGGTTTTCCTTTTAGACCTCACTGTCAAAAGAAATTATCAGATAAATGTAATGGGTACTGGCTGGAGCTGCACATTGAAATAACCAAGTTGTGTGCTTCAGAAATTTCAACAACAGTAATTGTCTTTAGTTGTGTCATTGTATGAGGTGACAGTAACTTTTTTCAGTTTTGAATGACATAGAATAAAGTGTTCCTAATGATAATTTCATTTTCTTATATATTTTCCTTCAAGCTGAGGGTGGCCAGTTGTATTAGTCAGAAAGTACAAGAGGTCAGAAATTTTGTGAGTAGGATACTGAAGATGTTTCCTAGCACGTTGAGGTGGTGTTTGTTGTGTGAAGATGTATCCATTTGAATGCCAAAAATTATTGTCAACAAAAATGAGTAACTACACAGAAAGTGAGTCACTGAAACACTTGTGCAAAATCTCAAAGGAATTACATTTTTTCAGTGTAAACTTTTTTAAAAACTTCATGACACGCAGTTCTGTGAGATTTAAGGCTGAAAATGCAACTCAGATCATCTCATAATGTCGCCTTTCCACTTTTGATATTAAATCAGACATGAAACATTACTTGAGAAGTCAGAATAGAACTTCTAGTGTGTTTCTGATTTGATGGAATTTGATGTTAAATAATTAATAATGCTGTCTTGTATGTCATTCAGTGACTCTACCACCTGGCCCTCAGCACCCTCCTATTCCTCCTGCCAGACCTACACCAATGAGAAGGAAACCTCTGCCTCCTAACACCGTCACTGGTAAACCAGGCAGTCCAGGTATTTCAGCCTTTTCAACATTATCATTTATTGTGTGTGAGATAATACTGGCTAGCAGGGAATAGGAGACTTCTATAGCATAGATTTCTTTGATCTGTGATATCTATAGAAACTAGTCTTTTGGAACATACAGGTCTTGTGGTTTTTTTCTTCTTGCAAAAACCTTGTTTCTTTGTTTTTCCCTAACCTAGTTATATCAAAATCACACCTAGTAAGGAAGCTGAAAGCAAAATAGCACACTCCAAGTCATCCTTTAAGATCACCCTTAAGAATATTTCTTGTCTGCTAATATAATTTTTTTTCTGTTTAATGTGCACGTTGGATGGGAGATGTTGACTACTGTGCTTCAATGCCTAGTTATTTGTTAACTGGTTATTTGTTATGGAATTGCTCATATATATATATATATATATATGGTACATCCATTAACCACTGCAAAAATGAGCTAATAGGGACCCAGACAACTGACTGCACTGGGAGTCTATTATATATACTGGGAAGTAGAGTAACTGAGTTGTTTCATGTGCAGAGTTTAGTTTGATTATTGTGCTAAAGTACTCTGGCTTCTCAGTATTGGTTTAAGAGGACATAGAAAATTTCGCCTTTCCTAGTTTATTTTAAGTTAATACTAAAGCAGGTATTCAGTATCCACATGGATGTTCTGGCAGTGGATTCTATATAAGAATCCTTAGGCTAACATTATTCCACATAGTCATAAACTATCATCTCCTTAAGCTTAACATCATGACAGCTTTTTTCCTCTTCATATTGATCTCTGTAGTTCCTTGGAGGTACAAAGGTCTTTATATATTAGAATATACAGCTATATATGAATATACAGCTCTACTGGGTTTCCTATTGTGGGTTGTTTTGTTGGGGTTTTTTTGTTGGTGTTTTATTTTTTGTTTGTTTATTTCATGTGGGGCTTTATCTGCTATTAAGGTACCAAAGACCTAAATAATACTTTAGTATTTTGTGTGGCAGATGAGTAGCAAGAATTTCCAGGATGGATGAGACAATGTATATATTTATTCATCAGCAGAGCCAAGATTGAAATACTGTGTCTGTACTCATTGTTGTTGGGTGGTGTTTCCTTAGTAATAGTTCCCAGAAAACAGAAGACATCATCAGTCTTAAACCTGATATATTTTCTTTTGCTTGTATTGGGATCTATACTAATTTGCTCCAGTAAGTGTCTAATTAATTTACCAGTGTTTTGAAATTTCAACAAAATTTTCAATTTTTCCTGACAGTGGAGGCCAGGTTATGTGGTAGTCAGTATTTACCATACCTTCCTAGGCTTTCAAGATGGAACAAATTGCTTAAATGATCTGGTTCTTCCTTGTGGAGACAGTAGATTTTCCTTCTTCTGTGTTTCCTGGTGTTTTATCCAGCTTAGTTTTAAACATTGTAATTTTGTTTCTTCTGGTTCCCTGGAGGGAGAGACAGTTCCACTATACCAACAGGAAAAATTTGCCTCAATGTTCTTCTTGGATTTTTCCTGTCAGAATTCTGTCCTATTTCTCATTAACACTGTGATTAATTCCTTACTTGCATCTTTCTAACTCATCCAGTGGATATTATGGAAAGGTTTCTATGCAGACATTAAGTCTCCTGAATGGGTAAAAAGAAATGGAAATGAGAGTTCCAGAAACTTTGTGAAACTGAACTCTAGTGAGAATATTTCAGATTTCCACTTCATTAAGAAAATTAGTGGAAAGTAGGGATTTTTGTTGCCTTAAACTTGGCTCTTCAGAGTTCTGCCTTCAGTTGCCACATTCTGTATCGTATATTATGGGGAAGTAACTACATTATGTAGTCCTTGACTCTTCAGAGTTGAGATTTCGCTGTCTTATCATGCTTATCGGGGAGTATCTGCATGTTTTATGAATTTAATTCTTGTCTTTTACAGCCATTATGCAAGAAATCAAGACCTTTACCATGGATTGTTTGCCTCTTAGAAACCTGTTTTCTTTATTAGGTGGTAACAGCTGAAGAATAACAGCAATGTCACATAATCTGAAATACTTTTTTTTTTAAATAGTTGTCTAATTATAGGTGATAATATTGTCTCTATCAGTTAGTTTCTGTCCAGACTTATGGAAACCTACTACAGAAATTAGTTTAGCAAGAAAACTTTTCTTCTTGAGTGATATAGTGCTATAAATGTTGAAAATGCTGGACTTGACTGCCTTTTCTTTGCTTTCATTTGAGGTATATCTTAATTTCATTTAGTGTAAGCTCCAGTACTGTTCTGTGGTTAAACTCTTAATGCAGACCACAATTAAGGACTTGGTGTTTATCATTAGAAATGTTCCAGCACCACTTATGTCTGTGCTGTATTGAGAGCAGCAATTAATCTTACCTATATTTGAGGGAAGAATCTCCAAGTTTCAGTTGCTGACTTCAGCTATTGTGCCTTGCAACTCAGGAAGAAATGTGCTCTTTCTTCAAGGAACAGCAATGTCAGAGCTGGTCATTTTGCATCCTTTTACCAGTCTGTGTAGGATGGTTCTGGCTTTAAACCAGGTTATATTCTAGACAACTAAAGTCCTCCAAACAACCTCAAAGTAGCAAAGAAATTTCTTACTGGGTTTCAGGATTAGGTTATGTTTGCAACCAGCACAGTTCAGAACTTTCCTGAATCCAGCTGAGGGATTACTAGGATTTGAATGAAAATACTTGTTTCATGAAGCAGTTGTCACAAACTGAGTTCTCTTAGAAAATGAGAAAGCTGTTTGACTCCTTCAAATGCTGAATGTCTTGTTGCTACAAGTCCCTCCATCTGTCACTGTAGCTAAGCCTGCTGGACCAACACCACCTGTGAGGACAGGAACATTATATAAGACACCAACAGCTTTTGCAACTCCAGAGTACTATGGTAAGCATGTTAAAAACGGTTCTGGTTTCTTCTTTTTTATTTTTTATTTTCTTTCTTTTTTTTTCTTTTTTTTTTTTATTGTAATTAACATTAAGGTTTCTATTTTTCTTTTGCTTCCCTTCCCTGAACTTTATTGATGCATTGTATATTTAACATTAAAAGTATTCTGTCTGGAGTGATTCTGATTTCTTTTATGCCTTTGACTTTTCTGATTTGACTGAGATCTAGCTCGCTTCTTGTCTTGGTAATTGAGAACATGACAAGGCTTCCATCTTCCTAGAAATCCATTCATGCTTAGCAAGCTTTCAGTACTGCTCTGTGGCCATTTAAAGCTGTGCAGAGATTGGACAAGGCACTTCTTTACCTGGATGTTTCAATTTTCCCAGGACATAAATTCAACATGTTATTTGTCAGTGACTGACAGTGCTCATCATAGATGTGATAGTCTCCTTTATTTGATCAATCTGCCACCATTTAAACTGAAAAAATTGTAGTAGTGCAGTCAGAGTGGTCAGAGGGTAATTTACCCTTTATAAAACTGGGAGTTGCTTACAAATTCAGAGGTAAATCTTTTCAAGGTGACATACAGTAATGGCTTTGGAGGAGGATGTGCTTAGAATTTTTGGGCCCAAATGTGCAGTTCTTGGTATATTGCCATGAATGATGCTGCTTCTAATTTTCCTGGATTTATAGTAATACTTAAATTCTTGTCTCCTTACAATGCTCATGAACTCACTGTGACCCACAGTGCCCAGAAAAGCATGCTGGATGCTAGATTTATTTATAAATGCTTCTTGGGAAGGTATTGCGTTTTATCTGTTGAGGTCCATTGTAGTATTTGCATCATGTTCAGTGTAGTGGCTGATTAATACAACATTGTATCATGAATCCTGACTGCTTTAGCACATTTCTGTTCACCACTACATTTGCTTTCAATTCCCTTCAAATTTTGTGGTAGTTGTACACTCTGAAGGCAGAAATTTTTTTTATTTCCTTATTGTTATTTTTAGAGAAGTTACTGTGCCAATGTAATAGTTCTATATATCCCAGGAATATCAAAAAAGCTCCAAGCTAAACAGCCAGCACAGTGCAAAAACCTCCTTTTTCCATGGCTGACCTTCTTCTTCCTTACCAAAAAATTAAACTAAAGCAAATGCAAGACAATGATCTAAAAAGTATTTTACATATATTACATTAATTGAATCCAGCTGCAGTCATTAAATCTGTCATTTTGATTATGGCTGGCTGTACTGGCAGGTAAATACAGGGTTTACACAGCATCACAGAAAAAACACCTAAAATGAAGAGCCAGATCTGCCAGCAAATGTCTACCATTTATGTATTCTTATAATTATTTAAAATGCCAAAGGAACTGTGAAATGATTCACTTCTAACACTTAAACTTTGTATTTATTGCAAATTATAACTGTGTTTTCTACAGTTGATGCAACAGTCTTCAGCTCAAGTCCTACATCAGAAACGGATTCTTCAGGAAAACCAAGGTACCAAGGTAGGATATTCATTGCTATGGTATTTTTATTTCAGGGAGCATGTGAAGTCTGAGCTATCTTGCATCAAATTAACTTATTTGGTTATTCAAAAGCCAACATTTTATTTGATTCTGTGTCACTTTAGTGGCAGATGTAAGAGCTGCAGTAGAAACCAGCATTTTCTGGACCAAAGCTGTTGCTCCTTCTGGTGAAACAGGTGCATGTCTTTGTGTTAGCATACCCCTCAGAATCTGCAAGTAGAATTATAGTCTCATTTTACTATAGAAGAAATAAAGTTAATTTTTTAAATTTTGTGACAGATTTAAATTCTTTCAAAGAGTGTGTATTACCTGCTAATATCTTTAGAGTGCCATTTCATCAGTGGTGCCCGAGTGTGAAGCAGTGCAAACTCCAGGTCAAACAATAAGAAGTAAATTTTTAAAAACAAGCAAAAAACCAAAAACAAACAACAAAAACATAAAATCCAAAAGAAACAAACAAAAATGAGAACAAGCAGCTTAATGTTGAATATATGCGGTTAATTCTGAAAACTGAAATCTTTGTGTTTCACTTGTGCAGACTTTGCTTGATGTGCTGAGATGGATGTTGTGCACCAGGTGAAATGGCACTGCCATTTTTTAAAACACTCTATTGAATAACAGCTCTTTCCTGTATTGTTCTTAGCTCCCCATGTCAAGTACATGAAGAAAGATGATGATGTGCCTTGCTCCATCACAAGCTCTCTTGAGCATTTTCCCCAAGAAGAAGTTGGCAGCAAGGAAGAACCCACTCGTCCTCCCCAGAATCCTCCAACCAACCTCACGGTGGTGACTGTAGAGGGCTGTCCATCCTTTGTCATATTGGATTGGGAAAAACCAGATAATGACACCGTTACCGGTTGGTTTGATTTCTTTCCTCCATTGTGTGATAATCCAGCATTTCCAGCTTAATCTACTTTCACAGTAGTTTTTTGTCATTTAAAAGTACTTTAATCCCCAGGGATTAAAGAAGCCCTGTGGTTTGGGGTATTTTTGTGCTACTGTCAGCTCCAGTGTGGATAAGAAAATGCTACTAGATTATAACAAGATTTGCACAAGCATCATTGTTGTCAATGATGACACAAAAAGATACTTAAAAAATATGATTTCATATCTCCTCCAATTTTCTGGCTCCTCTCTGTACAGGATCTGGTAAGATCTAGTCAAGAAGTTCCAACAATACAGCAGCATATCTAGATGCACACACATAATGTAGGCATCTTTCTTGACCTGAGGCTGTTGTTTCACAGTGGGCCAGACACAATCAAAGCTTATACTCATCTAGTAAATCAGTAGAACTTTGCCAGCGTAATACTTGCAGTATTATGACCCACTGCAAGAGGGTCAACAAGCTCACTCTGTTAAAAGATTCTGGTTTTTCTTTCATTTCTAAAGGAAGGGGTTTATATTAAGAATAAATGCCTGTGAGTCATACAGGGCTCAGCACACAGGTAAACATGCAAGATGGCCATTCTTAGTTCTTCCATTAACTTCTTGAAATTAACTGACAGCTCAGTTAAAGACTCATCAAAATCAATTCTGAATTCAAGAGAAGGCATTGAATCCTGTTTTCTGAAAACAGTGATTGCTTCATATTGGCACCAGTACAACATTACTTGTTTAGACAGGCTTAAACCAGTTTTGCTGCCATCTCTTTCTATTTTTGTAGTTTATGCATGTTTTTCCAATCATCTTATTTAGGCATCACATCTCTTTTTTAAAAATAAATGTGCTGTTTCAGATAGAAATGTGGAAACAGAAAACATAGTTTGTTGCATCATTTTGCCTTTTGAATGCTTACTTTGCTTGACTTTAACTGTGTACAAGGGCTTTCATTGGGTACGCCCAAAGCCAAAGCATAATGGAAAGGTCTAACAAATAACAACCAAAACAGTGATCACACTCACCTTCTTGTTTTCATAAAAACTGCAAGTGTCAGGAACCAAGACCATTCTGCTCATGCTTTGCTGTTTGTGTTGCCACAGAAATGAAGGGCAGTTTGTTGCCTTGTGCACTGAGTAACAAGCAGGCACTGGATGGACTTGGTAGTTCTTGGTGTGTGCATGCACATATTTGTATGCTCATTCATTTCCTGCATTTTCTCTTCCAACTTGAATGAATTAAAATGTCCACATCATGCATTGACTTCAGGCTGGCAAAAGGCAGAAGGGTTGAATTCCTGTAAAATTGCATACTCGTTCACTATTTGGTTGTATTTAAGAAGCTCAAGTAAGAGATGTTACTTGATCTAATTTTTCTTCACTCTAATTTTCCAGAATATGAGGTTGTGTCAACTGAAAATGGAGGAAGTGATGGTGAAAAGGAGAAATCAATTATCACTACAAATCAAACCCATTCTACTGTGGAAAACCTAAAACCTGACACAAGGTAGCTAAACAATATCATTTTTTAAGTTAATCCAACTAATTTAGACTGCCAGCTGTCTGCCACTTCAAATGGAAATACCTATGGAAATAAGACCTAATTGGTTTTACTCCTGTTTTGATAGAAAAAAATTTTATAGTTTGGTTTAGCTTTTTTGTAAGTTAACAGATAAAACATATTTGAGCAATCTTTAGGACATTTACAAGAATATTTGTGGTCTGGACAAGGTGCAGAAAGACTACTTGACAAAAGCAAGAAAATTACCATGAGAGGAAAAATACATTTGTCCAGAATATATAATTTTCTTTCAGTGTCTCAAAAGAACTGGCAAACTAAAAATGAATAAGTGAATTCCAGTTCATGTGTGCCTCTCATGCAACTAGTTCAAATAAGCATGATCGGTCTTTAAATAACAAATCTTATTAAAAAGTGTTCTTTTTATGGTAAAATTCAGAGCAGAGAAGAGAACCGTTTGTCTTTTGTTATGTTGTTTACTAATTGCATCAGAAAGTTAATGAGTGACACTTGGGTTTTTCCTGCAAGACCATCCATTTGGCTTTGGTGAATGGATGTTTCTGTTTTAGATAAAATAAGATATAAAGGCATAGCTATTCCTGAGAAGGGAGCAGCTACCATTCACCAACCCCAGCCTCAAAAAGGAAAGGCAGTGAAAGCCTTTCTGGATCCAGAGGGCCACTGGCCAAATATATATAAATTTGATATACATTGCTTTGCTATAAATTGCAATGGTGCCTGTCCCCCAGGTCTCACCAGATTTAAGGATGTAAAGTCCTCAGAGTGGCTCAGTTCAATAAAACTCCCATTTCAAGCAAAATGTGTTTCCTAACAGTGAGGACACCTTGAGAGCTTTGGCAGAAGCACAAGTTACTGTTATCCCTCAAATCCAGGCACACTAAATTCAGGGAAAACAAGAAGGTGGTTAAGACAGGTATCATCATGTAGACAGTATCTGTACTGCCAAGAAACATCACATGTCCATCCTAAAAGTCTCCTGTCTATCAGGAGCTGCTCATTAGATGAAGGAAATGTGTTTGTGAATAAAACTGACTAAATGGGAGGAAGAGCAAAATTTAAACACAGCTCAGTATTCATTAACAAAGTCCCTGATATGTGTAAAAATTCATCAAGGAATATATTAGACTGGTAAGGAAATTTTTCCATAACTATCCTCAAAGGGAAGAGCTGTAGAAGAGGTAGAGCTGGAAAAGAAACTTGGCAGAGAGATAGAAATCCCTCCCACAAATGCTCAGCATTTGCAAAAGTACCAGCAATGTATGGAAAGAGAGATGCTCAGTAGCAGAAGGGGATTAACTGGGAAGAACCTCTTGGCCTGGGAACACTTTGGAGAAACTGACTGAATTCTGAATCTCTAATTCAGAAGCTGAATTAGAGACCCTGTTTTTTCCAGCTTTCCTGAAGCCCTCAGTGAGGTTTGTGTGAACCCCCTTTGCTGCTCTGAAGGTCCAGTGCATTCAGAGCTAAAGGCAGGTCAGGACAGATCTAAAGCAGACAAACCTAAACAAAGACTTCCCAAAAAGGCATAAAAAATGTCAATTTGTTATCTGAGCCTTCATGGGTAAGTCTAAGCCAGAAAGCCCCTGTAGCAGCAAGCAGTTCAGGGCTGTGGGCTCTTGAGGAGCTGTACCTGGCAGAGACAGTCTGCAGTCCTGTTGGCCAAGGTCAGGCATCCTATTGAGGTACTTCAGGTAGGATATGGTAGTGCCTGACCCAGAAGCTAAAGAGTTAATTGCCCAATACCAACAGGAGGAAAGCAAAACAAACAACTTTTTGGTGTGAAGGGGGAGGACAAGCATTAGGGAAAACCAGGGTGCCAGATCATGCTGTCTGTTTGCTTCACTCTTTTACGTTCTTCAAATAGGTGATACTGCTGCACCTCTGGGAAGCCCTGCAGCGAGGCAGACACCCTTCTCCCTTTGAGCTGGGCTTTAAACAAGGCAGCTTTTAAAGATTAGGAGCTGATGGCCAGACTTTAAATATTTCAGGAATTTGGACAGTGTTAGGGAGGCAACAAAGAGACTTTTACAGTCGCTCATCAAAAGTTGCATCTGCGACTGCAGCTGTCAGTAAGTACAAACACAGAAGTTAAATGGGATGAGGATTATGGTGAATTATTCTGTGTGTCCATTTAGCTGTCTGAAAAGTGACTAGATCCAGAAAAAATGCACTGGCTGAAAAAAGAGTTTTGACTTTGAGTACAGTTATCAAGTACTTGGTTTTAGCAGACTCATACCATGACAATATAGAGATGGAAATGAAAGTGGACTTCCACAACTTGTGAAGGTTAATTTTAAACAAATCAAGTTGTATATATTATGGAAGTTTGTTGCCTTTCCATCTTATATATGCTACCTTTATGGGTTCCTGGTGACTTGAGTGCAAGTCTGATACTCTGAGATGAAAGTAAAATAGAGATTTGAAAGGATATACGCTTTTTAAAAAAATGTGGGGCACAGTCAGCTGCTTTCTAATGCAATGGGTTTCTTGGGGTTTTTTCCTTTAAAAAATGTTTTGGAGGCACCTTTACAATGTGATTTCATTGAAAATCCATCTGGTTTTTGCCCAAGGAAAGACATATCATATCCATGAAATTTTCCCACAGTAAGGCATGCCTCACAGTCGACAACCACACATTACTTTAAAGGATTTTTTTCCTTATAGGACAAATATTTTATCCTCTTTTTCACCTAGAGAATTATCAAATGTGGTTATTGCAGGATTTCAAATTTTAGGAGATTTCTGATAATTTAAATAACCTGGGAAGTTCAAATCTTGATATCCATTATTAGGTTTGTCAGAGTTCTTGAAATAGGTCCTCTTTCTGTCAGTAAGCTACTGATTGGCTTCAGTCTAAAATTCTGTTTAATTTCACCACATTTGCTTCTGGTTGTAACCTTTACCTGAAATATCTCGAAGCATGTGGTGTTGTTATGCTATATGATCTAGATAAGAATATACATCTTCCTTGTACAGATAGTTCATTGGATATAAGTGGTGCTTGAAGAAAACTTCCTTTTATTTTATGAATGTCTTCTGCTTAAACATTTCTCTTCTAGATGTGCTTCTATGATCTACTGTTCACATATGCAGTGTTGATTATGACTTTATACTGTAGTTAGCTTTTGTTACCCTTTATATTATTTCCAAGGACTTAAGAGTAGGTTCAGGTCACATTTCACTCAGCCCCTGTTAATTATCACACTGAAGCACACGCCAAAATTTCTGCAGTTTTTGCTATCTTTTATTCTTCTTTCTCCTGGTTAGTCTGAACGGAGTAGTGAGCTACTCAGTCTTTACTCTGTTGTTCAAACAGTGAGTGTCTGCCACTATGAACCCTGAGCTCAAAGCAGCTGAAAAGGAGCCTGGACCAGGTCACCTTCATAGGTGTCTTACAACACAGATTATTTATTGTAAAATTGGACCTTAGGGGCACTTTCTGATCTTGTAGATCTCAGTTTCCTCCAGTTTCTTTGATGCAGGCAGAGGTGGCTTAGTGTGTTAATGCAAATGTCATTTCTATCTTAGCCAAAAAAAAATGAGAGAAACAAATGCACTAGTATGAGCTAACAATTTTTCATCCTCCACATGGAAATTCTGTGATTCTTATAGTGAGAAATGCAGTGTTTATTCCACTTGGAAAAGAGTCAAACTGCAGGACTGATCGTTTTGGTCAAAGTAGTTACAGTCTGACTTCCAAGGAGCCATTTGAGGAATGAGACCTGCAATATTCCATCTCAGTTGTCATACAGGTCTCCTGTTCCTGAGTTTCCCTAAAAGGCTGCTACATTGGAACTCCGAGTGGGAGTACCACTGGCATGCCCAGGACTCTGCTCTTTCCTTGTTTTACATTAAAATTTCATAAGAAAGCATTGCAGCAATTTCTTCTATGTTAATAGTCAAGCAAGATCTTCCATATGTGAGTCAAGATAAGGTTATTATCCAAAATTTTCAGTATTTTCCTCCTTGAGCTGTTTGTTTGTAACAAAAATTGAGAGCCCTGAGAGAGAAATGGGCTTACTGTGGTGTTTGTTGTCTTAATTCCATCTCTTCTGTAGTAATAATGGTGTTCCTCTGCATATTCGCCTTGGAAAAAAAAATTGGATTCACTGGTCTGGGGTTTTTTCATGGACTTTCCTAGCCTAAAATATTAAATGCAGATGTTGTTTGGGTTTTTTTTCCAATGAGATTTTTTGTTATTTCTGCTGGTTTCTCTGCCAAAATATGTAGTACTTATTTCTGTATCCCTGCCCTATCTTGAAACCCTTTTTTTTTTTTTTGGTCAGTGTACATTTTCTCTTTCATTCTGGTGGTTTGTTTAAGGGCAGTGTAGCCCATAGCACAGACCATAGTGTCCAGGAAGTTCTACAGCCCAAATTTCTATACAATCCTTCAAAGAAGAGTCTGAAGACTGCTGAAAACTGCTCTCATGCATGTTGGTGATGCGAGTAATTGGAAGGTAGTAAAGAAAAATATTAAGACTTTTCACAAAGCTCTAGGGATGTTTGAGTAGCCATTGGAGGACGTGTACCACCAGCCTTCTGCTGTAGAAAAAGAGTATTAATAAGGGGAAAAAAAAAAAAACTTAGATACTTGCATTCCACAGTTTTGTATAGCTTCCCATTAGGTACTGATCTGCTTCCCCATTAATAATTTTGGTGATTTAAAATATACTCCTCTCCTTTTTAAAAGTGTTTTGAGTGGTTTCTGCTGGATTTTTGGGGTTGATTTTGTCCTAAGGCTGTTATCGCCTTTATCTAATATTGGTTTTTATTGTAGTTAGTACCCAAATGTTCTGATCACATACAAGGAAAAAAACAAGAAAACCTCTATCAATGAAGAGAATTTAGCTTTTGTTAACATTAAGGGTCAAGAGATAGAAACTATAAAGGAAAATGCAGCAAAATTCAGAAAGTGACAGAAAAATGCTGGAGGTTTCTATTTGTTTTATTAAAAAAAACTAACAGACCTTGTACTAAACTGCTATTGATATCAGCGTTCATGGATAAGCTTTTCCCATTTCTCTTAGCCCTTCTTCCAACTTTGTTAGGAGAAGGATTCCTCAAACAAGCATAGCGGTTTGTTCTCTCTTTCTCTCTCTCTTTCCCTTTCCTCCTTTCTTTCCTGGTCACTCTGCCATCCAAGCACACTCTGCACTCACAGAGGAGCTCTGAGCACAGAGCCCTGCACAATTGCCATCCAACACCAGCATCTCCCCAGAAATAGCCCCCAAGTCCCAGCACTGTACTCAGCTGCTCCAGTTCTCCTATTATGGTGAAAATCTCTCTTCACCTATTTTCAGTTCTGCAATCTTCAATCTTCTCCTTCTGCATGATTTGAAAAATGCAGGAGCAGCTGCATTTGCCAGAGTTCCATGTGCTATAGTGATTTCCTGTGGTGGAAAAATACACTCCAAGTAGTAATTACTGCAAGTCAAGTCCATTTCATCTGCACAAGGACTTTCACTGTCTCACACAGTTTGGGAGGATTTGGAAAGCCTGGTCTCCAAAAGTTTCTAGGATAGCAATCTTATAGATGTTAAAGGTGTGAGGCGTGAGATTGCTGCTTACATAGGACAGCAGTTTTTGGTATATTAGGCAGGCAGATATAATGATGGAATATAGATTCCAGTTTCTTGTTTGTATCTATGATATTTTCTGAAAAACCTTTTCTTTTAGATTTTTCCTCCTGAGAAGCTGAGAGGGCTCAGGAACAAAATGTGAACAATGATTATCTACTGCTGTGGAATGCAACAGGTGGATCTGTGATTGGTCTCATAGAGTTGTTTCTAATTAATGGCCAATCACAGTCAGCTGGCTCAGACAGAGAGTCCGAGCCACAAGCCTTTGTTATTCATTCCTTCCTTTTCTATTCTTAGCTAGCCTTCTGATTAAATCCTTTCTTCTATTCTTTTAGAATAGTTTTAATATAATATGTATCATAAAATAATAAATCAGCCTTAAGAAGCATGGAGTCAGATCCTCATCTCTTCCCTCATCCTCTGACCCCTGTGAACACCATCACACTCATTAGGTAAATTTAATTAAGCAGCAGACATGGATTCTATTAATTTTGATGTACATTCTTCTTGAAACTGTGAGCACTTTTCCCCTTCTTTGTGGTTTCTATAGGAGTGCATAACAGAGCAGATGGTACACTTTTTTGCCATTTTATTTTTTCAGATCTTTCACCTTACACAAAAAAAGGAAGATTTTAGATTGTCTTCTATTAAAACAGCCACAGTATAGCTTTAAAAATACAGTAAACTATGTCATATTGTGATCCCAGTCTGCTATTTCCTTCCTCTCCTTTTCAACATTCTGTCAACTAACTAATTCTCTTCATCCCCAAAAGTGGTTGTTTATTATTTTTGTACTGTGGAAGCCACTGGTATTGTTTTAGGATTGAAATTGGCAGAGGAAAGGAGCCTGTGATGCTTGTAAAAACACACACCACAGAACTGTAGAACTGCATGTATTTTAGTTTCAAAAATTCCCTTTTAACATTATTAATAAGAGGCTTCCCTAATTGACTGAACTGAACTTTGGACATTTCTTTATTAATTTTCTTTTCTCCAATTTTCTTTATATGTTTACATAGGCTGAAATCTCTATCTGTAGATTTCAGTTCTTTATTTAAATTTTGCCCTTATTTTCCAAGCTGTGGTTTGGTCTTTTGCAGAGAACCTAGTGATCTCTAAACCACAATTTGAAAAACAGTGCTTGGAAAATAACCTTGTTTTTGTCTCTTTGGAATTAGAGAATTGGTGAGTCCAAGTTCATAGACTAAAGATTTTAGAAACAGGACTGATTCCTATGAAGAACGTTGCCTAATGCAGCCCAAAGTAGAGCATATCAACCATTGAGAACAATATATTTGTTCAAAAATCAGCAAAAATACACACAAAGGGACATAACCAGTTTATTATCACCCATGAGATCAAATCATAAGCTGCCCATAAAGCAATAGAACATTGATCTTGATGATCACTATTACAATAATAGCTTTAGATCAAGTGTTCCTCCTGTGAAGGAAGCAGGAAAACTTTACAGTCTTATATCTCTAGGTGTGGATTAATTTCTACATTTTTTTAAATATATCATCTAGCTATTACTTTATCTCTCAACATATTAAGAAATCTTTGTTTGTGCTTCAGTGATTCTTCAGAAAGAATCTCTGACTCCTTTGCTATAGTTGTCTATATTATGACATTTCCTACCAGATAAGAACACTTCTTGACCAAAAAAGTTACTGAACCACATGAACAATGTGAATACTAACTACTTCGGTCCTATTTTTAAAACTATGTCTTTGTTTAAACAATTTGAAGTTGAGAATGAAGATTTATAAATTTCTTAATTGATTTTTTAGTTAATGTCTCCCTCCTATGTGGGGTAATATGGGTAGTTCCAAATCTTCTTTCAGCATGTTTAAATAAATGTAAAGATTTCTCCAAATAGACTTTTTCAACTCAAAAAATGCCCATGTTTTTCTTAGCAATATCCACGAATTTCCACAATGCATCTGTTCAGCATACCAGTCTATATAAGTATTTCCCTCAAAAAGAAAAGAAAACCCTAGAAATAAAGTCAATTGCTTAAGTAAGCAATTTTAAAGTTAAATATTGTCTTAGAAGCACAGTGGATGGAAAACAGTTGCTGGGTTCTGCATGAATACTCCACTGAGGTTAATTAGCTCAGGTTTTGCAGGAGCCAAGGAGGAATGAAAGGTAATCCAAAGTTTGGATTGAGTTATTCTTCTGGGGAACTGCAAATGGAGTTTACAAATTTCCAACTGTGCAGAGTGTGGTATGGGGGTTTTCTTTCTTTAGAAAATTGCTGTTTGGAAATGGTTCCAGCAATACATTACAATGTTATGTTACAGTCACAAGGTACCAAAATTACCACGGGTAAATGATCCTTTTCAAGTCAAGAGCTGAAGGTTTCATTGCCCACTTCTGGGGCTCATGTTTTTTATGTGTTTACAGCAAAATGCCTCTAATTTGGGGCCTGTTTTCCAGGCCTACAGTCCCTTTGGCTCATGTCCTGTGGCTCCCTGTCACTGATGAAGGGACCCTCTCTGTTAGGAGAGTTTCACCATGCACGTGCTCAGAGTATGGGAGATGTCCCTCTGCACATGGCACTTCCATTGGAAATCAAGCACTCAGAGCTGGGGGAGGCTTAAGAAGAGGAGGCTGGTTTGGATTTTTTTCCTCAGTCGTGTTGTTTTCACAGTGCTGTATTTGGTTCCCAACACAGTGATGAAAAGGGATCGTGAGATCACCACAGCACAGGCCAGTGTTGTGCCACATCAGTAAAAACACATGCAAAAGAGACTCTGTGCAGTGTCTTGTCATTGCTTCATATATTTATTATTAACATACATTCAAGCAGCTGGATCTTTGCCTTGGCTGAGCTCCTGTCCTGGAAGACTTGCCCTGTGTTTTGCTACTGGTCCTGTCTGTCACTGTGGGTGGGCCTGACAGGCATTGAATTGGAGGCTTGTGCTCTTAAAAAAGAAAAAAGTACAAATAAATAGCAATGTCCTTCACTCAGTCTCTGCTTATCAGGTTGCCTCAGACCTCATCTGAACTTGCTCCCTTTGCCAGAACTGAAACTGTTGTGTGAGAGGAGACAGACAAGTCAGTGTTGAATTAAATCAAATATTAATAGTATGTGTGCAAAGAATTGTCAAAAGGACTGGTTAATTTAGGACAAAAATGTCTCAGTGGTTTTGTGGCAAGAAATTGGCCTTTTTGTTCTCCAGAAGGGGAGTAGCCCCAATATACATGTTGGTTGCTTGCTCCAGACTATTCAAGAATGCTTAGTTTTGCAAAATTTTCATCTCTTCTATTTTATTCCCCAGTTATGAATTCCACGTGAAACCCAGGAACCCCCTTGGTGAAGGTCCAAGTAGCAATGTTGTGTCATTCAGTACTGAATCAGGTAAGAACTTCCAAAGATCAGACCACCATTTACAGCACCTTTAGTACCCATGTTTGTGGGATGCATGAAAGGCTCTCTCACTTCATTTTGTGCATTCAGTCATGCTCTTTGCTGTCTCCTGATTGGCTTTTTACCACCATGCCTGGAAAGTCAACCTGGGATCAGACCTGTGTTGTGTGGGGATGTAAGATGGACAGACTACAAGAGAAAAAAACAGAGGAACATTGTCTGGTATTCATTGCAAAGAAAATTACTTCATCCTTAGAGAGGGCTCAGTCAGTTGAGATTTATATTCCTGACCTTTTTGCATCTGTCCAACTCATTAACAGCTTCTGGATGGGAACATTAGGGTTTTTTTGGGCTGGTGTGTTCATAGGTGTTTTTGCTACCTGTTCAATAAGGCTGCTGTAAACAGTGATGCTGTTTGGCTGAAATAGGGATTGAGAAAGAGCTGTTGTGAAAAGTCAGTGTCCCAGTAGGTCCCCTTCCATCCTGTTTACTCTCCAGTGAAACTCTTAAAGAGGTGTATACAAGCCTGTTTTGGCCACTGGTTTGTTCCCAGGTGAAGTTCTCTCTGACTCACAGGTGAGAATGAGAGAGCTTTTGCTTTGCCTGTTCTTGCTGACTTGTTGACTTTAGGCAAGCAAGATACCATCTTTTATGCAGAAGTGTTTATTGCTTGGTGGTACTGAAAGACCACATAAAACACAAAATGGATTTAGCCTTTTTAAAGGGACTTTCTCAATCTGTGTTTAGAGCCAGGTGTAATAATTTAATAGTCCTCAACTAGTGCTGTCACTGATGGATGAGAGTTTTGGCTGAGCAAAGGATTACTCAGGGAGGAGTGCAGACTATGCCACACATATTTAAAACCTCTGAATACACTCTTTGTAATTCTAGATTGTTAAAAGTGAAAAAAACATTTGCACCAAGTGCAATTTTCATGAATGACAAGGCTTATGTTCTGTCTCCTATTTAGTTTGGACAAATAAAGCATGCAGTTTTGTTTTTTCTTAATTGCACACATCCATTTCTCACATTTGGGCTTTCAAAGCCAAGTTTTTTGTGGCAAGTATTACAGATGTGACCTTTTATTATTTAGGTTTTGAAATTGAAATTTTAATAAGACATGGTACAAATGGTTGCAGGTTTAAACTCTTGTTTTTACTAGAGCTCTGCTTGGCTGGTGTTGTCCCATAAGTAAAATTATTAAAAGCCCATTGACACTGGAGTTTCACACAAGAAATATATTTCTTCTAATTTAATTTAATACAAAAGTTCACTTCACTTCCAAAACTCTTTCTGTTTCACAAATTACAGCTTACGTCAGCTGTAAAAAATCACTTACCAATGCTTTTCCATAGGATTATTGGAAACGTTCATTTTACAGTGTCTGATTGAATGTTTGTTTTCTTCCCCCAGCGGACCCAAGAGTGAGTGAGCCAATTTCAAGTAAGTGTTTTATATATAAATCTGATCAGCAGTTTTTTCAGAAATGAGATAGCAGAATTTTACAAGGAGGGTGGCTCTGCTGCACCAGCTGGATGAGTTACAGAATCAAACAGCATTCACACACAATTTCACTCCTTCCACCCATGCCCCTGCCAAGGAATTCATGCAGGGCTGTTTGCTTACCTGAGCATAAGGCAATCAACGTGATGTAGAACTCCCATGGCAGCTGGGATGGCTTCAAACCAATGTACACAAATGAGCCAAAGACAGCCTCATATTTTCTCAGCCTTGTCATTAAAGCAAAGAAAGCTCTGCAAAATGAATAAGCTACTCCACACTTTTTAAGTGAGTTAACAGAGCACAACTTGGAGGATTCTATTTATCTTTGTGTTTTAGGAAAATTTTCTGCTTCAGAAGGTTTGATCTAGCTCTGCTTTAGGCCACTTAACAAGACTCTTCCTGTCCTTGATGGAAGGTGGACTGAGCTTTTGAAGAAGAGCTGAGATCATTCGAGCAAATTGGGCTGCTTTTTGTAATAGTCATCACTTTCACTTTGACAAACACTGTGGCACCGTTTTTCTCCACATAATTAATGTGTAAAAATTATGTATTTTTGTTAGATCACTGTTTGCTGCAAGTTGATTGTCTTGGCTTGAACGCACTGAAGAATGGTGACTGTATCACACACTTTGTAAATGAGAGTATTTCCAATACAAACATTGTCCCCCTAACAGGGTCCTAGAATGAACCTATTCCAAACCTGCACCAGAGGACAGCAGGAGGAGTTCACAGCACCAATTGTATCTGCATACTTTGGTGCTCCCCTGAAATATTTCTCATGTTCAAAATGCAGGTGTCATGGCACATTCTGCTTCATCAAGATTTCTAATTCTAGTTATTCAAATGCATTTGTTGTGTGTAATTTTGTATACAGCATCATACTTCAGCCTCTTTTTTCCTCTCCTGCAGTGGGGAAAGATGCAATCTGGACTGAAATCCCATTCAATTCAGACTCATACTCAGAATGCAAAGGCAAACAATATGTAAAGAGGACTTGGTATAAGAAGTTTGTGGGTGTGCAGCTGTGCAATTCTTTGAGATACAAGATATACCTCAGTGATTCACTTACAGGTAAGAAACATTCAAATCAATGCTGTCCATATTATGCATTCCTGAAGTGTGATCAAATTTGTTTGATTTAGTCCACAGATTAATCATAAACAGTAATCTGTTTGTGCTCAGTAACCACTGATATGTTTGATACTGAGTTTTCTGACTCCAGAGGAACCTCTCTGTGGTGATAATCTGATTTTAAGTACCTGTTTATATACTGGGGATCATACAGAAAACAAATAAAGATCAGAGCAAATAGCGTATATTGTAAAACAGCCAAACTGGTGTTTAATTATTAATTAGAGAATAATTATTAATTAGAATTATTAATTAGCGGATCAGGACCTCATTTTATATCAGGATTACACCTATCATTTCCACTCCTTTCGGTAAATATCTGGTTACTTCGTTACTGGGAGGCTTATAAATACATGACTATAACTCTAGTCAACAGGTTTTACCCACCTGCTTTGGCATTTTTGTTTTGTTTTCACATTCCCAATTTTTGCTTATGATCTTTTCTTCCCACCTTTTTGTTTTCCTCATATTATATTTCATTACTAAGGGAAACTTCTGGCCTTACATTCTCAAGTTTTGATTGGTGTTTTAAGGCCAGTTGAGTGTGATGCGTTTAAGACCTGAATCAGGTGACACATGCTGGGGAAACAGCCCGTGAAAAGTGTTTTTCAGTTAGTGGATAGGAGATCTTTGTGTCTCATGCAGCTTGTCCAAGCTGTATCTGCTACATTGAAAAATATGTTAACTTCTTATAATGCATGCCAACCTCCTGGCTCTCTTCTGTGTGAAGTCTCTTACCACAGACAGCTCTGTGACAATGGCATTAGCATGGCATCTGAGCACAAAGACGTGTGGGAAACGCCTTTTGAGTGCAAGTCAGGCAAGGGTGTTCAACACATGCCATTGAATTAGCTGGGGCGAGACTGTGGCTGGAAGAATCCACTCTCATAACCTAAAGTTGCCCTCACAGGAGCAGGGCATGGAAAGAATATGGAAGGAAAAGAGCAAGGGAGTGTAGGGCAGCCCATGTTGCCATAATTTTAAGCTTCCCTTTTTGCATCCAGCACCATTCTCTGATGAACAGAAAAGGAAGGAAGGCCTTGTCATTAATAGTCAGTACAATATTCCGTATGTAAATAATATCTTAGATATTTTGTGAATAAAAGAGAATGTTTTGAACAGATGTATCATTCATTCAACTGTTGCTGTACTAACCAGCTGTGATCAAATGACAAGCACTGGCAATGATGTGTCCCAAAACCAGCCAGCAGAGGAAATAGCAGTGCTAATCTAGCAGGACTAGATTTCAGCCCTAAATCAAGTGAATTAACACTGCAGTGAAAGCAACTCCAATCTGAAAAGTTTAATATCAGGAGCCCATTTTCCTATTTTCATTAGATTGTTTTTGTTCTTGCTGGAAGGGCGTTGGTTTAACCTTGTTGGAAGAAGATGAGATAGACACACTGTATTCATTATACTTGCTAAGCCTGGTTCTTGCACTTGAATTGTTACAACCAGTGCTGACCAGTTGTCACAATATTTAAAAGAAGTGAAATATTTATGTAGAAGGAAAGTTGCTTCTGCCCTGTTTGCTAAGTGAGGCCTCTGTGTGTGAGTGAGAAGTTTCCCTGTTTGAAGCCAAGCTCTGCTCTGATGTGTCTCATGGCCACCTCACCTGGCCATGTCCCCAAGGCCAGGAAATGTCCCTGCAAGCACCAGCCAGTTGTACCAGGTGTGCACTGAGCTCTGAATTCCACTGGGCACTGAAAAACCTTCCAAAGCTTTGCTATTGAAGCAGGGTAATTGCCTGGAACCTTGGGGGCTCTGTACATGCCATTGTATAAGGCAGGCAGCAACTGTATCTTTGCATGCTGGTTTTTAGCATGGATTTATTCTTCTAGTGCTGTGGAATTTATAATGTATAAAACAAGGTTTGTATGTAAGATTGTAAGGCCACCCACAAGGGAACACAAGGGGGAGAAAAATTGACTTTGTGCTAGAATTGCTATCTCCAAAGCAGAAAACCAGTTATTTGTTAGCTGAATGGTTTTAAGTGTGTCCTTTTGTTACAGAAATAATTGGGCAGTAAGAATGTAATAGTCACTGAGAATGCTGCTAATTTATGAAGACCAATTGTTTGAGTTATGCATAGGTTAAGCTGTGGGCCAGAGGAATATGTGTGTATCTGCAAGTTACTGTTCTGGTGTTAGCCATTAAAATATCTGGCTTATTCTCTCTCTTATGGAGAAAAACTGATCTCCTTTACACATGCCAGAACTGTTCCATAAACCAGCATCTACTGCTGACCTCATTTAACAGTCCTCCAGAGCAGTCATTGTAGGCATTCCAGAAAAGCAGGCCACCTAAAAATAAGTATTTATTGAGGCAAGGAAAAAAATAAATTCTATGTGTGACCTTCAACAGCTGTGGAAAAACAAAAAAAAAGGGTTTCTTGGGCAGCCTGAATGTTCTTAATTTCAGAGCAAAAAATTTGCTGAGAGGAACTCCCTCTGACCAGTTCTCCTACAGAAAAAACATGTTTGCAGCCAAAGCTAGATAGCAATAAATAATTTTGTTAAGCTAGAGAAGAACCACATGTACAGAGGCCATCAACTGGAGGTGAGAAATTTTGGCAAAGTATTGCTCAGATCACAAAAATGTTGGCATTCATTGGCAGGCTGCTTTTTTTATTAATTGCTCTTTGGGAGCAGTATTATAACCCACCCCAGCACCTCTCAAATGGCCAGACTGGCATGGACTCAAGGCTCCAGGACACTCAGTATCTACTGAGTAACTGGACTTTCTACCTAGCTTGTACCTCCATCCTGAGCCTTTTTCTAAATTCTCTCACCTTTCCTTTCAACATCTCAACCAAAGGTTGAACATATTGAGAACTAAGTGCTGTGAAAGAAGATTAGAAAGAATGGTAAATTTATGTACAAAGGTGTCTGTCCCAGGTTTGGCAAGAGAATGTAGCATGCTCTGCTCCATCTTTTGAACTGAATTTTACTAATGTCTTGCAAATCAAATCAGCAAGTAAAAAACATCTGTCAGAGTTCCTTCACTGTGCCTGTTAACAGGATAAGCACAGTCTGTAATGCTACATGGGACACTTGAGACCTTGATTTCTACTCACTTGCAGTCAAGTGTCCTGTTAAGCAATCCTGCAAGCAAATACATGGGCATACTCCATGCTCTGGATAAGTACTTGGTGTCCAAGGTCATCTATATGTTAAGGGCTATCACTTGCACATACATGTTGTAAAAATATGATGATTTATAAAACAGGCCTTGGCTATGTTAGGAGGTGGTCTGTAAAAACATCTCTGAAGGTACTGGGGACTTCCTGAAAAGGAACCAGACCTGCCTTCCATTCAAATCACTACCAAAACTTGCTTTTTGATGATGTTCTTGGTAGTAACAGAATTTCCCTTACCGTATGAAATGTAAGGAGAGGGAAAAATTATGTCCAGGCAGATTTTGGCCAGGAGTGGGGCCTTAGCCTTGAGCACTTGGAGCCTGCATGTCATATTCAAATTACAGCTACAGGTCCTGAGAGGAAAAGAATCATAGCATTCACCTTGGCTTCCCCATAGAGGAAAGAGCACAGCCCATTGCCTCTGGTGGTTTTTGGAAATAACCTTCACTAACTGCTGCTTCTTTGCTTTCAGGAAAATTTTATAACATAGGAGACCAGAGGGGCCATGGAGAAGATCACTGCCAATTTGTAGACTCATTCTTAGATGGAAGGACAGGACAGCAAGAAGATCTGCCAGTCAAAGATGGTAATTCCCAACACCTGTACCTGTAGCAAACCTGGGCAATTCCTTTCTTTGTTTCTATTTCCTGCCAGTGGATTCAGTGCCCACTGCTGGTGGGCCATGAAAGGAGCTGCCAGCTTTGCAGGCAGAAGAGGGCCAAGAAGTTCTTTGACAGTGAATGATGACTTATTAAGACAGTTATGACTTGGGCTCTGTTAGGTAGCAAACAGCCTCTCTCCCGTTTAAAACAGCCCTACAAATTATTCACAGTTGGTATTACATATTTAAACCCAACCACAAATCTGAGTTTGCAGAGAGGCATTAAGTGGTGTGCTCAGACTAGCACGGTTGGTTTAAAGCACAGTACATAATCAGTTGGGCATTAAATACCTTGTTTGGTACTAATGAGAAACTGAAAATTTATGGCCGGAAAATATAATTCATGCTGCAGTAATTCTGTGTGTACTGGTTGCAAAAGGGTGCCCAAAATTCCAATCCGGTCTAAGTGGACATGGCACTGGATGTGCTAAACACATCTGTGACCTGCCTGGCTATTTTTCATCCATTGTTGAGATAGAAGAAATTTGTACTTCTGTCAGCTGCAGTCCTGCCTTGCTGCTGGCAGCAGTGCCAGGGTGAGCTGTTCTGTTCCTTGTGGGGTAAGGGCTCAGGCTGTGCTGGAACGTGCACGCGTGTCATGGAACATTTCACTAAGGAAAACAGCAAAACAGCCTTCAGTACAATATCAGCATGATGACCAAACCTTCCTTACAAAACACCCCACATGAGTCCAGATACGCGTCAAGGTAGGTGTGGGAGATGCATGTGAAGTTCCTAAGTCTTTCACAAGTTTTTCCAATAACAAATTTATTGAACGGTTAGAAGAGTGTTTGTTTATGTGTTTTGTGTGTTTCTTCTAAAGAGGTTTTTGCTTTTCCCTTCCCAGTCAGTGCTGCCCATCCAAAATGATATTTTGCGTAAGAGATGGTCAGAATCCAATTTGCAGTGCCAGGACAGCAAACTTCTCAGTTGTACCAGATTCACAGTTTTAAAAATATTGGAATATTTTAAAAAAATTTTACCTAACAGTTTAAAATACACGTATAACCAACTTGATTTCAGCAACTGGATTTGAGTGAATTCATGAACTATGATCATTTTTAGGCCAAAATAAACAACAACAGAAGAAAACAAAAGACTTCACCTTTTCAGTAGCTTGTATTTCTAGCAAATGAACTGAACAAACCAACAGTCCAATTGTTCTACCTGTAGCAGATTGATTTCTGAAATAACTTCACATATTTGACCTGAAGTGCTGTGAGAGAATCAGAGTGAAAAAAAAACACAGGATAGGGGCATGTTGTAGGATAATGTGTAGGAAAGCTGGCTCCCTGTTCTTGAGGTATGGTTTATCTGGTGTTTTAAAAGATACATTGTGTATATTTGACCCCAAGGGCTGTGAGAGAATCACGGCTAATGCCATCTCAGTATTTTTTGTGTGTGGCTCCAGCCACACATACATTCCTTATGGTCAGGTTGGATGGAGCCCCAGTTCCTTACTTTAATTTCTTACCTAATGTTAATTGTTTGAATGGGAAGCAAATGTGTTGTCAAAAGCACCAGAGTGAAAGCAGGAGGATGATTTGGATGGGGAGATGCTGTGAACTTTCCCCAGTGGCCAGGTTTTATTGAGGCTCACTGCAGTGTCAAGGCTTCCCAGTGGGGAATATTTGTCACTGTCACTTTGCAGTGCAGAGCTGCCTCCTGTTCCGAGAGCCCAGCACAGCCAGAGGGGGGACAGAGGGGCGCAGGCTGTGTCCAGCCAGCCCCAGCCACAGCAGGGTGCTGGGATCTCCAGGGAGGCACGCTTCACCTCTGTGCTGCCGTCCCAAGTGCTTTTGCTTTGAGCTGGGTGGGCAAACTGCAGAGTGCTAGTGGATGTAGGGGCAGCAAACAGCTCTGCTTGTGGCAGGTGGGTTAAAGGCTTGGTGACTATTTCAGCCACTCACTAAATTGTTCATTACAGACTTCTCAGGGAACCAAAGCACGGTCCTGTCCTGAGAGCTTTGTGGCAACAAAACTCTCTTCTCTGTTGCAGGGTTTTTCAGGGCAGTTCGTCAGGAACCCGTCAAATTTGGGAAGATAGGCGGGGAGACCCAGATCAACTACGTGCGCTGGTACGAGTGTGGCACATCGATACCTGGCAAGTGGTGATGCCACACACAGAGGGTGCCAAGGCCCCGCTGCCCAGCGCAGGCTGCAGGAAGGCAACGCTCACAGGGCTGGCCGATGTGCAAGGCTTGTACCAGTCTAATGCCAATACTGCGTTAACTGTGTAATAGTGTAGGCTGCTTACTGTAGTTATCCAGTGTTACAAATTTGATTTTAGAATTAAAAAAAAAAAACAACACAGGCTAGGGACATGTTGTAGGATAATGCATAGGGAAGCTGGCTCCCTATTCTTGAGGTATGGTTTATATGGTATTTTAAAAGATACAGTGTGTATATTATTTATCACGATGTTGTAATAAATGTTTAAGGCACAGATATGCCAGAGTTGGTCATGGAATGCAATGTGCGTTAGTTTTAAATATTCACATGGTCCTGTAATGCAAGTGCCATAAGCTACCCATCCTAATCCATCTGTAACATCTCCCAGTCATAAATTATAGAAAAGATCCTATAATTTTTAATATCCTGCAGCCAGTAAACTTGAAGCACTTTCTCCTTACACCTTCAAACAGTTTATGCTCCTGCCAAAATGCCAGGTAGGTCGCTGTATGTGCAGCTTTAAATGATAAAGTTCAGTGGAGTTTTCTTCCATGTTTGTTTTCAAGTGTTTCAGCCCCAGCCAAAGCCGTGTTCAGCCTGTCACCATGGAGTCAGAGCCTGGCAGGGAGGGCTGGTGTTCTCTAATTGAAGTGGACAGGTACATATGTACATGGAAAGAAAAAACAAAGCTGGCCTCCACAGCTGGGGTTTTTCAGGAAAATGTCATTTTCAGAGCCTGACACTTACTGGTTCAAAAGCCAAATGTATGTACTGCGCAAGGGGACTTGAAAAGACAAATGAAAGAGGAAGAAGAATAAACTAGTTATAACAGCATGATCAGGTTTATTTTATTTAAAAAGAAAAATTCTGGTTTAAAACAGTTTTCATTGGGGACAAAGGGGAAATACTGATAACTGAACTTTAAAACTGCTTTACAGTTATTTTGATTAAAACCTCTCCCAAAGCTACTTGTTGTACTGCTTGAACATTTATTAACTAAATAAAGAGATGTAGGTTTTTTTTAAAGGTGTTATTCATTACCTTACTAATGTATTGAAGAAATATGAACCGGAACTACCAGATCTATATAGTAGTCATTTATAGAAAATGCCTTATAAAGTACATTGCAGGTACACTGTACTCCTAATAAAATATTTTTTAATCAAGTGGTTTTTTTCAAGTGTTTTACATGAAAACAAGGCTTAGTTTCTGTGGTAAATGCTGTTGTTCAGAACAAACTGCTTGCTGGAACCAAGCCCCTGTTAAATGGCCTGATGAACATGGGGTGTGTTCAGTCCAAGAGCAGAAATGGGAGGAGGTACAGCCACAGCTTACTGAGTAGCTGTGGGCACAGCACTGTTTAAGGATGCTGAAGGTAGGAGTATTTTCACTCAGCTTCCTAATTTGTCTTTAGGAGAGCTCAAGCAGCTTGCCCCAGCTCATTTTTTTATTCCCCGCTTAGTTTTACATATTCCTAGAATCTGCAAAATGGAAAATATTAACTGGGAAAATGTTTTGCTCTCTGCTGCAATGTGGTCTATTGACTTCATTACAGCCCTTGATCTGCTTTTTCTTGGCTCAAAACTGAGTCACTAGGATTGCACTCCCAAGTTCTTCTGGGTGGCAAAGAACCTGTGGGAAGCTGGGTTTTTTTTAAGAGCTCTTTTTTTAAATTACCCATTTGGTTCAAATTTTCAAGTAAAAAACGAATTCTCTCCCACACCTTGTTAAAGCAAAATTGATAAGAGGCTTCAAGATTTTATGGATTGGTTTCTAACTATTTGGTAAAAGAGTCATTTGACAATTAATGACAGCAGATAGCAAAAAACCACCCCGTGATGTGAAACCTCTGTGCAAGTCATCTGCAGTCCCAGCACCTCTCCATTTCCACACCCAGCAATCTGCCTCTCCTCCTACAGACCCCAGCACCGCTGCTCTTCACCACAAAGTCCTTGCACCCAGCATGCACACTGGGCTTAGCACAGTTGTCTTGTGCAGTATTGCCTAACTTCTAAAATCAAGATCAGGCATTTAATAGATTCAGGGTTTTTATTAGTTTTTCCATGTGAACATTACAATTTATAATACATCATATCTAGTTTGACCTCCAGAATGAATCTAATTTAGTACATCATGGTATTAGTAAGAACAAGCCTGATAAGTGGGCTAAACTTCCAACTAGTATCTTCATATCCCTCAGACAAGGCAAGCTAGAATGTCAATCACTTTACAGACATTTAAGTAGTGTTTTCCAAAAACCACCCAGCCCCAAATTAAACTAGGAAGCAAATACAATTTAAAGCAGGAAAGATTTGGTAATTTCCCTCCCCCAGCAGAATTTAATTAACAGCTATAGTTTTGCCTCATTACAGTTTTGGAATCTCAATTAAAAATTCTGGAGTCTGTCGGGATGGAATCGCACGCGTCAGTCGCTGTCTTCGGGCACCTCCTTAGCGGTAGCCGGGCCCGGGCTGGGTGTAGCCCTGCGGCCCGAACGGGGGACGGCTGCGGGCGTAGGGGTTGGGCCCGCTGGGCGGGGGCGTCATGGTGCTGCCGGGCGGGGGGGTGAAGCCGGGCCGCGGCTGGAAGGTGCCCGGGGCCGCTTGGGAGCCGCTGTAGGCGGCGGGCTGCGAGGCCTGCGTGGTGTAGGGCTGCGGGGGGAAGCTGCCCGGCGCGTACTGCGGCGGCTGCTGCGCCGGCAGCTGCTGCGCCTGCCCCGGGAAGGCGGCGGCCGGGGCCGGGGCGGCCGCCTGGCTGTAGGCCGGGAACTGCTGCGCTTGCTGCGACGGGGGCTGCTGCTGGCTGTAGCCTGCTGGAAAGGCAGAGAGCACGGTGGCGTGAGAGATGCTAAGGAGCCCGGGTGCCTGCACAAAGACCTGCTGTTCCTAATGCTCGCAGCGACAAACGCAAAACGATGCGGGAAGCACAGAAAAGGCAAACCAAGCGTGAACTGCCAGTTTTCCTGCCTCTCACATAAGCGCACGGCCGGGGTTTTGGTGCACACCGCGGCAGCACAGCACACTGACAACAGTTACTATAAGACAGTTTTCCTGTGACTGACAAGAAATAAATTTTAAAAAAGGCAAGTAGTCTTTTCCTAAATATCACACACAAAAAATAAAGTCTTCATTGGCAAATGAGGCAAAATTCAATCCTTTTCCCAAATAAAACCTCCAAATTAAACTGTCTTGACAATACTCTCTGGGTTTTATATTAAAAAAAAAAATAATTGGTGAAATCATAGGTGTTTTCAGTTCCTTAGTGGTAAATATGAAAAGGTTATGTAGAACAAAAACACTTGAGCACAAAACTTCCATTTACACGTCTCAAATTTGATTTTTCTGTATAACACTAGCTTCCAAAGGGAATTTCTCTTCTCAGAAATTTTAAAATGGAACAAAGTCCTTTCATGAAGAAATAGCTACTTTTATCCAACACACCTGCAGCTACTTGCAATGAAACCTCTCCAGTGACTGGAATCCTGTCAGCATTAAACACCAGACACACAAATTATTAAAAGTGCACAGCCCTAAATGGAAAGAGTAAGGGTAAGAATGCACTGCAGTAAACTCACCTTGAAACTGGGATCAAAATTTACTCATGAGACAAACCTCTGAAGGGTCCATTTTTACACCCATGTATAAATATCCACACTGTTGCCTAGTAGATCTACAAGAGTGGGAAGGTATCCTGCTCTTGGGGAGACATGGGTTTGAAAGGAGACAATACTCATGAGAACTAAAGCAACACAAACAAAAAGATCCCATGACTCAACATCTCCATCTCTTCTTGACATCTCTGCTGTCAAGAAGTCCTCAAAGAAAACTCTGTTTCTGAAGATGTTGTGAACTTAGTTATGACAAACAGAGGTGCCCAGGAGGTTTCTGGTGGCATTTCATTCATACTTGACAATGATGTTGGAAAGCAAAACTCACATTGCACTAGGGTTTTCACAGGAACGTCAGTAAAATAATGGATTAGACAATGGTAGGAGATGTCTAGAAAGCAGATTGGAATTCCTTTGTTTCCCCACTCAGTTTTTAAGCCTAGAGTGTCAGACAGACCCTTCTACTTCCAACAGGCTTGCTACTTCTGAAATTACACCTCAGTACATCTGTCTCTGTATTCTAATTACCAATGCGGTGGGGAGAAATCTGCAGAGAACAAGATTCCATTTAGACACTCAAACCAATGAGTTCTCCCACAGTGCACAGGAACAAGGTCTGAGGCACAAACCTTCAGTCCATGTATTCTAGAGTTCTTACCCAAGCTAAGCATGGAATTTCTTTGTCAGCTCTGCAAACCCTCTCATCTATATAAAAAGTGATGCACTCCCACTGTGCACCAAGAAAAGGTCACACTGGCTATGAGTCACTTAATGTGAGTCTTTTGTTTAGTTTAAGGAGGATTTTTTAAAACAAGGAATGATAAATGCTTTGTACCATTTTCTAAAATTGTTAAGCAAAATGCAATTTGTTACAGAATCTACTCTAACAGGTTCATCCCTAAACCTCATCTGGATTATCATTCCTAGCATATACTATGCATTCCTAGATGCCAGCTGCTCCTAAAGGAACTGAAAGTTCTGAGTTCAAGTTTATTTTGGGTTTACATCAAAGCCAGCTTTTCGTATTTCACTGCACATAAACTTCTAGTGCACTAAAATATTCTTCTTCTTTTCTGCTGAAAGTCAACTGGCACCTTTACTTAAGGCATCAGCAAAATCAAAAACTAAAGAAAAAAAAAACCTATCTCTTGAAAGTTTCTCTGGGATTTACAGTATGTCTATTAGGCAAGGATTTACTGAATGACAACTACAGAGTTTGCACCAGTAAATTTTGCATACAGAGATCATTCTAGACACATGAAATAGGGGCCATCTTTAGACATCTTTGATATTTAAGGAAGCTAAATTAGGATCTTTAGTCACTTACTTGCTAGAATCCCACGACTGCAGAATATAATCCTGAAGGCTGCTCACCCTTCAGGTGATTCATTTTGCCTTTCTAACAAGTCATTCTGCTGATTAGTAACAAGGCCTGCCTTTGGTCACAATCAAGCAGGACTGAACTTTGACTACATACTAACAATTAGAACAGCTACAGCACTCTCTTCCTGGCAGTTTCTGAATTGTGCCTGCTCCCATAAGGAACACAGGCACGTGGGCAGCTCAGCACCCTGACTGCCCCACAGGGTCAGGAATGAAGCCTGCCAGCGTGGGGCACTGCAGGAGCTGCTGCTGCAGAGCTGCTTACCTGGGTACTGCACGCCGTACTGCTGCTGGGGCTGAGCCTGCGGCTGCTGAGCAGGGTAACCAGGCTGCTGGTACTGCTGATACATCTGACCTAGGGATTAAAAACGCATTTCGTTGAAGCCCAGTACCCTGGTGCATCACAGTGAACGATACCCTGACAGTCCAACAGCACAGAAACAAACCCAGTGACATCAAAGTACAGATTTTAGTTTCTGAAACACGCTGTTCTGGCTAAATGAAGTTTATCTAAAGAGTAATGTGAGGCTTACTATTGCACATTTTCAGAGGCTGCCAGAATCTGCCACCTTAGCTAGCACTGCTCTGGTGGGTAACAGACCAGGAATGTTTAAACATCTTCATAACTGCTCCAGAACTTACACTGTAAATTAAGTACTTCAAAAGTTAAACATGTCCTCAGATTGTCTGTTTAGATTAGCTTTTTAAGACCATTTCTGCAACCAAGTACTGTAAGCAAGTGGTACATTATTTATGCTGACCACATTTTCCAGATAAGACATCCATCTCTTAGCATTGCCAAGTTTTCTTAAGAGACCCAGCAGCCTACACCAGAAGCAAAAATAAAACCATATATTCTTAAGCTTGGTAATCCAAGCCAATGCTTATTTTTCCTACATTCACTGTTTTCAATTTCTTGGCCAGAAGAGGCAGAATATTTGTTTATACAACCTATGGCTCCTGTTGAAGCTTTATGCTTCTGCTGTTTTTCAATCTAGAAAGTCACAGTCAAAGAACAAAATCAATTATCTGCCAAAACTAAAGCTTAGCTGAACTGAAGCAGACATGGAAACTTTACTATTATGAAGTGTTACTGTACTGTTATTCATTCTGCAAAGATCAGCAGACTGTATAAATAGACTGTAAACTCTATGTTCAGAGCTGCACAGAGACAAAAGCAACTTGACTCTGCTCCAAGTTCTCCCAGACAGATCCCTGTCCACAGTGATTTAAAGTAACTCCTAATTTCTTCTTTAATCTGTATTACTTGCAGCTGAAAGTAACAGTATTTTATATTCACACTAAGGTGTTTAGAATACTTTATACAGATGCAGTAACTTAAAATATTATTTGGTGTGCAATTATTGTGGGATGATGAGTGCAAAACACAAGGCTTGAAGGTAATTTAAGCCTGTTAGCTTGATAATTAAGAATCAGAAACTCAGAAAGTTCTCTTTCTGAAGCTCATTTGACATGGGGAAGTTCTGGGAAATAACCAGCAGGCTGCCTATCTTGGGACAGCTCCCCACAAGCTAACAGAGAGACCACACTGGCACCTGCTGGAAATCCCAGGTAAAGGGATAGTAAAGAAACAGCATGGTGTTTTACCGAAGGTTTCTGAGAAGGCTTGCTGTCTTCTCCAGGGCTGAGGAGTTAGTGAGGAACAGAGAGGTGCTCCAGTGCCATTTAAAAAAACATTCTTAATTTACAGCCATGAATACAGGCAGGGATACTCTGGGCCCTCAGACACAGAGTCTTTTCTTTCCCTGGATTTTTACTCTGAAAAGTAGGTGAGCTACAGCACTGATGTCTGGTTTTGTACTTAGCAGTGCTTATTGCAGTGAAAGGTCTGCCAGCATTTACCATTGTTCCTGTGCACTGAAAAAGACTTTTAGTCTGATTCAGAATCCAGACCATTTACATATATTCACACAACATTCTTTTCCCTAGAAGACCATGAAGTGCTTATGGGATGATTTCACATATATTTCAGCAAAGACTAAAAAAGCATCCACATCTGTATATAATTGCTTCTTATGTGTGTTTAGGACTGAATTTAGTGATAGAAAAGAAGAGGCCACAAGACACAGCACTGTGCTAGAACATCTTTGCTGGATTAATTTAATTCAAATTAGTGAATACTGAAAACCTCTCAATGGAGGCAGCCCTTCAGTAGTATCCACACACAAGTGAGTTGACTGGTTCTTAGGTTGTTACATGTGAATACCAAATCATAATCATGACAGCATTTACTGGCAGAGAAAGCCATTAATAAATAAACCCTGATACACCAGAATGACTGACACATGATTGGCATCACCAGTTTACTTCAATCTTTAAAATACTGTGAAAGTGTGTGGGGGAAGCAGAGCTTGGGGAATTTTGGGCTTTTTATGAAGTGAACAAATAATTTCAAATTAGTTTCAAAACTAGTTTCTAACAGAACCTGCTGTTCATCAGCAGGGCCATTCATGTGAGTCCATCCTGTTGAAAACATAACAATCAAAACCTACCCAAAATTCTGCCTACGTTATAGCTTTGTGGGGAAAGCACAAGCCCCCACATTACCCCTGTACTGAGGTGCTATCAGACCTCAGTGAAGTATAAAAAACTACTCCATGTTTCAAAGAAAAGTCTTTGAACACTTTGGAATAGAATTGATAATTGCACTTACATTACCCAGCTTTGGTGAGAGACTGCTGTTTACCACATACACACCACACACAGCATGAGCAATGTATCTCTAATTTCTAATGAACAAGGACAAAAGTTACTTCTGATCTCTTCCCAAAGACTGAACCACAGAGTGAAGAAAATATAATCAATACTTAAAAGATTGCAGTAGCAGTAATAAAAACTACATCAGGCTACAGATCATACCCTTTATAATTAGTACTTGCTGCTACTATATTTTTCTTGACCCAAGTTTAGAAAAATCACTACATCTACTCTGATACATGAGCCTAGAGAACATCTTCTTCCCAAGTAAGATGAAACAAATACTTTTCTCTTTCCCTGGTGTTAGCAGCCATACAAGATTCCAAGCTGGTGCTGCTAGTGCTTTTAAGTGCTTCACTTCTTGGTTTCAATTCCAGTTTAACAGCAACACTTAAAACTTCTCACCTTACTGTATTAAACTGAAGTAAAAAATTAAACTCATAAAATGCAAGTTCAGTAGCTGAGAATATGGTTTCTGAACATTAAGTTTTCTGGCTGCCAATAGAAGAACCTGGAGCCCTTTTTTGCAAAAGTAACTTTTATACATAAACACCAAACTGCTCTATCTTTAAGCCACAAAGATGTCTCTTGCTATATTATAACACTTGACTAATGAGCAAGAAAAGGCTGAAAGCAGCAAAATAAGTGTTTCATAAGCTCCACTTCAACCAGCAGTATTCATAGCTCTTTAAATATTACACATAAGTACCAGCTGTTCAAATGCTGTGCTCGATCAAAATTTCCCTTCAGGCAAGGCAATCCAAGTGACTTGGATACTGTGATCACTATCTCACATTTGTCTGAGCATCAGTAAAGCAAGCATCAGGGGGCTCTCACTTGTGCCTACAGCAGCACAGAAACAATTTTATATTATTCTTCATATGGAGGAGGAAGTAACAAAGCAGGTTATTTGACAGACAGTTTAATGCAGAAGTGTGAAGGTCTGAAGGCTCAGTGCACTTAGAGAAAAGCACCAGAAGAAATGATGCCCAAATGTAGGAAACCTCAAAATACATAAATTTGGAGAAGTTAAATAACTTTTTTAATGTCATAGTGCAAACAAAATTGAATGTCAGTTAAGACCTTAACTTTAAAGGAGAGCTAGCTGAGCTCTCAGGAGTTATAAGGAACTACCAGGTATTTAAGATGGTTACAGGCTTTAACTTGACTAGCACAGAGCCATGCACAAAACGGAAGCAGTGAAATACTAGCTCCAGTCTGTTAGACAGAAATGGTGAGTAAACAACAGTTTTAATACATAGTAGACAAGTCCACAAACTGAGCTGAGTGAAAGCTTGACACAACACACAGTGTATGACAAGAGCACAGATGCAAGCAGAAAACAGCACCATGAAAATCCTCTCGCGTTACACCACCCGCCCTTTCAAACGGAGCCACTGCTCCCCCTGCTGTTCCTGTAGGGACCAGCAAGGACAAAAGCTGCTCTGCCTGGGGCACACACGGATTGGCAGTTTGGTGTCCACTTTGGCTCTGCTAATTCAAGGCAGAATCAGACAAATCCTTCACATCCTGGACAGTAGAAAAGCACGCTGCTTACCTTCCACCTGCCCTGTCTGTGGCTGCGTGCTGGGGTAGGGGGGCTGCTGTGCCTGGACCCCAGGGGGATGGGCTGCAGAAGAGGAGGAAGCGATGCTGTCCGGCGTTCCTGATCGCTCCTCTGCAGGGGCACTGGGCGGTCCTAGAGCAGCAAGAACAAAATACAGTATGTGAAATAAACACCAAGTTGGAATTAAACAATTCTAGTACAAGATCACTCCCTTGCAATGTTTTTAACATTTTTTTCCACTTCAGATTTACATGTGTGTCATACCCAAGCTAAAACTAAGGGTATATTTGCACACCTAAACTTTCATTTGAAAATACTGGGAGGGGCAGGCAGAGGGGGCAGAATTTTCCACCTATCTCTAGGTCACTCAGATTTCATTCTTCTGAGGAACCTGACTCATTTGTGAGGTAAAACAAATGACAGCATATTTTTTTCAACAGCTTCAAGTGTTAACCTTGCACGCACACACACTGAGGAGCAGCCACATTTGGACACAACATGCACTTACCTATTTTTTCTTATCTGGAGGAAAGGCAAAAGGTTGCATGGAGCTATCCAAATGGATTAGCATCTTGCTGTGAAACACATGGACCAGGCCACAAAGTGTTTTACTGCTAGTCAAATAGCATGTGAACAGAAAACCTCCAGAGAGGTGTTAAAATCACACTCCCAGACAGGATATGGCAAGCTTTAGTCTAAAAGCAATTGTCTGCTCTGCTAATTCTGAAAATATTCAAGCTGACACCCAAAGACAGCATGGAAACTGGGAATTCAAATTTTCTCTACATTAGTAAGAAGTTCTGAAACACACATGTGAACAAATAGAATATACTACAATTTAATGCAAAATATTTTGTTAGAAACTAGGGAGTTTAAACCTGGATCTTTTCAGCTGTATGAATGCTAAGAGATACTATTTTCAAATTTAAGCCCAAGTACTAGAACTGCTGCCAATACATCTGCAATTTTAAGATAGATATATTTACACATGATAAATATGCATCTAACAAGTCCCTGATTGTGTTTTCATGTTAACCTTATTAGGGGAAAATTAATTAAATCTGCCTACTGCTTGATTTGCATTTATATACATAACTGCAGGATTACAGCTTTAGAAATGGGATTTCTTATTCCCTGCTTAAATGGTCCTCTGTGGAATTTTTTGGACATTCAAAGAATGGTCAAGTAATTTCCCTCTCTCAGAAGAATTATGGAGACACAAATATTGAAGTATCACTGATCAAAACCACTCGTTCAAAAAATAACTCAAATTTTCTGCCAGTTATGCTTCACTTGCTATTGCTTACTTGTTCAGCTAGCCCACTGCAAGTTTTCATCTGGTTTGTGAAAGAACCATGCTGTGACAATACCCCAAATGTGGCAAGGAGGAAGAGATCACACAACAGGCCTGGTCCACAGACCTGTACCTCATATTGAAGTCAGCCACTGTCTGTGGGTACAACTTTAGACACTGCACACAGTAGTGCAGATCTATTACTTTTACTCCCCACTTTTGCCATTGCACGCATACTGGAGAATGACCTCCAGTTCCTACTGGTTTGCTCACCTGTATCATTACTTCACATATCATACAAACTCACTTGCTCTGGACATGAGAGTACACAGCAAATCCTGTTACCTAACAGCAGTCCCATTCTCATGTTTCAATGAACCACTAAACCTTGCCAGGACTTCACAGGTTCTGTGCAAAATCACTTCCCTAAGTTCTGCATCACACTCCTAATCACATTCAACACTGCTTTTCTAGCTTCAGTTACCCTGTCTCAAGTTGACAGCATTCATTTAGTGTAGTCAGTTTCCATATGTTTAGCATTCTATTACTAGGGCCAGCAGTCCTTCAGCTCTTCAAAAATAAATGTAATTCAGACAAGTATGTTATTCCTTTCTGTTAACAGTAAAAACATTGATTCTATTTACTTCTAAAATGAAACAGAGAAAAGGTGGGATCATACAACACATTCTGAATGACCCAAAGAGCAGAAGCACAAGCCAAGAACATGAACTGCAAGATCAAACCTCAAAGCAGAGAGCAGTGAGTTCTACTATCATTGACAGATACCAATTAAGTTAGTCCACACAACAGTTTTTAAATGAAGCCATTTTGTACTCCAAGCTAAAACACAATGCTAAAATCAACAGCAGCACTTCAATATTTTGTACACAAAAGTTAGCAGATAGACACAACACCTTAACATAGCAAGTTTTAGAATTCTGAAGACACAGTGAACACAGAACACAGCTTAATACATCCAACATACAAATGCTTTGTGACAAATCAAAACTGGAGCAATTGATTATGAACAGGTTTAGCTTTCCTTTTCACCAGCCATGTCCTTACCTGACACCTGATCATCTGTCAAGCCAAAGGCTGACATGACATTCTTGCTGATTTCATCCTGGTTCTTTAGCGGATCGAATGCAGACATGCTCGCTGCTATAACTTGAGTGGATGGCTTAACATTAGCGTCAGCAGCAGCAGGCTTTTCGTCCCTACCATCTACAGCATCTACAAAGCAAAACGCGCGGTTACCAGCTCTCCAGAACTGAGACACCAGCACACACACACACTGCACCGCAGCAATCGCAACACCGCACGCACGGCCGGGGGCTCCAAAATGGAACTCTGGGAATGTGCACCTTGGGATAGCTGTGAATAACCACTGATGTATCAAACTGGGAGGGATCACACAGCTTGGGTTTCTTTCACACTTACTTAAAGATACACTAACACTGTGGACTATCAATGTCATATATGATAGGCACAAAGCTCCTGCTTCAAACAAATGAACTGGCCACAAAGAATCCAAAATTAGGAAAATATACATCATAGTTCTAACTTATGGTGTTTTATCATCTGCAGTTTCTGGTTTGTACTCCACCTTTCTCCACTAATCTTTCCTAAGCTGACAGGTGAAGTTGAGCTCTTTGCAACTATACACGTAGCTGAATTGCTCAGAAATGCCTTACCTAAGAGTTACACATTTTCTGTTAAAAGCAAATAACTACAGATAGATACAGACTGGCTAGTTTTGTTTACACTCTTAGATCATCACTCTAAGCTCCTTCCAAGTAGTTTTTAACCAGAATCCATGGTATTCCACTGAAATTACAAATTGCATGAATTGCAGGAACAGGGCTGGGATTTTTTAAGCAACAAAACCATAAAAGGTCAAAGTCCAAATACAAAAGCAGCATTTCCTAAAAGGCAGGCTGATGTTCTCAGTTCACCTCTTTACTCAGAGCACTGTACTTCATGGCTTTGTGTCATTATTTTCTGTGTCTAGTTTACCTAAACTCTGTAGTTAAGCACACAGAGATACAGTACAAATTTTGCATTTGCAGTACAACTGCCCTAAGCTAGGGGATCAATGCCTCAAAACTGTGAGAATAAGACTTTCTTTCCCATTTTGCCCTCCCCCAAAAATCCTTTCCCACCCCTACCTGCACCCTCGTGCTGCTTACCCTGAGACAGCTCTGATGCTGGTCTGAGCGCAAAATGTGTGGTTTCAATTTCCTAACCTGGCAAAAAAAGTGGATATAATTTTTGCTGAATTCACTTCTTACTGTTTTAGTGAATCAAACTTGCTTAGCAACACAAGATAAGCACCAGAGCTAGCCCAAAGTAAGCAGAGGGACTACTCAACTGCGAGCAAGAACTCTTCAGCAACAACAAACTATTAATTTGGCTAGAAGCCCTCAAAGACATTGCTGGAGTTCACAGGTGTTAGTTACAGTGTTCTCATACACTGCAACAAAACCTCGGATTCTGAAGTTTCATTCCTAAGTTAGTTCAGGGCTTTACTCTAGGTACATCAAACCAAAATTCTGTCTCTGAAATAACTAAAGCATTAAAAGTTAAGTTCTGGGCCATCAAGCAACAATTAAAAATGATCCATATTTCACTTTGTTAAACAGCACACCACTCTGCAAATCAAAGCAAACAGCTCTTTGCCAGGCTGCCTACCACTCTCAGGCAGGTTAGTGGAGAGCCCTGGTTCCGCTGGCGGCTCTAAACAGTCCAGCAAACGATTGACTTTATTGCGAAGTTCTATCAGCTCCCGGCGCAGGTACTTCACCTGGTTGGATTCTAGGGGTCTTGGTTGGCCATTCACTGCAAAACAGCAATTAGATCAACTTAACACTGTAGGAACATCCACTTTAGGATGACCAAAAAAATTCCAACATTTACTTGCTTGTAGCATCATCATCCTTTGCCAAGTTTAAAGTGACAGAGTTCAGTCCACACAGAGAACTCCTTCTAGAGCTTACTGTTCCTTTAATATAATCTCAGTTCAGGAAAAGCTAAAAAGTATCAAAATCCACAGTAAGTGTCTGCATTGTTTACTCATTTCCCTGAATATACTCTGACTGATGCAGTGGCTCTGGAAAGTGTCCCTTCAGAACTAACACAGCCCACACAACACTGCTGCAATTCATAAATAAGGTCAGTGTCCAAGTTAAAGGCTTGGAACTACATGCTAAGTTATCTGTGGTAGTTTGAAAATAAAGAACTTTTGCACAAAAGCTAAATGATAAACATTAACATCTATTCAACTCCAAACAGGTAACACCAGTTTGGAGCAGTGCACCATTGTGAGATAAAGTGCCAGCTTCGAATGCTCATGCACCTGTGAAGAAAACCCCACAAATGCTGGAGTGGAAGAGAACATGGAAAAGGACACTGGGGAAGAAAGAACCGCTGATCACATGTATATGCACACATGCCAAATACTTTAATGCTTTTTACACTTTAAACAAGTGTAAAAAAGCAGGAGTTTCCATTTCCATTAAGTTTGGAAGTCTCATGAAAAATATCAAGAGAAAGCAGGTATTATGTATTAACTCAGCAATACCAACTTACTGATTGCATTTTCTTCACCTTCTGAGGTGACAAATCAAAATACTTTGTACCTCTCAGTGAAGTCCACTGTCTGAATTTTAATAAATATTATTTAAAAGAAATAGAAAAACACAGTATTCTATACTTACCAAACAATGTCAGCTTAAGTATCCTACTGCATTGAATTGCAAAGGAGAGATCTGAGCTATCAAAAATTGTTATAAGATCTCCATCTGAAAAGAACAAGAAAAAGTTACATTAAAATCACAGCCTATGACTACTGAGTTTCACATCAGGACAGAAATGTTCCTTCATTACTCAAAACTAACCTTCCTATTTGATTGTAAATTCACTAGAAAAAATGTTTATTATTTCAGTGCAAGAATCAGTGTGCAGAGAAATTGTGCACAGAAGGTAAGACAGAAGCATGAATGGCTCCAAAAGGGAGTCTTCTGACATTAGCCCATTGATGTTCCATACAGTTCATCATTCTTTTATGTTTACATTCAGGATGAAATATTAGAGCTAAGAGGTCATGAAGTCCAACACCAGGAAGAATGATGCTACCAGTTATAAATGAAATGCCAACACCAAGTAGCTCCAGAACTGTGCTGTTCATGAACAGACAAGAGTCAGATAAATGGCACAAGCCAAACCCAATTCAATTTTTAAAAACCAAAAGAAAATTTCAAATGCCTATAACACTTCCTCAAGTATATATTCAGAACATGAGTTGCAAGACTATTATCATTCCCTTGCTGAAAAATGAAGTTAATATGTAGAAGTGAATAGTAAAGATCTCTCTCAGCTTTAACTCACAAATAAGTATGAAGACGCCAAAATAGTTAGCAGAAAACTTCTCTCAAACAGGAATTTTACACAGTCACAACTCTTAGGCATGGATTTCTTCCATGTCACATGTCAGAGGATCCTAACGAATTTGCACATTGCCATCTGTCCCAGGAACTATATTAGAACTGGATGGGATCATTTATTCTTAAGATACAAAGGGCTATGCACAAAGCACTCATCACCTGTAATCATAATAACCCCCAAAAGAGATACCAAATCCCATTAAGTGTGGTCTCTCACGATTTTTAAGTTGAGTCAAGGAAAGCTATCTTTGCTTACTCAACAAAATCACAACTAAAACAAGACTACTGTCTTCGGCAGTACAGATTTTCTGGTGTTTAACACGTTCAACAGGTTATTCATAGGTTAAATGAACCCAAGCTAAGCAGTGCAAAGGAAAGAGTGAGAGCACATTATCAGGAAATGTGTACTGGCACAAGGGATAGCAGGAACACTTCCTGCCTGAGCAGTTTCATAACTGAGGTGAAACACCACCCAGTGAAGTTTCACCTCCAAAAGCAACAGTGTTTAGATAAATGCCACAGAGCTTGGAACAAAGCCAACTCCAGGCTGCCCAGGCTCCTCCACAAAACATTGTAGCAAGGAGGCTCTGTGGACCAACACAGGATGGTGTTTTCAATTACAGATCACTGCCTAAAAATTCTGCGTACATAAATTCCTCACACATTGGTGACAAGGGCAAACTGTATCAAAGTTAGGGTTAAAATTTTCAAAGAAATTAATGCTTCAGTATGAATAGTAATAAAACACATGATACCAAGTAGAAAACAGCTCAGAATTTGAAGAACTACATATTCTAATTTTGTCATCCCTGACTACAAGTAACACCTCTGCAAAGGAAGGTTTTCTTAAGTACTATTAGTGACACCTCACAGTGCCTGTCAGTCTCCAAAGAAGGTGCTTTCTAGCAAAATGAAGTTATAAATACTAATAAAGAGATGGCATATAAAATAATTTTCAAGTTTTCCTGAAAGAAATAGTGTTGCCTCCCGAGTTTTTTTTTATGTCCTGTTTTCACTTTCATAATCTCAAAAGACATCTGTTGATAGCAGTACCAATCAGGGATTCTCTGAGTAGAGACTGGAAAGGGCTCCAAACCCCACCAGGCAGCCTGTTCCAGTGACACACTGCCCTCCTGGCCATAACTCATGCTCAGCCTCTCAAACTGCAATTTCTGGCTGCTGCCATCTGGTGCCACTGCAAATTGCTCCCATTCAATGGTCACACTGCACTCAGTGGTCTCAATGCTCACATTGCAACTCCCTTTCCCCTGGTTGTGCCCTCAGCCCCCTCTGCAGCACAGTGAATGAGCCCGGCTCCCTCCAACGCTCCCACCTGCACAAAGCCCCTCCCTGTCCTCAGCACACCCTGCCAGACCCCTCTGCAGCTTTTCCAAGCTCTTTCTGTCCTGGAGTGCACACATTCAAAGTGAGCACAGACACGCAGCCTCCCTGGTGCCATCTCACCAGTGCCAGGAAGAGGAGGCTCAGTGTCCCTGTTTGCCATTATGATCCAGAACAGGACTTGGACAATCAGACTTTATCAAAGTGAAACAGTAAAGGGGGTGTGATGAGGTGTGTGCTCCCTCCAACTCAACACTTTCTCTAGCTTTCAATAACCTTTCCTAAATGCTGATACCAAAACCCATCAGTGTCTTAACACAAAGCCCTTCTATTCCTTATCATCATGGTACCACAATAAATTATAATTACTTCTCTTAGCAATCCACAACATTGGCAAAGCATCCTTTGATGCTCTTCTGTCATACCAGCCAACAGTCAGATTCACTGCCTGAACAAAGATGCATGTTCTTAGCAGTCTATCCTGCACATGAAAATGCACATCAATACACATGGCTTACATGGATTAATGTCACCCAAAAGAACTGGGATCATTCCGTCCTCATTCTCCCTCACATATTTTAACCTTTAGGGTGAAGACATTAATAATAATGAACAAATTTTCTATTAGCAAATTTTTTTGTTAGCAGGAAAAAAAAAAAGCTGAGAAGTACCAAGTACAGAATCCTGTTAGATGCATAAAGTCAGTTTTATGATTCCTATATACAGCCATCAAATTATTATCCAAGTAGAGTATAATCTAGGATTCATAGGGTATATGTCAAGCCATAGAAGTCTCTGACAATTTAAGTATATTAGATATATCAAAAAAACTCTTCATCTTAAGGAATGCCAATGAAGGTTAATTCCTGTTACCATGACACAGATAGAATTACACAATGTTAATTATTTTCTGTGGAAAAATAAAACAGACTTTCCTTTATTTTCCCTTCCAATCTTGTTATTTTGGGAATTTATCTTTCTCATTTTTACAAGGGACACTGCTTTCCCTCTCTACAATATCCCAGGTACCACGTTCTCTGCTATGCCAATTCTAAGTTTTTTCTTTCCATAAATAAGTGGCTCCCTCAAACTAACCACTGGGCTGCACAGTATTTCAGCATTAATGCTGCATCACCATGATGTGTTCATGACATTAGAAATCTGACTCATTCCTTCACCCTGCCAGCTCTTTCCTCATCTACTAAGCTTCATTATCTATCAGGCTTATCCACCCTTTTATTTCTCATTTAGTCCATTTTTGAAAAAACAAAAACAAACCACAAAATCCTACACAATCAAAAAACCCCACTACATCAAAATGTAGCTTTCCTTCACTCTAGTAAATTTACCAAAGGCTGAGATTACTGACTAACACAGCAGCTTGAATACATGCAGGATGAGTAAACAATCTTCTATTACAAGGTAATGAAGAGCAAGAGCAAAAAGGCCAATCTCACATTACACCCTGTTTTAAATTCAAGCATAACTTAAAAAAAGTAAAATTCCTGTTATTGGCTCCAAAGGGCCTTTTAGCAAGTGTAACTCAGTTACATGGTTTGTTTAAGATGCAATTTTACTCTTTGATTCACACAAATTCACTGCTGACAGTCCTCATTAGTTTATTTGGGGCTGAGGTTTTTTAGCTGACAGTGGGTTATGTGTGTTCAAGAACTTTAAATAGCACATGAAAATTGTTTCACATCTAGCACAGCAATTTCCTTAGCTCAGGAGTTTGAAAGTTTGAAGATAAAACTTGACTTCACAAAGCAGCATTCAACCTGAGGCTTCTTTTCTCTGGTAATTAATAAAAGCACCACATAACCTAAATATAATGTAGGAGTATGGAGGGGTAGATGAAACATCCTTGAACACTGAAAGACTGCATATGAATTCAGAGAAGACACAGCTGGAGGTTATGGAAGAAGTGGGCATTGTTGGACCAGTTTAAGGTATCTCCTCATAACAGATCCAGACAAGCATTCCTGCAGGTCTGCAGGGATAAAGAACAAAACAGAAATTGCTACAATGTATATATTATTATATCTATTATATACATTATCCAATGTATCTAATGACTGAAGTGGATTTAAAGAACAATCTTAGCTTAGCTGAAATGAAGTTTGGATGTAACAGCTCTCATATAACAAGCAAACTGAAGCCTTATTAACCTCTTCCTTGGTGTCTCACAACTCTGATAGCAAGAACATTTATTTGTTTAGAGTGGTGATGATCAGCTACCACACAGTTTACAGCAGTGGTGATCAGCTAGCATAGCACACACTGAAATCACAGGGAGTAGCAGCAGTACATTCTGTGTGGTGGGTTACCCACCAAAGCCACTCCATCACTCCCCTCCACAAGTGGCCAGGGCAGAGAACAAAGCACAAGACATGAGATAAGAACAGGGAAAGATCACAAATCAATTACCCTCGTGGGCAAAACAGACTCAACCTGGGGAGATAACTGAATTTATTACCAGTCAAAATCAAAGCAGGATAATTCACCTTTCAACCCCTCCTTCCTTTCCAGCTCTATCTCTTCCTCCCTAGTGGTGCAGAGGCACAGGGAACGAAGGTTATGGTTCCTCTGCTGCAGCCTGGGGTCCCTCCCATGGGAGAGTCCTCCACAAACTTCTCCAATGTGACTGCATCCTGGAGCAATTCCTGCCCCTCCTTCTCCACTGACCTTTTTGTCTGCAGAGCTATTCCTCTCATGGAGTCTTGCTCCTCTCTGCTCTGGCCAAAACTACATCTGTGCCATAACTTTTTTCCCCTTTCAAATATGCTACCACAGAGGCATTACCACTGTCTGACTGATTTAGCCTTGGCCAGCAGCATGCCTGTCCTGGAGCTGCCTGGCTTTGGCCTCCCCTGCAGCCCCGCACTACCAAAACCTGGCCATGCAAACCAAATACAATTCTGAGACAAACAAAACTAAAAGTGAAAGCAGGAAGCGTCTAGACTGTGAAAGACAACCAAAGAATGAAACTGCAATTACTGTCTCCATCATACATCATTATCTTATTTTGAATAAAACAGAGTAGTACACACCAAAACCCCCAAATGACCATACTTAAAGCGTGGGTAAGAATGCAAAAAAAACAAAGTAACTAACTTGATTTAATCTAATGAAAAAGCATTCCATCTCCTTTCATGTTACTCATTTCAGAATGAAAAAAAATGTGGTAAGAGGGAAAACAAAACAACTACAAATCCACTGAGCTCCTTCTAACTAAAGATCAAAACCCAAAATATTGGTCAAGACCCAAGACATACACTACTTACAATTTTGATAAGCAGCACCTCAAAAAATTCATGAACCTCAAAAAAAGGTCTCAGGCTTATTTAAAGTGAAATTTTATTGCTTAGATACGTGAACAAAAGCTGACATTACAGGCAGCACAAGCAGCACTAAAGTTTCCTAGGGCTATAAAGAGAAATGAATCTGAATGCTTCAGTAACATGGCACTTTTTACTGTGCAACAGCATAATCATCAGTCTTCAAGAGACTTTGGATTTTATCACTTCATTCCAAGTTTCATTTTATGTTGTCCCAAATTAAGTAACTTATCCATGCCCCATTGACATTTAAAGAGGAAAAGCCCTCCAATCATAACTTTCTGTCTCTATGCATCTCAAAGGCTCATTCACTCCTCATTCTGTGGAACTCCTTAAAGTTTTGTTTGTTTTAACACTAATGATCAATATTTTCTTTGGAACAACCAATGTGCAACAGATTCAAATGGTCCCAGAGAGGAAACATAACTTTTAATGCATTATTTCAAGTTAAAATTATTTTTCTAATCTTTACTGATGGACAAAAACAGTCAAGAATTACTACCATCTAGATCAAGATTTCAGACTTATAAGAACTTGTGTTAGGTCATACATGCTTATTCTCTTTACACCTTGAAAACCACTGAAAACTCAAAAAAAAAAAGATTAAATGAATGATCAGAAGAGAAATCTGCAATCAACTTCTTGCAACAGCAAAAAGTGCATGTTCCCAGAGAAAAATTGAGGAAATATTTCAGGAAAGAAATTGAGAAAATGCTGTTAAGAGAGCATAAGAGGAGATAATGAAACACAGCTTCTACTGTCTGACCAAAAAGATTTCACAAGAAATCACTTGCATTTGCCTGTGACATTGGACAATTCTAAAAGGTGAATGGCAAAGTTTCTATCCACTGATAAACTAGATCAGAACAAGAATAGCCAATTAAACCTCAACAGTAGTAATTAAACTTTACCTTCATCTTTATATTTTATTGTGACTTCATCATTGCTCAGGAGTTTTCCTCTAAAAACTCTTTGCATCATTAGCACCAATTCATCATAGGTGATATCTTCATTATGAATAGGGATTCTCCTGATATCCTCCCCAAGCTGAGCTTTGATGATCAGCTTCCCACTTAAGTCCAGCTGCCCATTCATGGTGGACTCCTTGTCACCTCAGACCTGTTAGCAGCAAAACATTAAGAACATTTCAGAAAATAACTGTTAGTTATTGTAATCTATCTGATGACAGTTCTGAAGCTTTACATTATCCCCTAATTTGATTATTTTTACATGCCCCTCCCTTTATGAAAAAGAACAAATGGTTTTTTTTTTTCATTTAAGAAAAGACTGCCAGAACAAATATGTCAAAGATTTCAGGCTCTAAGGTAGCTTTACTAAGAGGATCAAGCTGAATCATGCATGATTTTCTAAACAAAAGTGCAGAGTTAAACATTGGTTTTATCACATGGATGATCAGAACTCACTGAGGGCTCCTCTCAGGAAAGGAAGATATCCAATTTTTTAATTTTTGAAAACTTTGATTGGGATACTTTAACCAATATTTTAGACTTTTAAATGCAGCTCAAGAGACCACACATTAGCTACTCATTGGGCTCAACACATGGTCACAACAGTCTGTTACTCTCAGTGTTTTAAGAGGTGAAAAACTGCTCCAACTGAGTAGCCATTCTGTGTCCTAGCAGCACACAGCATATACTTCTATCTTTAACATTTTAGTTAAGAAAATTTAAGCATTACCACTTTGCATTAAGCATCTCTCATTTAAAAACACAAAGGCTTTACACTTAAAAATCTGAAACTACAGTGAAGTTACTCAAAAAACAGGAGTAAGAGGGGGAAAAAAACACAAAAAGAGATTCAGGTAGTTAGTCAAATGTCCCCTCCTATTTTCACTGTGTTGGACAGGGCCAAAACAATAGATCAAGAATGAGGATCAATTAAAGAAATATTTAATTGATCTTTAATTGATTTTAAAGGATCAATTAAAGAAATTTTAACATTTGAAATACAATTGCTGGAGATCTTAAACCATAGGCAGTCCATATGCAACTCAAGATTTCTGAAGCCACATGCAGGCAAGTACATTGTTCATTCTCTTGCACAAGAGGAACTCCCAGAGACATGCAACTGTTTTTCTTTTACCTTAAAGAATGTTATAACACAGTGCCCCATGAGAAAAATGAATGTTGCTATAGTCAGTCTATTTTTGAAGTACTGCACTGAAAATTCTCTCCTACCAGAAACAAGACAATCAGCTAAAGCCTTTAGTACATTTCTTGATGCACCTCTATTTTTTCAGTGACAATATTTTGCATTAAAAAAATGAAGTATAATGCCATCTTTAAACTACAATTAAATTTCTGGGGATGTTGGTAATTAACTTAACACAAAGCAAAGATTTCAGGCAAAGGCCTTTGTTTAGCCCAAAAAGATACAAGCAATTATTGATCAAAACTCTTCTCATCACATGTAAGAAGAGGCAGGTGGATACAGCCCAACTGCAGGGAAAAGGGACCAGGATTTAACACAGCCACCTTGCTGCTGAGGCACTGTGATCAAACTGAGAGGTTTATAGTATTGGTAATGCTCACTAATGCATTATTCAGCTTTTGCAACAGAGGAGTCTTGACTGCAGGCACATCAACCCAACCTAATTAACTCTAAATTACATTTAAGAGCATAGGGTTTTGCACAAGTTGGTTGGTTGTTGTGATTTTTTATTTAAGCATTAAAACATAAAACAGTATCAATCCACAGGTTTTCTTCAATCTCCTTTCCAAAAATATTCATTTATCATTACCTTGTCTGTTTAGTGCTGCTGGATTATGGGACAGTTTTCCCACCTCACTGCAGGGCAGAGTTAGGATAAGTTGCCATGCACTGTCAATGCAGGGAACAGGAAGCTGCATCAGAAAATAAAATAAACATATTTACAGTCACACTTCCCCAGAATGCCACCTTTCACATCAATCTTTCACTTTAGAACATCTTAGTGAATACACCCAATATAAAAAGCCCTTGCTTTATCCATAATGTAACAATCAGATTTACACTTTGGAGTATTGGAGAATTTGCATTCATCTAAAAGAGATCTCTAACAAGACTTCTAATTTTGTAATAAAATATTTTAATTTTTTAAATTTTCTAGTGGCATGTAGGAATTCCTAACAGTAACGTATTCCTTTCCAGGACTAAGAGCAAGAGATGATTTAGCACACAGAACAGGCCAACAGGGAACACCCCTGGCTCCTCCCTTTTGACCCCATGGCTGCACCCTCCTGGCAACTCCTTTCTTTCACACACACAGCCAATTCCAACAATCTATAATCTGATTTTTAGATAATTCACTGCTAACCAGAGGAAAAAAGTAGGTTCTCCTTTATTCACATAAAGCTGGGCTTCCCAGCTCTCCTGTTTCAGCTCATCTGGAAGTAAAGTGGAACACACAGGACGAAGAGAGAGAACAAGCAAACCCCAGAAAATACACAAAGCCACTCTCTGGATCTCAAAGGCTGGCAGCTGCTCCCCTCATCGTGGGTAGGAAATGCTCCCCCTGCAAAGGGCTGTGCCTGCTCCTGACAGTGAGACTGCTGTGACACACCGAGCAGGGGAACAGGAAGAGACTGCTTCTCTGATGCCTCACTCACACTTTATGAAATAAGTAAGGCAGGAGAACCAAAGAGTTCATTTAGCCACCCCCTCACCTTGTTTAAGTGTAAGACTTGGGCACTGGTTTTGCTTCTTCAGCATTACAGTATTTGCTACTCAGGAACTGTTAACAGTAATAACTGAACCTCATCTCTAAGTCCTAAACATACACACATTTTGGTGGACACAGCTGAACTCCTGTGGCCTTTCAACAGATAGAATGTATCGTTCATTTCTTTGTGCAAGAAAGGAGTTACTGTAATGCCTTATTTACCCACGTTACCCACAGAAACCTGCTGTACATCTCTGACTACGAAAAGGTAGCAGGAGAATAAATGCACTTTTTTTGGTCTAGCTGTTCTCCCTTCTGCTTTAAAATGTCCAGATTTAAAGACACAGATTCTAAACAGTGCAGTTGCTTGATACTGTTACAGAAAACTATGTTAAATACTCAAATTGCTGAATTACACAGCACTAAAGCTTTTTCCTTCACTGTGACAAAGCTAAATGGATGACTCCATTGAAAGAGTTCTACAGAGAACACATCCAGAATGCACACTAATGAGCTTTTTAAGAAAATCAGTGTCTACTTTCCTGGGGCAGGGAGGAAGCAACCAAGCATTTACGTCTCCATCTTTCAGCCTACAGGCTGCTTTCCATAAGAACCACACTGACATCTTTCTAACCTTCCTGGTGTACCTCTTGCATTTTGCAGGTACAGACTTTTCCTCCCCTCCCGGCTCCCTTTCCATTCACATCATGCACTAATCTGAGTGGTGCATGTGGACAGGGATTGCCCAATCTAGGCCAGTCACTTCAGGATCCCCTCTAAAACCAGCATCTCATGACCACGTTGCATTTCACTACCCTTTCTGCGCAGCAGCAGAGAAAAACAGAGAAAACAAGGGAGGGACAGACACTCCTGCTTTAATTTTTTCTGATCAAAACAGGGTTCAGGATTAGAGTGACGCCGACAGAAATACGAGCAAGCAGGAGAGCCTCCCAAACGCCACCCGAGAGAGAGCCATGAGTATTCCCAAGGCAGGCGGGGGGTGACGCGCGGGAGCAGAAGGGAGAAGAGCTCTTTTCGGGTTTCTCAGTTCCCATTCGGGCAGGCCCGGCCCAAAGGGGAACAGAAATCGCAGCCAACGCCTGCCTGGCAGTGAGGAGCCGGCAGCTCTCGTGGCTGGGTGCCCCAGGAAGCAGCGGGCCGAGCAGGGGCAGGGATCCCGGGCTCTCCCTCCCCGGGCCCAGGAGGCCGCGGCCGCTCTCCGCCTCCCTCAGCCGCGCCCGGGGGGACGCCAGGGGTCTCCCGGCCCCTCCGCCAGGGGCCGCGTCGCCCCTAGCACCGGGAAACGATGGGGCCGGGAGGAGGGGGCGGCCGGCTCGCCCCAAACCCAAAGCTGCCCCTCTCTCCCTCCTTCCCGCCGCTTCCACACGCGGCTGCTGCCGGGAGCAGCCCCGGCTCTCTTACTCTGGTTTCTCCGCCGTCCCGCCGGTGCAGCCCCCCCGTCCAGCCCCGGGCACGGCCGCCACCGCCCGTACGTGGCAGGGCAGAGAGAAGGGGCCGGAGCGAGGCCGGGCCTGCGCGAGCCGCGCGCGCGTGCGCGCTGTGCCGCGCGGGGCCCGGCCCCCTGCCGGCGGACATGGCGGCTCCTCATCCGCCGCTGTGCCGCCTCAGCGCTGCCGCAGCGGGGCCGAGCTCTGACAGAGGGCTTCTTTCGAAATACGAGCTTCGGCCTTCGTAAGCTGGCGGTGCTCAGATAAAAAACGGGCCGTAAAATTCCCCTGTACTTGTTAGACTTGCTAGACACCCGCACACAGGAGTTATTCATCGTTGAATGGTCACATTACTCTGGTAGCCGCACACACCCTCACACCCTCGCCCTCTCCCACGCTCCCACACTCCCCTGTCTCGCATTCAGAGCTGGTCCCCTCTAATATATGTTATAAAGTAATTCATGCTTAAGGGAAGAATGTATAAAATAAAAATTGTAAAAAGAATCTAACAACCAACGAGCCTCTGACCACGAGCAACCTGGAGACAGATTACTACACTGGAATTACGAAACTCGTGGTGGCAGCAGGAGAACAATGCCTCGTTTTCTAATAAAATAACGTGGCTGGCGCGAAGATGGGCTTTGTGAAAAACGCCAATCACTTGTTTTTAAAATTTTAAAAGTTTAATAGTAATAAAATGGTTATAAAAATAGTAATACAATTAGAGTAATAATAATTTGGGCAATTTTAATTAGGACAATATTGAGACAATAGAGACAAAGAGTTACTGATGTCCGGATACCTTTTTTTGGGCAGCACAAGCCCGAAAAAGGACACACGTGAACAGAGGATTAACCCTTAAAAACAGCGGCCTGTTGCATATTCATACACCTCATACATGATGCATAAATTCCATTCAAACACAGGATTCTGTCTGGTCATCGTCATCTTCTTCCTCTGAATCCTAACAGCGCCTTCGAGGCGGGAAGAAGTCCGTTTCTTCTGATAAGAGAGCAATAAATTATTTTTCTCTGAAGGATTTAGGTGTCCTTTGGCCGCTATCTCGGTGTGAGTCCTTTCTTTAAAAAAAATCTTACATAGCATAGTTTCTATTTTAACATTTTTTATAACTTAAAACTATATTTAACATACTACTTAAGAGAATTAATACAGCATTACTTTATAACACAACACATATAATATTCATTTTAATATTTGTGAAAAACCAATCATAAAATACGCATTTTTCACAGGCTTCCCCCAGAGCCACCTGGGAACACCCAAGGGTGATCATCCCTTGGTAGATACCATCAATCAAGATAACCGAAGTGCCAAGGAACATATATCTGAATACATGGCTTCCCCTGACATGATCAGTGCCTGCCACTACTCAGGAAACAGCAATTGCCCAGCCCTGCACAGTGAAAAAAACTTCATACGTATGCCGGGTTACAAAAGAAATTGGGGCACCTCTGCTTCAAGCAAAACAAAGCTGTATAAAACAGCCCTGCTGGAAACGGCATTTGTGAACAGAGAGAGGTCCGATGCGATAGAGGTCAGATCTAGGTTCACCCAGCTCCGATCCGGGGCTCAACGCTGCCTCTTTGGCTGTGGGTTTTGAGGACCGTATTTTGGTCCCGAAAATAAAATCTTTCGCATTTATTAATTTGGATTTCTGGCTGATCATTTATGTTATATATGTTAGAAATAATTCATGCTATAAAAGAATGCATTTTATAAGGATTGTGAAATTCAAACGAGTCTCTGACCACAAGCAGCCTGAGAGGCGGATGTCTATTCAAACTCCAAAATAAATTCCTGGAGTCGGCCAGATAACAATCAGCATTTAGCCCAAGAATACACACACCCAAGGTGATGATCACCGTTATCCCAAGTCATAGGAAACGGTCTTAAGAGCGATCATCACCCTATTGGTAACATCGATAAAGATAGCCAAAGTCGCCGGAAAGATACATGTGAATACGCGACTTCCTGGGATTCGATCAGCGCTGGCTATCAACCAGGAGACGGCAATTGGTCCAGCTCTGCACAGTGAAAGAGCCAACTATGAATGTGAAGAGTTACAAAAGAAGCCGGCGAAGAGTTACAAAAGAAACTGGGATTCCTTCACCTCGGGCACAATAAACTGTATAAAACATCCCCGCTAGAAGCGGCTCTTGTGAATGAGGGGGGTCCGATGCGATAGAGGTCGGATCCAGGTTCACCCAGCGCCAATCCCGGGCTGTCTCTTTGGCTGTGGTGGTTTTGAGGACCGTATTTTGGTCGCAGGAAAAGATAAATAAATCCTTTTGCATTTTTTATAATTTGGCTTTTGATTGATCATTTATAACAATTCATAACACCCCTAAGAGACAAAAAACATGAACCTGCCGCTAATTTCCTGAGTTTTGTCAATGGAAGGTGCGGGAATGGATTCCTGAGGGTGCCTCTCCCAGAGCGGCTGGAACTGGAGCTGGTGTTCCTCGGGGATAGTTGGGATTTTTGCTGCCCATTTTCGTTCAACACCAAGGCTACGCTATGTTGATGCTTCCCACAGAGGTGCCATGCAGAGCTACTGAAGGCACAACTGTGCTTAGTTATTTCCTGGCGTTAAAGATTCCTCTGAAAAGACACCTTTCCCTTAATATCTGTTTTCTGCCAGGACAAGAAAAATGTAAGAGTTGTTTAATTTTTGTAGTATTTGTCCTTGCTGAGAGCTCTGTCCCTGCCTAGAGGAGGGTCCAACTAGCAGTAAGGAGATTGAAAATGGAGGTGAGAAATTGAAATGGAAGTGAGAGAAGATGAACACGATACAAATTTTAAATCTAAACATTTCAAGGAGGAGGAGGGGCATGGTTCAAGAGGCTTCTTTGCTAAACTTTACAAAGTATTTAGAAAATATTTGAGTGTTTTCAATGAAAAAATCTTTGCTTTAAAAAGTATGGGAAAGATCTAGAAAAGTGGATATTTCCTTCCATTATATTTCTGCCACTTGTATTGCATACCTTTGTACTGATGATTCAGTCCTTCTCCAATCCATTTCTTTATCAAAGTAGTGTTTCCAAAGTATTAACAAGAAACTTTTTGATCCCTAAAGCCCACATATCACAAACAATACCAAAGTTCACTACACTATGAAGATAAATATATTCCACGTGTAGATAACAGCTGAACTATTGTTCCTGTAATAATTTAGCATATTACCTGGAAAAGATCATTTTAATTTGTTCCATTTCTGAAATTAGGATTCCCTAGATGAAAGAAAAAAAAGCCACAAAATGTATAATTGGGAAGGTTTTATGCTGAAAGTGTTCTATATTAAGCAAGAGATGTTCAGTGTTGGCAATAACAGCATTTTGTTCACATCTGAAATACTTAGAGACAGGATGCTTAAATAGTAAGAGAAGACAACACTTCAAATTCCATACTTCAAATTCTTTGTAGGTTTTTGCCTAATTTTTTGGGATACCATGGAAACAATATTTTTATTAGTTTTTTTTAAAGAGCCGTTCAAAATTAAATGGGATGTTCTTTAGAGAATACTTTTGTTTGTGGAGAAAAAAATCAATTATTAGAAAATTCTATCACTCATTTAAGGAGTCATCCTCACAGTGCCTAATAGTGTTCTACAACACAATCAAGTATCATACTTCCTAAACCACACAAATTTCTAAAGGAAAATTTCTGAAGGAAATTGGAGGAATCGACAAAAGCAAGCATTATACATTGGATTTACAAATAAAAAAATGGATGCCCATGGGTACATGAACTTCCTATCCAAAAAATAAAAATAAAAAATGTATGGGCTACTTGTCTTAAGTAACTTTTAATGACCTTCCCTGCTTTTTCTGGAGCAGTAGTGATGAACTTCAGCCTTGCATCTGGTGTGACTGCTCTTTTTAGAGGTGTATCAATGTTCCAGTACGCTTATTTTCTGTCTCAAAAGCAGCATGGATTTCTAAGACATGGAGGACTTTTCAGGACTGATGAAATACTTCTATGAAGACACTCAGAAAGTCTCATGTGTAATGCACAGTGTATTTATAATTCCTGCTTGTTGATATACTGTTTGGTTTCTAATTAAATTGAATTTTTACTTATGAAAGGGAGAGGAGAGCTGCAGTGCATTGGCCATGTCCAGTGGGCCTGGAATATACAAAGGGCATAAAGAGAGCAACGTCTGTGTGTCTGTACTGAGCAACTTCTGTGTGTCTGTACTGGAGTGTAAAGCTGTCATTAGCTCAGTCCTTGCCAAGACCTTGGGGTACAAGCAGCACCAAGAGGCTCAGGAGCTGCCTGGCTGCTTTGCAGCCACATTGTCCTGCCAGCACATGGTCCTGCTCCTCTCTCCCCGTGGTCTCAGCTTGTGATCTATTTCCAGCTCCCTGCAGCTGGAGAAGTGTGTCCATCATTCCAGGTACCTGTGGGAGCTGTATGAAACAAACCATGAGCAATGTGGGATTGTATTTCACGGATTTGCAGGTTTCCAGTCCCGGTTAGGGAAGGTAGACAAAGAAATATTGTCTGAAAAAGTCTGGGTTGATCTGAAAGTTTCCTCTGAATGTTTTTCAGGCCGTGATTTTGAAATATTTTATGTTTTTGAATGCAGATACAGTGGTACCTGGAAAATGGGAACACTCTGAAAACTTTTGTCTTGAAGAGAGATGTTCTGAAAGTGAACAGAATGCAAATCTGGAGTTCTTGTAGAGGAAATGAAAGTGTGGACTTATTTTGCTGTTAAAACCAGAAAAGATTAGTCAATGTGAATTGATTCAAAAAACAACCATAAGATGAATTTTGGTAACTGCTGACAATTACATCAATAACTTGAAATAAATGAAGCACTTTCAAGAGGAAAACAAATCCATGTAGGTGATTCCCAGCTACAGATGCCTCATTTGCGCATTGTAATGGATTAGTCAGCATGTGTCAGGAGCCTGTCTCAGGATCATATTATTACTCTCATCTGGATAGGATGAAGATAAGACCTGGCTGAGGATGCCACAAGCATTAAATGTGGTGTGCCATATCAGCACTTCAGTCAGATTCAGACAAAGGGAATAAAGACTTTAACATTTCTATACTGGTTTTCTAAATTCTCATTTCAAGGATTAAACAGGAGAATC